GTGGACATGTCCCAAAGCAAGAAATTGAATCCAGACAAGACAGAGGTACTCCTGGTCAGTCGCAAGGCCGAACAGGGCATAGGGTTACAACCTGTGCTGGATGGGGTCGCACTCCCCCTGAAGATGCAGGTTCACAGCTTGGGTGTGATCTTGGATTCACCGCTGAGCCTGGAACCCCAGGTTTCAGCGGTGACCAGGGGAGCATTCACACAGTAAAAGTTTGTGCGCCAGCTGCGCCCGTACCTTGGGAAGTCTAACTTGGCCACGGTAGTCCACGCTCTTGTTACATCCCGTTTAGACTACTGCAATGCTCTCTACGTGGGGTTGCCATTGAAGACGGCTCGGAAGTTTCAATTGGTCCAACGTGTGGCAGCCATGATACTAACAGGGGCGGCACACAGGGAGCATACAACCCCTCTGTTGTGCCAGCTCCACTGGCTACCAATTTGCTACTGGGCCCAATTCAAAGTGCTGGCTTTGGCCTATAAAGCCCTAAACGGTTCTGGTCCAAGTTACCTATCCGATCGCATCTCCACCTACGAACCCACTAGGACTTTGAGATCTTCCGGGGAGGCCCTTCTCTCGATCCTGCCTGCAACACAGGCACGGCTGGCGGGGATGAGAGACAGGGCCTTCTCGGTGGTGGCCCCTCGGCTGTGGAACGCCCTTCCCACGGACATTAGATTGGCTCCCTCATTGATGGTATTCCGGAGAAAAGTGAAAACCTGGTTATTTGAACAGGTGTTTGAATATGCAGTGCAATGAATTCAGGAATGGAACTACGATTGACAAGTTTGGATCATGATTCTAGTTATGAGACGCCACTTGAATGTTTACTACTGTTAAATTGTTTAATCTGCTTCTGTGTCAATTGTTTTTAAGTACCTTGTTGATGCCGCATTGAATTTTTGCCTTGATTGTTTTGCCTTGTTTTTGCTTGATTGTTGTAAACCGCTATGAGTCACCTTAGGGCTGAGAATAGCGGTATACAAATGAAGTAAATAAATAAATGAATAAATAAATACTAGAAATTAGTTCTAGAAGAATCCCAGAAAATGTTAAAGATAGGCATCCAGAAGAAACCAGAATACTTCCTACTAGGGATAACAGATGAAGAGATTGAGCTAGATCAAAATAAGGATATTCTGTTCACATACCTAACGATGGCAGCAAGAATGGTGTACGCAAAAAACTGGAAATCAAAGAGGTTCCATCTAAAGAAGAATGGCTAGGTAAGACCAGCGAAATAAGAGACATGGAGAAGTTGACCTTCTATCTTAAAGAATCAAAAGGAAGAACAATAAAGAAAACAGACTGGAAACCATTTGGTGAATATCTGACCGAACATTAAGAGAAGACTACAAAGGTGGCTACAATTAAAACCAAAGAAGGACATTTTAATTTGAAGAAGGAAATAGAGTAAATACAAATATGAATGGGAGCCAAAAAAACAGAAAATAATCGAGATCCATACTCCTACTTCACCAGTTTGTTTTTTTAGAAAATGTGGAGAATTAGTTTGGGAAGTCAAGACAACCCCCTCCTTCCCACACTCCACTTTCCCCCTTGTGTGCACACCCCCCCCCCCGTGGATATGTCCCCCCTCCCAACCACTAACCTTACCCCTCCTTATTCCCATCTCCCCCTCCCGATTATTTGTAAAAGTCAGAAAAGCATTCAATAAAAATTATATTCAAAAAAAGAAAAGGAGATGAGTACCTACTCCAAGAGTCAGACATAACTGGATTTAATGTCAGGGGAAAACCTTTTACCTTCCTAGTTCCAACAGAGGTTCACTACCTCTGAGGATGCTTGCCATAGATGCAGGCGAAACGTCAGGAGAGAATGCCTCTAGAACATGGCCATATAGCCCGAAAAAACCTACAACAACCCAGTGATTCTGGCCATGAAAGCCTTCGACAATACTTTTACCTTTACCTATCTCATCAAGACTCAACCAATTCAACCTAGTTTGTGGCAGCCAGAAAAACGAAGCCACAAAAAAAAACCAGCGCTTCAGGGACAGCAGGAGGAACTTTGGGGGCTACAGAATCTCCCACTAAAGTGGGCAAAGGAAAGAGCTTGGAGGGGAACCCATTCCTGGACTGTACTTCCCAGAATCCCCCAGAAAATGGAACCCTTCCTCCAAGTTCTGCCAATAGCCTATACATCACTAACCAGTATCCCACTAGCCTCAGTTTGACTCCTTAGGCCTCTCCAATGGGCTCTGCTGGGGATTCCTCAGAGCCAAGTCACTATTCAATCCCAGGTTAAGAAATAGCTTTCCAAAGGACTGGAAAAGCCCTTTAAGAAGAATAAAAGATTACCATTGTGCACAATTCTCTCTGGGTTTCAATTGTCCTGAAGAGTTTGCTGCTCAGAAAAACCAGAAAAGGAAAGTTTGTCATTGGGCAGCATATATTGATTTTCCCCCATGGAGCCACAACACCAGAAATCGAATGGATCTGGCAAGATACAGAATGGGGGATGCCTGGCTTGAGAGCATTACATGTGAAAAAGATCTTGGAGTCCTCGTGGACAGCAAGTTAAATGATGAGCCAACAATGTATGTGGCGGCAAAAAAAGCCAATGGGATTTTGGCCTGTATCAATAGGAGCATAGTGTCTAGATCTAGGGAAGTCATGCTACCCCTCTATTCTGCCCTGGTTAGACCACACCTGGAATATTGTGTCCAATTCTGGGCACCACAATTGAAGAGAGATGTTGACAAGCTGGAATGTGTCCAGAGGAGGGCGGCTGAAATGATCAAGGGTCTGGAGAACAAGCCCTATGAAGAGCAGCTTAAAGAGCTGGGCATGTTTAGCCTGAAGAAGAGAAGGCTGAGAGGAGATATGATAGCCATGTATAAATATGTGAGAGGAAGTCACAGGGAGGAGGGTGCAAGCTTGTTTTCTGCTTCCCTGGAGACTAGGACACAGAACAATGGGTTCAAACTACAAGAGAGGAGATTCCATTTGAACATGAGGAAGAACTTCCTGACTGTGAGAGCCGTTCAGCAGTGGAACTCTCTGCCCCGGAGTGTGGTGGAGGCTCCTTCTTTGGAAGCCTTTAAACAGAGGCTGGACGGCCATCTTTCAGGGGTGCTTTGAATGCAGTATTCCTGCTTCTTGGCAGGAGGTTGGACTGGATGGCCCATGAAGTCTCTTCCAACTCTATGATTCTATGATTCTATGATTCTAAGCCATATTGCAAGCTGCTCCCTTCCGAACCCAAAGGGTGCTCGCCAATGCTTCCTCTTCATCCTGGAAAGAAGTGATGAATGCAGTGCCGCAGGGTTCAGTCCTGGCCCTGGTTTTGTTCAACGTCTTTATTAATTACTTAGATGAAGGGTTAGAAGGCATGATCAAGTTTGCAGACGACACCAAATTGGGAAGAATAGCTAATACTCCAGAAGACAAGAGCAGAATTCAAAACGATCTTAACATACTAGAGAGATGGGCCAAAACTAACAAAATGAATCTCAACAGGGACAAATGCAAGATGCTCTACTTAGGCAGAAAAAATGAAATGAAAAGATACAGAATGGGGACGATGCCTGGCTCAACAGCAGTATGTGTGGAAAAAAAATGGGAGTCCTCATGGACAGGAAGGTGAACATGAGCCAACAATTTCATGCGGCAGCTTACAAATCCAATGGGATTTTGGCCTGCATAAATAGGAGATCAGTGTCTAGATCCAGAGAAGTCATACTACCCCTCTATTCTGCCTCACACTGTGTCCAATTCTGGGCACCGTAGCTGAAGGAAGAAGTTGACAAGCTGGAATGTGTCCAGAGGAGGGGGACTAAAATGATCAAGGAGAATAAGCCCTATGAGGAGCGGCTTAAAGAGCTGTGCATGTTTAGCCTTCAGAAGAGAAGGCTAAGAGGAGACATGATGGCATGTATAAATATATGAGAGGAAGTCATAGGGAAAGGGGAGCAGGCTTGTTTTCTGTTGCCCTGGAGACTAGGACGCGGAACAATGGCTTCAAATTACAGGAAAGCTGTTCAGCAGTGGAACTCTCTATATATATTATAATTTATATAACATTATATAATTTATATAATATTATAAATATTACATGTATATAGGTAAAGGTAGAGGTTTTCTCCTGACATGAAGTCCAGTCGTGTCCAACTCTGAGGTGTGCTGCTCATCTCCATTTCTAAGCCGAAGAGCCGATGTTGTCCGTAGACACCTCCAAGGTCATGTGGCCGGCATGACTGCATGGAGCGCCGTTACCTTCCCGCTGGAACTGTACCTATTGATCTACTCACATTTGCATGTTTTTGAACTGCTAGGTTGGCAGAAGCTAAGGCTGACCGTGGAAGCTCACACTGCTCCCCGGATTCGAACCTGCGACCTTTTGGTCAACAAGCTCGGCAGCTCAGTGCTTTAACCCACTGCGTCACTGCATATTTTTAAGCAGGGGTTGGAGACCTACCTAAGTCATAGTGGGCATTCAACTGTGGTGGCATCAGGGGTTGGATTAGATGGCCTTTGGAGTTCCTTCCAGCTCATTGGTCTTGTAATTCCCTGCCTCCCAAAAAAAATGCCACATTTAGGCAGGAGACCGAACTGGGCTTTGGCGAGAGTGCCAGAATGCTCACCCCTTGCCCCTTGCTTTTATCTGACCCACATTCTGGGAATGATTCAGCCCAATTTGGGCACTGCAACATCACAGGCAGAAGAGCAACCAAACTGAGCAAGGGCTTTAGAGTGCCCCAGGTCCACTTTGGGAATGATGGAAGATGCCTTATTGGCATCTTCTATCATTTCTAAAGTGAGCCCGGGGCACTCTGAGGCCCTTGCCTAACTGAGTGTTTTCAGTGCTGGTTGGTTTTCCCACTCTTTCCAAAAGCTCTTCTGTGCAACTGCCAATGGATCCGGTTCTGGAGATGGATTGGTCTACCTGTTGGGAGGAAGGGTCAGGTGCATTCCCCCTCCCAATGCCTTCATTACCAGCAGAGCTAAAAACTGCCCACATGGCTCTCCTTTTTCTCATCCACAGATTTCATGTGGCAGGGAAGGAAGGTGTGCCCAGATGGCCACATCCCCAATTCTGCCCCCAGTCCTTATAAAACCCTGATGAGAGGATGGTGGGGACTTTGAGGCAGGAGGCTGCCAGCCACAGGATCCTTGGCTTCCTTCCTTCCTGAGAGACGGAGTTGGACAGATAACGCCTTAGCAGAAGAGGCGTTTTGCAATTACCTTGCACAGAGAGACAGAGAGAGAAAGAGGCACAGAGAGAAACAGGAATTAACGGCAGCACTTTGGCCTGAGAGGGTGAGATATACATGATTATTATTATTATAAATCAATTTAGGGGCACTGATTGGGAAATTCTCTGGGTGGGTAAAGAAAGTTTGTGACCCTGAGATGAAGGATGGTTTGGAGACCCCAGGATTTGTTTTGTCTTATATCTGTTATAACAGGCTGTGTTTTTATTTAATTTTAGTTTGTTAAGTTATAATTCGTATTTATATGTTGGGTTGTATAAATTTTATTAGTATGGATGTATTGTTGTTGTATTCGGGCATTGAATGTTTGCCTTTTATGTTTGGAATCCACCCTGAGTCCCTTTGGGGAGATAGAGCAGAATGTAAATAAAGTATTATTATTATTAATATTAGAATTAGAATTAGAATTACAACAAGATGAGTCCACAGCAGACACTCTGGTGGCTGTTGTACTGGATCACACGTTGGACACTTCCCAAGTGTCTAGGACTGTGTGATGTATCGGTGGATAATGCATGCAGATCCAAGAAGGCTGGCCTTTTGCAGCTGGCAGATGGCAATCTTGTCAGTGCCGATTGTGTTTAAGTGCAGGCCAAGATCTTTAGGCACTGCACCCTGTGTGCCGATCACCACTGGGACCACCTTTATTGGTTTTTGCCAGAGTCTTTGCAGTTCGATCTTTAAATCCTCATATCGTGTCAGCTTTTCCAGTTGTTTCTCTGCAATCCTGCTGTCACCTGGGATTGCTTATTATTATTATTATTATTATTATTATTATTATTATTATTATCATCATCATCATTGTGTCTTGCATCTGGAACTTACTTTGCAGTATGCATATGAAGCCATGAGGTTGGTGCATGTGTTTTTGCTTTGACTCTTCTGTTGTTCAATCTGTGCCCTAAATTTCTTTGGGTGCCTTGGCTTTTTCTTCTGCCAATAAGAGAGATGAAGGGGAAGAGGCACGAGCCCACTTGCCAAGCCAAAAAACAGTTGTTGTTTGGCACATTGGTGCCGAGTGAGTGCCACAAAGTGTGTTAAACCCAAGCATTATGCATACAGTTAGAGCTCTATAGAGAAAGCAATGGTGTGTTGAGGAGAGGAAAGACGTTAGGGATTCACAGGCTGGATCTACACTACCATATAAAATCCAGATTATCTGATTTGATTTGGATTATATGGCAGTGTAGACTCATATAATCCAGTTCTAAGAAGATAATGTGGATTATCCCCTTTGATAATCTGTATTATATGGCAGTGTAGATCCAGCCACAGAAATATTGTATTGTATGGCTTTGGGGCCATTACTTGGCTCTGAGCCTGTCAAGTAGTCATTCAGGAAGTGCACCTGAATGGCCAGCGGGCTTAATAAGGAAAACCTTATTAAGGAGGGGGGGGGGGGGAGAGAGAGAGAGAGAGAGAGAGAGACCTGCATTACAGTGTAAGGTAAAGGTAAAGGTTTTCCCCTGACATTAAGTCCAGTCGTGTCCAACTCATTACTAAGCCAAAGAGCTGGCGTTGTCCATAGACATCTCCAAGGTCATGTGGCCAGCATGACTCCATGGAGCATCATTACCTTCCTGCTGGAGTGGTACCCATTGATCTACTCACAATTTCATGTTCTCGAACTGCTAGGTTGGCAGAAGCTGGGGCTAACAGTGGGAGCTCACCCTGCTCCCCAGATTCGAACCTGCAACCTTTCAGTCAACAAGTTTAGCAGCTCAGCGCTTTTACCCATCATGCCACCAGCGGCTCCAGTATACAGTGTAAATGTATCCTAAATTTTGGAATCTTCAGTAGGACGGTTTTTCTGAGGCTGGATTGAAACTGCCCTATATCCCAGGATCTGATCCCAAGATTATCTGCTTTGAATTGTATCATTTGAGTCTACACTGCTTGATAATCTGGGATAAGAAGATAATGTGGCATCAGATCCTGGGGTATAGGGCAGTGTAAATGCAGCCTTAGACCCCTTCTACGCTGCCATATACTCCAGATTACAAAAGCAGATAATCCACATTGAACTGGATTATATGAGTCTACACTGCCATATAATCCAGTTCAAAGCAGATAATCTGGATTTTATATGGCAATAGAGGCCCCTTCTGCACTGCCATATAAAATCCAGATAATCTGCTTTAATGTATTGTCGAAGGCTTTCATGGCCGGAATCACTGGGTTGTTGTAGGGTTTTTTGGGGGCTATATGGCCATGTTTTAGAGGCATTCTCTCCTGACATTTCACCTGCATCTCTGGCCTTAGTTTGAGGATGCTTGCCATAGATGCAGGCGAAATGTCAGGAGAGAATGCCTCTAGAACATGGCCATATATCCCGAAAAAACCTACAACAAAGATATATATATATATGTATGTATGTATGTAAAGGTAAAGGTAGTCCCCTGACATTAAGTCCAGTCATGTCTGACTCTGGGGTGTGGGCTCATCTCCATTTCTAAGCCGAAGAGCCAGCGTTGTCCGTAGACACCACCAAGGTCATGTGGCCGACATGACTGCAATATGGCAGTGTAGACTCATATAATCCAATTCAAAGCAAAGAGTGTGGATTATCTGCTTTAATAATCTGGATTATATAGCAGTGTAGAAGGGGCTGTAGATGTGGCCTTAGTTTTACTGCCCACGAAGGCATTTTTGGTGAGGACAGAAGACAGGACATTCTTGCAGCGGATCTACACTGCCATATAATCCAGTTCAAAGCAGATAATCTGGATTTTCAATGGCCTTGGTGGTCGCCTCGAAAGTGTGGGATTCCCTTCCATGAGAAATTCAGTTGCCCGTGGTCTCCCTTTACTGCTCAGCAAAATGCAGGCAGGTTTCAGATCATGGACACAACACTGCATTAAATTCAGTGCTTGGTTTAAATCTCATAACCTATTGAACTGTGTGCATTTTGCTTTCCTGTCCTGCAGTGTTCCGGATTTGGATCTGGCCACATTTTCTTGTAATTCAAATGTGGGGAGAAAGGCAGGATATAAGCCCCATAAATCAGACCTGTGGGGGATGGCCATATCTCCATTTCCATCCCAGTCTCTACTATAGAGACATTCTTTCCTCTTGAAAGGCAATGTTGAGCAACTGTGGCCAAACTGGAGGAAACAGCAGTGCGGCCTGCAACAAAATATTGCAGTGTTACCTTCTCTGGATTCAGATGAAGCAATTGCTCCAAGCCCCTCAAATTGATGAAAAAGCTGTGGCTTGATTCCCTAAATCTCCAAATGTTTATGTCTTATCAGTTTTATGCATTGTCTGAATAACCATAGGAAAAAACAATAGGGTTGGAAATGAGGTTCATATGCAAAGGTTTTAGTGTTGGTGTCTAATGGACCACGTAATTTCTACCATTGCTCTAAAACAGCATTTTTCAAACTGGGGGTTGGGAACCCTGGGGGAGGGGTCATGAGGGGGGTGTCAGAGGGGTCACCAAAAAACCCCAGGAAATACAGTATTTTCTGTTGGTCGTGGGGGTTCTGTGTAGGAAGTTTGACCCAACTCTATCGTTGATTGGATTCAGAATGCTTTTTGATTGTAAGTGAACTATAAATCCCAGCAACTACAACTTCCAAATGTTAACAGGAAACCCTTCCAGTATTTCCTGCTGGTCATGGGAGTTCTGTGTGCCAAGTTTGGTTCAATTCCATTGTCGGTGGAGTTCAGAATGCTCTTTGATTGCAGGTGAACCATAAATCCCAGCAACTACAACTCCCAAATATCAAGGTCTATTTTCCTCAAACTGCACCAGTGCTCCACATTGGGCATATTGAGTATTTGTGCCAAGTTTGGTCCAGATGCATCATTGTTTTGAGTTCTGGATAGAGGTGAACTACAACTCCAAAACTCAAGGTCAATGCCCACCAAACCCTTCCAGTATTTTCTGTTGGTTATGAGAGTTCAGTGTGCCAAGTTTGGTTCAATTCCATCATTGGTGGAGATCAGAATGCTCTTTGTGTGCAGGTACAACTGTACCAGGAGCTCCAATTTTGTTTGCTTTGCATTGAATGTTTGTTATAGTCCTAAGTTTCAGGGACTCTGCAGATAGGTGGCTTCTTTTGGCTGCAATCATAGGGCAAGCCACCTGTCAATTATAGTTAGGTTCCCAGGTCCCGCCCCCTTTTTGGGTTTTGGAGGGAATAGGAGCCAGTTTGAGTTCAGTCCACACAGAGAAGCCTTTCACACAGGACATAAAACCAAGAGCTCCTGTAGAAAGCTTCATCTTCTACGGCTTGGCCGGGGAGATATACAGCCCACAGCTTGGCCGGGGTTATACAGCCCTACAGTTCCTTTACTGAAGGACTTCAGCCAGCCATCACCGAAACCTGAACTTCTTTTCCCTGGAAGTCTACAAAGCTCTGCTTGGTAAGGGTCGCTTGCAGAAGCCAGAAGCAGTTGGTACTTGGTGTAGGGGCTCCACACCAATGGAGGCAAAGACAGACTGCCCAGATTAGAGGTTAAGGATTTCCCCATTAGTTAAAATACAGTTTATGAAGATAGTGCCTGTTCCCTGTGGACAAGATTGAGAGACCCAATAGACTATTAAGAAAGCCTTAAAGTACCTGGTTGTTTTCATTAATAAAGAACTTTGTTGAACCTTTAAGCAATCTAAAGACTCTGATTTAAGGAAATCCAAGGGCCTTTAATCTGAGGCAGCCCCGGTGTCCCATTGGGCACACAGAATATATGTCCTGTCTACAGTCTTATGCACAGGCCCAGCGTGCAACAGCACACTTTGATTGTAGGTGAACTATAAATTCCAGCAACTACAACTCCCAAATGACAAAATCAATCCCCTCCCCCTAATCCCACCAGTATTCAAATTTGAGCATTATCAGGAATTTGTGCCAAATTTGGTCCAGTAAATGAAAATATATCGTGCATATCAGATATTTACATTAGGATTAATAACAGTAGCAAAATTATGTTATGAAGTATCATATCAGGTGCCCAAAATTACCCACCTCCAGTCTCAAATGGCATCAGTGGTACATAGAACATCATGTTCCTGCAAAGAGTACATTCCTGGAACTTTTTGTTTGCTCAGAAAACAACATTTGTTGCACTAGTGGAGGCAGATGAGAGGGGTGACGCAGGTGGCGGTGTCTGGGTGCCATAATGTGATTTTTCTGCCCAATTTCCCTGTCATCAAAGCACCACAGGGAAGGTGTCGGAGAGCTGCTGTCTGCCTGGTGATTCAGCAGAGTCCCTTCCGCCAATCCCTCCAAAACCTTCCTCCCTCAGGGCTAAGGATGAAGACTCGCTGCCCTTGCAGAGCAGGAAAGGAAACCAGGAGGTCTCTGGGAATGTGCAGAGTCCCTTTCTCTGACTCACAGGAAACAAGCAACACTGTCTCCAGGTTGCAGCAGATTTGACTGGGAAATTTGCTTTCTTTCCCACTTGAGTCACATCTGTCAGTTTTGCGTTGAAAAGCATTTGCTGTTGTTTGGATCTGAGGACTTGCATGTATCTTTACCCAAAGATACAGTTTCTACAGCTATAAGTAGTTGTCTCAGGCCCCTTCAACACTGCCAAATGAAATCCAAATTATCTGCTTTGAACTGGATTATATGGCAATTTTTTCGTGCTAGGAGCAATTTGAGAAACTGCAAGTTGATTTTGGTGTGAGATTGGCCGTCTGCAAGGATGTTGCCCAGGAGATGCCCAGATGTTTTGATGTTTTACCATTCTTGTGGGAGGCTTCTCTCATGTCCCCACATGGGGAGCTGTAGCTGACAGAAGGAGCTCATCCACGTGAAATCATGGAGGAATTTAAAAGGGTCTGGTCCTGAAGGAGAGACCCTGCAGACCCACCAAAGAGGGCTCGCTACAATGGTGAGCAAAGAGAAGCCCAATTTAAAAGGTTTTTCCTAAGTTCTCAAAAGAAATCTCACCAAAGTTGGAGGAAGCACCACCGAGATGATTTTATTGCGATTCAGCTGAAAAAGATGCAAAGCAGCAATATTTCACCAAGCTGAGCATACAGTGTACAAAAATAAAGGCCTTTTATACATAAAATAAAGCTGCCAGGTTTGAATCTCCCATTCCCCGCCCCTCTGCCAGCTCGACGATGATTGGCTGGCGCTCTACAGCTGGGAGGAGGCTTGGCCTCCTCCTGAGCACCTGGGCCAATCGCTGGGCTTCTACCGCTTCGGTGTCCTGACGATTCAGGATAGAGGGAGGCGGGACAAGAGGGAAACAATGGATTCTTGAGAGGATTATGGAGGTAGGAAATGTCTAAGCGGCCAGAGAGTCCTGGGGCCTGCGAGCCAGCCATTCCTATTATCATTGAGTGGCTGCAATAAACATAATCTGGATTTTTCCAGTGCTGAGAGACAGGAACAAATGAGGGAATCTTGACTGTGGTTTCAGTGGATAAAAGTTGAATCAGTAACAGATTAGGACAAGGTGTGGCTTTCCGAAGGCTTCCTTTGTCCTATTGAGATATGATCATAAATGCCAAGTGACCGCTTCCTCTGGGGGGGCCAACTCCGAGGCCAGAGGCCACAATCCTTTGTTATTGTCCATGCAAAAAGTGTCTTTTGATAAGGGTCTTTTCAACTGGAGATTTCCTTCTTTCCAGGGTCATGCAGGGGTTGCTGCCTTGTATTTTTATACATTTTTCAATAAAGGGGAATTGGGCAAAAGGGTCAGGAAAAGCTCAGATACACAGGGAGGAATATAGAAATATAGAAATCATGTTATAGTAAATATACCCACTTATCCCTCCCACCAGAGTCCCATAGAAGTTCGAGAGAGCACATAAGTGTAAAGGGAGGTGGTTTCTCAGTAATAAATGTGCTACCTTTTGCTGTATATGAAACATAGGGCATAAAACCTTGATTAAATGTACACACTATCTAACATGGGAAGGGTCCTTGTTGTTGTTAGTGTCTTGGCAAACTGACCAAGGCTTAACCCTTATTATCCAGTCTGGTGTCCTTGTCCTTAGCAAAACTATAAGTTACTATCTTTTATTGGGGGAGGGGGTCATGTTCGACTTCACACGTTCTCCCCAGATTCGAACCTCCAATCTTTGCCTCCAGGTACTGCGGAACTCCCCGCTGCAGGTCAAATTAATTTAAAAGCAGGGGTCTGAGCTGCGCTCGGTATCACAAACAGTTATGAAGTAGCAACAAAAATAATTTTATGGTTAAGGGTCACCACAAAATGGGTATCTGTATTAAGGGGGTTTGGCATTAGGAAGATTGAGAACTACTGGCGTAGATTCACCCTAACAGCTCTACAATCTCATTAAAAGCAGTTCCATCCTGAGCTTTGGTTTCAGCAGTTGGAATTAATTCTCACATTGTCACGTTGCCCAATTACACAGATAGGGATTGGTTTCTTTTTCTTTGTGGCAAACAGTTTAATATCTCCAATTTGCAGTTGGATCCCTGGCTGCAATCTCTCATCTCAGAACCATTTCCAAAATGCAGACCCCAATCAAAAGTTCTCGTTTTTTAAAACAGAAAATACTTTAAATTAGCAGAGAGATCTCTAATAGAGCATAGAATCATAGAGTTGGGAGAGAGCTCATGGGCCATCCAGTCCAACCCCCTGCCAAGAAGCAGGAATATTACATTCAAAGCACCCCTGACAGATAGCCATCCAGCCTTCATTTTATTAGTTTTGGCCCATCTCTCTAATCTGTCAAGATCGTTTTGAATCCTGCTCCTGTCCTCTGGAGTACTGGCTATCCCTCCCAATTTGGTGTCAATTTGGAAGCTTTTGGTTTAAAAACTTCCAAAGAAGGAGCCTCCACCACACTGCTGAACGGCTCTCACAGTCAGGAAGTTCTTCCTAATGTTCAGATGGAATCTCCTTTCTTGTAGTATGAAGCCATTGTTCCATGTCCTAGTCTCCAGGGCAGCAGAAAACAAGCTTGCTCCCTCCTCCCTGTGACTTCCTCTCACATGACTATCATATCCCTCTCAGCCTTCTCTTCTTGAGGCTAAACATGCCCAGCTCTTTAAGCTGCTCCTCATAGGGCTTGTTCTCCAGACTCTTGATCATTTTAGTTGCCTTCCTCTGGACACATTCCAGCTTGTCAATATCTCTCTTCAATTGTGGTGCCCAGAATTGGACACAATATTCCAGGTGTGGTCTAACCAAAGCGGAATAGAGGGGTAGCATTACTTCCCTAGATCTAGACACTATGCTCCTCTTGATGCAGGCCAAAATCCCATTGGCTTTTTTGCCACCACATGACATTGTTGGCTCATGTTTAACTTGCTGTCCACAAGGACTCCAGGATCTTTTTCACTCGTACTGCTCTCGAGCCAGGCATCGTCCCCCATTCTGTATCTGCATTTCATTTTTTTCTGCCTAAGTGGAGTATCTTGCATTTGTCACTGTTGAACTTCATTTTGTTAGTTTTGGCCCATCTCTCTAATCTGTCAAGATCGTTTTGAATCCTGCTCCTGTCCTCTGGAGTATTGGCTATCCCTCCCAATTTGGTGTCATCTGCAAACTTGATGATCCTGCCTTCTAACCCTTCATCTAAGTCATTAATAAAGATGTAAATCGTAATTAAGATAAAATATAACAAGAGCCCGAACTAAGGATGGCATCAATGTTTTGCAGCTTTATCCCATTTTGGTTTCATTACACTAACCCTGTCTTATGCAATGGAAAACACAAAATGCAGCTTTTCTATTGCCGGGAAGTGAAATTTGCAGCATTCTGCAAACAGATGGGCAAAATTTCACATCATTTGCATTGTCTGGTCACGACATTGGCCTCTTTCTGTATTTCTAGTGCCTCGGAGCAGCAAAATTGGCCCTGATTTGTCCTTCTGTTGGAGGGGGAAAGGGTGGAGGGGAATTATGAGACATTGCCACGTGCCTGAGGTTTTTCACAGGTCTGAAACCAAAGCAGACAAGAAGCAAATCAGGGTTTTTGCCATGTTGCTGCCAATCCTTCTTTCAGGCACAAAAGATGGTGAAATTCTAGACTTCACAGAGTGCATCCACACAGAAGAGCTAATGCAGTTTGACGTCATTTGAACTTCCATGGCTCGGTGCTATGGAATCCTGGGTGCTGTATTATTTTAGCAGGTCTTTCCCCCCTTCTACAAACTACAACTCCCAGGATTTCATAGCACTGAGCCACAGCACTGAAAGTGGTGTCGAACTGCATTCATTCCACAGTATAATAATGAATTTTATTATTACAGTCATAATAATTATGGTATTGGGTTGCTGTGAGTTTTCTGGGCTATATGGCCATGTTCCAGAAGCATTCTCTCCTGACGTTTCAGCCACATCTATGGCAGGCATCCTCGGAGGTTGTGAGGTCTGTTGAAAATTAGGCAAGTGAGGTTTATATATCTGTGGAATAATGTCCAGGGTGGGAGAATGAACTCTTGTCTGATTGAGGCAAGTGTGAATGTTGCAATTGGCCACCTTAATTAGCATTGAATGACCATACAGCTTCAAAGCCTGGCTGTTTCCTGCCTGGGGGAATCCTTTGTTGTGATGTGTTAGCTGGCCCTGATTGTTTTCTGTCTGGAAATCCCCTGTTTTAAACCTCATTGAATCTAACTAGGAGGAAGGATCTCCTAAATTTGGGAGTGTCTATCTTTGATAAGTAGAGGCTGTAGGCAAACCACCCTGGGTTCACTGCCTATTTCAATTCGGGGGGGGGGGGGGAAGGATACATGTCCCACATTGACGTCTGCCTGAATGTATGTCTCTCTCCATTGCAGGTAATGCCTGACCGCTGATCGGACCCATGGCTGCCCTGAAGGAGCCCTGGACAAGCCCCCTGGGAGGCGCCATCCTCTTCCTTCTGCTGCCTGGAGGTGGGTGGCCAGGTGGGACCATTGATATTCCCTCTGAAAGAATGGGTTCCCTGTGTGCCTTAATGCTCTGAGCCCATAGCAAGACAACCAAAGCATCAACTGAAAATTTCTATAACGCTTATATTTGTAGTTAGAGAATAAATAGACAACTGAATGCATCTACAACTGCCTTTAAGAATATCTTTTTCTTTGTTTGTTTTTCCCCTCTTCCCTCCTTATTCACTTTTTCTTTCTGTCTTGAGTTTCTTTTCAAGCAAAATGTAATAATGCAATAAAATGTAATAAGTTTTATTACATTTTTAAAATTTGCAATAAAATATTAGATAGATAGATAGATAGATAGATAGATAGATAATATGTAGATTAGATAGATAGGTGATAGATAAGATATAGATTAGATAGATGATAGGTAGATTAGATAGATAGACCACGTGGATGGATGGATATGGTATAGGTATATAGATGAATAGGTAGACTAGATGAATGGATGGATGGAAAGATGATAGAAAGAGAGAGGGAGGGAGAGAGAAATAATAGACTGGATAGATGGATGCAGGGTAGATATATAGATAAATAGCTTATACGTAGACTAGATGGATGGGTAGATGGATAGACAGATAGATAGATAGATAGATACATTAGATGATAAGTAAAATAGATGGATGGATGGATGGATAGATAGATGACTGGTAGAATAGATGGGTGGATTTTTGGGAGATAGATAGATAGATGATTGTTGAATGAATGGATGGGTGACAGAGATGAGTGAGAGAGAGAGATGTAGATTAGATAAATAATAGAAAGATTAGAGATATAGACAGATATATGATAGACTGGATGGATGGATGGATGGATGGATGGATGGATGGATGGGTAGGTAGGTAGATAGATAGATAGATAGATAGATAGATAGATAGATAGATAGATAGATAAGATAGATAGATAAGATAGATTAGATGAATGTGGGATAGGTATATAGATAGATGGATGATAGGTAGAATAGATGGATAGATGGACAGACTAGAGAGATAGATAGATAGATAGATAGAGAGAGAGAGAGAGAGAGAGGTAGGTAGATAGATAGATAGATAGATAGATAGATAGATAGATAGATGATAGATAGATGATAGATAGATAGATAGATAGATAGATAGATAGATAGATAGATAGATAGATAGATGATAGGTAGCATGGATGGATGGGTGGATGGACAGACTAGATGATAGATAGGTGGATGATTGGTCAAATGGATGGGAGATAGATAGGTAGGTAGATAGATAGATAGATAGATAGATAGATAGATAGATAGATAATAGATGATTGGTTGAATGGATGGTTGGGTGGACAGAGATGAGTGACAGAGATGTAGATTAGATAAATGATAGGTAGATTAGAAAGATAGACATGATATAATAGACTGGATGGATGGATGGATGGATGGATGGATGGATAGACAGATAGACAGACAGACAGACAGACAGACAGACAGACAGACAGACAGATGACATCTGCCAAGTTTTGGTACCTAATGAAACCTTGGAATTATTTCAATAGCAACAGAAGACTTGGAGAAACAGAAAACATTGTTTTTTCAACCCTATCAGGGGTGGGGTTTGATGCAATCCTCTGAGTGTTGCTGCACTACACCTCCCAGTATCTCTCCTCCTTTTACCCTGCTGGCTACTGGGACTCTTAGGGCCTGCAGTCACTATTTCTGGCTCCCCTTTCCATGTTGTGATGCTATTTGCTTCCTGGGAGGCTCTTCTGACGTGAGCCTTCCCCTTTTCCCTCCACAGTCCTGACCTTGCCCTGCAGCCACATCGCCCTTGATGCCCCTGTTGTGCGCTGGGGAGGCAGGGTCTCAGCCTCCTGCACTGTCTGGACCCACCGGTGTGCATTCCCAGGGGAAGGGGCCACCCAGGTGATGTGGAGGTGGGATGAAGAACTCTTCGCTGGGAACCAGCAGAGCCTGGGCAATGGGGTAGAAGTCTCCAACATCACCATTGGGCCCCTCAACCGTACTGTGACCACAGTCAGCTGTTTGGTGAAGAGGAAAATGGAGGTGGCCCAATTGATCAACCTCACCCAAGTCCAGGCCGGATGTAAGTAGACGGATGGGGGGACATTGGAATTCAACCACACACGCCTCAAGTCTGTAGTCTTCAATGAGAAGCAGATAGATAGAATCAAGCCAGACTGAGGGAATCCTTTATTTCCCTCTCATTCCTGAATGCTTGATTATGTAGTTCTGTTTTCTCTCACTCTCTGTCCTTTCTCCTGCCATTCTCATTGATGGCGTAGAATGGAACTTCTTTAGGGTGCAATTTCCTTTGTTTTAAGGCAGGCATGGGCAAACTTGGGCCCTCCAGGTGTTTTGGACTTTAACTTCCACAATTGCTAACAGCCAGAATTGTGGGAGTTGAAGTACAAAACACCTGGAGGGCCGAAGGTTGCCCATGCCTGTTATGCCTCATGGTCATTCCTTCATTCCTTAACCTCCCTTTCATTCTAAATTGAGGGTTGGAGGGTGCATCTACACTGAATGAAAGTGATTTGAGCCCACATTACTCCCATGACTCAATGCTATGGAAGCCTAGGTAGATTCCATAGATTCTACCTAGATGTAGATTCCAGTGCTATGGAAGCCTAGGTAGGTTAGATAGATAGATAGATAGATAGATAGATAGATAGATAGATAGATAGATAGATAGATAGACAGACAGATATATGATAGACCACATGGATGGACCGATATGGTATAGGTATATAGTTGAATGATAGGTAGACTAGATGAATAGATGGATGGAAAGATGATGGAGAGAGAGAGTGAGAGTGAGAGAGAGAGAGAGAGAGAGAAAGAAAGAGAGATGATAGATGATAGATGATGGACTGGATAGATGGATGTGGGATAGGTATATAGATAGATGGATGATGTGTGGACTGGATGGATGGATAGAAAGATAGGAAGATTAGATAGATGATAGTTAGAATGGATGGATGGATAAATGGATGGACGATTGATAGAATAGATAGATGGATGGTTGGGAGATAGATAGATAGATAGATAGATAGATAGATAGATAGATAGATAGATAGATAGATGGATTATAGGTAGAATAAATCGATGGATGAATGGATGGATGGTTGGATGTATGGATGAACAAACTAGCTAGCTAGCTAGATAGATAGATAGATAGATAGATAGATCAGACAGATGATAGATAGGCGGATGATAGGTAGAATGGATGGATGGGAGATGGATAGATAGATAGATAGATAGATAGATAGATAGATAGATGGATGATTGGTTGAATGGATGGTTGGGTGGGCAGAGATGAGTGACGGAGATATAGATTAGATAAATGATGGGTAGATTAGAAAGATAGACATGATGTGATAGATTGGATAGATGGATAGATGGATAGATAGCTAATGAGACATTAATGGAAAACCTTACAAAACTGCAGCTCCAATGCTTCCATAGCACTGAGCCATGGTAGTCAAAAGGAAGCCAAGCTGCATTAATTCTATAGTCCAGGTGCAGCCTAAGATGGATGTGCCATGTTCAGTGAAAGAGATCCAGATTTGGGGAGGTTCTTCCCCGACTGTGGCAATATAGTGAGGCGAGCATCAGCCCAAACCCTTCCTCTCTTCACTTAGACCAGGCGTCCTCAAACTCCCAAAATTCTTGATCATTGAACAAGCTTGCCACAGGGGCTTCTGGGAGTTGGAGGCCCAAACTGCCGGCGGGCCGCAGTTAGGGGACGACTGACAGACTGTGTCATCCATCAGATCCTCCATCGGAGCCCCAGAACATGACCTGCATCATGAATGTGACCACAAAGAACCTGACCTGTCACTGGGACCCAGGACAAGACAGTCTCCTTCCGACCAAGATCGCTCTCCATGGTGTCCAGTAAGGAAAAGGAACTTCTGGAAGAAATCACTGATGGCTCCAGGATCAGACTGGATCTACTGTATTTAGTCAAATCTAATGCTCACTTTTCTTTTCTTTTTTTTTTCTTTTTTTCTTTTTTTTTTTTTTGCTAAATGATCTCTCCAAATTTAGGGTGCACGTTAGATTCAAGTTAGTGCTGAGCAAAGCCAAAGGGGAAGCTGCTTCAGGAGCTGCACCTGGAGCTCCTATTTGAGGGATGTCATCTCTCATTTAATAGTTATGGTGTCATGACTTGAAAGAGCATTGTCTTTGACTAATGTAAACAGAGATCATTTCCTTTAGAGTTAATACAGTTCCTGGACAGATGTAAACAAATGTAAACATTTACATTACAGTTCTTATCACAGTTTACCATTTCAGTTCTCACTAGCAGGTTTTTAATTACAGTCCAGAAAGCAGGTAGTTAGCCATTTCAGGCCTTAATCCTTTAGAATGGTGTCTCCAAAATTATCAACTCTATCCATTCATCTTTCATTCAGCTCCATTCATACCCACACATATCAAATCCACATTTATCAAATCTGCACATTATATTTCTTGTGACAATGGCTGAATGCCATTGATCCTGGGATTTGTAGTTTGGTGAGGCATCAGCATTCTTTGGTAGAGAAAGCTCGAGGCTTTGTGAAACTACAGTCCTCATGACGCGATAGCATTGAACCAAAGCAGTAAAAAATGCATCCATTCTACAGCATAGATGCACCTCAAGATTTTCCATTCCATTGATAGAAGCTTTGGTGTCCTAACAGTTTTGTTGTTAAAGAAGGAATCCTAAGCAACTGCAATGCGCACCAGTTAAAGTCCAAAACACCTAGAAGAGGGCCAAAGTTGGCCCATGCCTCCTCTAAGTATTATTTTTGTACTTTTAAATACTCTACAGTAGGGGTCCTCAACCTTTTTAAACAGAGGACCAGGTCACAGTCCCTCAAACTGTTGAAGGGCTGGATTATAATTTGAAAAAAATACAAATGAATTCCTATGCACACTGAACAGATCTTATTTGTAGTGCAAAAAACACTTAAAAACAATACGATAATTAAAATTAAGAACAATTTAAAGAAATATAAACTTATTAGTATTTCAATGGGAAGCATGGGCCTGATTTGGCTGATGAGATAGGATTGTTGTTGTTGTTGTTGTTGTGTGCTTTTCAGACATTTCAGACTTAGGTTGACCCTGAGTGAGGACCGGATAAATGACCTTGGAGGGCCATATCCAGCCCCTGGGCCTTAGTTTGAGGACCCCTGTTCTACAGTTTTTGGGGGAATTTCCCTAACATTTCCCTCTTGCCTTTCCAGGACTGACAAGAACTGCACCATCCACCGGGCGACCATTTCTCCCTGCGTCCCTCCGTCTGGCCAGAGTTTCTGCACCATTCCTCGCCATGATTTCCAGCTCTATCAGTTTGTGAGGCTCTGGGTCTCAGTGGAGAATGACTTGGGAGCCACAGCATCGAGGCCCCTCTGTGCCGACCCCATGGATTTAGGTGGGAAAGACACACACACACACACACCCCGGCCAAGCTTGGTCCCTTTTGCTGGCTGTTTTTGTTGGGTCACAAAAAAGTTTCCATGGGATTTGGGTGGAGGAGAGGGCATGGATGGGTAGGAAACACTGAGCAAATCTCATTCTCAGATAATGATTGGTTGCCCTCTCCCCTTTTTGGAAGACTTTAATAATTCACACTGCCTTAAGAAAGCAATTTTTTTTCTTAAGGATCCATATCAGCCTGGATACTCTTCTTTTTTTGAATGATTACCATCTTGCAGATGGTATAGGATGGTAAAAACAAGGACAATAGGCTGAGAGAGAGCTTTTATCCTAGAGCCATGACCAGGCCCGTAGCCAGGATTTCGTTTCGGGGGGGGGGGTTAATTTTTTTCAGGGGGGGTCGGGGGGGCTGAGTCTGAGTGAAAGAGGGTCTAGCCTAGCAAACCTTTTGTATCATTACACCAATACCCCCATGCATATGGGATATATTGAGTATGGTGATCAGATCATGATATGAATAAACATAACAGTTTAAATAATGCACCAGTAAGGCCTTTTCGCAAACCACCATGAGAATTTCGGGGGGGGGGGGGGATAAAAGGATGGGTGCTTTGTTTTGTAATTTGTACATATATAATGCGTATTGGGGATGGCATTTAATTCCGTGGTATGATGCATAATGACAATAAGGTCATTCTATTCTATATCCCAGGATCAGATCCAAGCTTATCTGCATATTCTAGATTATATGACAGTGAGGATTCATATAATTCAGTTCAAAGCAGATAATATGGGATTAGATCCTGGGATAAGGGGCAGTGCAGATCTAGCCTGAGTCTCCAGGGCAGAAGAAAACAAGCCTGCTCCCTCTTCCTTAGGACATCGTTTCAGTATTTAAACATAGCCATCATATCTCCTCACAAGTTCTGCTCCAACGCATTTATGTAAAGGGTCTTTACTTTCTATGTTCTCCCTTCCAGTCAAGCTGGATCCTCCTGTCCTACAAGCACTGCGTTCTCACCCAGAAGAGACCAACTGTGTGGAGGTGTCTTGGGAGGGAGCCGAGGGCAGCGGCCGGTACATGCACCAGGACTGCCAGCTCCGCTTCCAGACAGAGCTGGACCAAGAGTGGGCCCTGGTGAGTATCTCCGCCAGTGGTTCCCCTTCCCCAACGGGCAGGGAATTCCTTCTCTACTCTGCTTTGAGCTCTGCCCAAGGTGCTGGGACGATTCACTCTAAGGAGGCATCTTCACTATGGAATTAAGGCAGTTTGGAGCCACTTGAAGTGCTTTGGTTCAAAGCTGTGGAATCCTGGGAGCTGAGGTTTCACATGGTCAAAAGCATTGGTATCTCACCAAACTACTATGAACAGACAGACAGATAATAGGTAGACTGGGTTGATGGACGGTAGCTAGCTAGATAAACAGATGGCTGATAGGCATACTAGAAAGATGGATGGATGGATGGATGGATGGATGGGTAGGTAGGTAGGTAGGTAGGTAGGTAGGTAGGTAGGTAGGTAGATAGATAGATAGATAGATAGATAGATAGATAGGATGGAGATTAGATGGATGGATGGATGGAATGAAAGATAGATAGATAGATAGATAGATAGATAGATAGATAGATAGATAGATAGATAGATAGATAGAGATAGAGAGATAGAGAGATAGATAGATAGTTATAGATAGATAGATAGATAGATAGATAGATAGATAGATAGATAGATAGATAGATAGATAGATTATATGGAGATTAGATGGATGGATGAGTCGATGAGGGGGAGGCACTAGATGGATGGAGAGTAGATAGATAGATAGATAGATAGATAGATAGATAGATAGATAGATAGATAGGCCAGATAAGCATATCCAATGAAGCCTTGGTGAGTCCTGCAGCTCCCACTATTCCATAGCACTGAGCCATGACATTCAAAGTGGTATCAAACTGCATTCCCTCTGCAATGCAAATGCACCCTATGACAACCAACAATGTAATAATTTGTGGTTTTGATTATTAGTAATTAAATCAGTCTATAATGGTAGGACAAGGAACCTTCACAAATAACATTTGGAAGGCAGTAAGGAATAGTGTATAACTAATTGCTAATTAATCCCTTACTTCTGTGCAATATATGAGTCATTTGGGCCCTGTGTATGTTTTTCCTCTTTTCCTTTGTGGCCTTGTTGTTTCATTTGTGTGTCTTGATTGCATAATTTCAAACTGAATCTATCTGGAGGATGAGAAAAAAAGGTTTTTGAAAAGGGCATTTAGCGTGACTGGATTCCTCTTTGGGGCCTCTCTTTTTGTGCCCCTTCTTTTCTCAGGCCGAGTTTCCCAATGTCGCCCCCTTCACCTGGAAAACCCAACACTGCGGCTTTCGTTATGGCGCCCATTACCAGGCCCAGATGCGCTGCAGAAGGTTCCCAGTTGGCTACTGGAGTGACTGGAGCCCTCCAAAGAACTTCACTACCCATGAAAAAGGTGAGTGTCCCCATAATTCAGGGTCACTGGGAAAGGGGCCAGATCCTCAGGTCTCCTCCTGAGCTCTCTGTTGGGTGCAGAATGTCCCCAAAGCCTCTGCTTCTTCCCTCCTGCAGAGCCTTCAGGAAACCTTGTGACCTGGTGGAAGACAAAACCCAAAAGGACAGAGAAGGGGACAGAGGTGCTGCTGATGTGGAAGGTGAGCAATGATAGCCCTCAAGACCAAAACCTCATCCTCTTGGATTGGTATCTCATGAGGCTCTCAGGTGATCACCATCCATCGGAAGTTGATGATAGACTCATGTTGGAAGACCTTGAACTTTCTGGCACGAAAACATCTTTAGGAATTTCTACTTCATTCTGCTAGGGAAATTCCTCAAAATAGCAAAGCAACAGGATACTTAGCACAGCATTTTCACAGCAAGCAGCAGCGATATAGTGTGGCTGTAAAGAATTTTTGAGGTTGAGGAAGCGAGATGCAGAGTTCAATCTTAAAAGTTTCAAAAAGGTTGATTAAAACATAAGAACTCCATAAAAATATTGACAGAAAAGATTGGATCTAAGCTTTCTCTCTAACCCCATGGCTTTGAAGTTCAAACAAAAGAGAAAATCTCTAAAGGCTGCATTTCCCTATTCACACAGACAAGAGAGAGATCAGAATGAAATAGAAGGTGCATCAAAGAAGAATGACCATGAGGTCTTAAAACAAAGGAGCATGCATCCTGAAGAATTCCATTCTATGCCATCAATTAGGATGGGAAGAGAAAGAATAGAGAATGAGAGAAAACAGAGCAACCACAGGCATTCAGGAATGAGGGGGAGAAGAGGTTCCCTCAGCCTAGCTTAATTCCATCTATCTCCTTCTCACTGAAGACTACAGGCTTGAGCTGTATGAATTCCAAGACCTTCCAGATCTGAAGTCTTTTGAAGGATAGAATATGGAATTTCCTAATGCCCTCCATCAGCCAGATGGGGCTAGAGTCTGCCATGAATCTAGACCTGGGTTGGTGAAGCTTTCACCCAGCTATTAAAGGTGTTCTCCATGGTGCTGAAACATGGTTGACCATGGAATGGAACCAAAGGACTGAGACAAAACTAGAAAGGCATTTGCTCCAGGATCTCTTGGTCCTTTCACATGGCCCTATGGTAGAAATAGACCATAGAATCACATAGGAGGACCAAGAGAAAAATTCATTCTAGTAATCTCTAGATCCTTCAGCATGACTCTACCGTCAACTTCTAATGGAAACCGCTAATAAAATGGCACTGGAGGACCAAGACATTCCTAGAGAGGTATTGGCGCTAGAAATCTCTAAGTATTTCAAAATGATTCACTTGTGGAGTTTGACCATGGAGTCACAGTAGAGGTTCCTAAAGATGTGTCTGATCTAGAAATTTCTAAGCCCTTCACCATGAGTCTATTAGTGACTTCCAATGGATGTTGAACATAGAATGGCACTGGAGAACTGAGCTATTCCTAGCATTCTTTGCTCTAAGAATCTATAGGTCTTTTAATATGATTGTATGGTGGAGTTTGACCATAGAGTCACACTAGGTGTTTGTTCTATGAAGTTCTAGGTGTGGAGTCACACTGGAGGGGCTATAGATTCCAATAGAGAATATTCAAATCAAGTCAGTGAATAATCAAATCCACAAAAGCTAACCCTGCATTTGTGGCCGGACGACTATATTATTTCTATCTTTGTTCTGGATTGTCTCCTTGCTTTACAGCCAATGGGAGCAGAAGAGACCCATGGTAAAATCCTGGGCTACCTGGTGACAACTGGGAGGTCCCTGACCCTCTGCAATACCACCACCTTGCATTGTACCTTCTCCTTGCCACCCGGGACTCAGAAGGTCCTCCTCAGAGCCTACAACTCCAAGGGACCCTCTCCACCCACCGAAGTCCTCCTGACTGACAAGAAAGGTAAACAGGATCTGCTCAATGTATATATGTGTTTGTGTCATTGGAGGTGGGCTAGTAGTCTTTCTGGCCATCTGTGGATTCCAACATCAGCGGCTTGAAAATATTTATTATTTTTATAATATTTACAGTATTTATATACCGCTTTTCTCACCCCTAGGGGGACTCAAAGCGGTTCCAAAATATTCCAAAAGGAAAATATTCCAAAAGGCAAAAGGAACATCATTTTACTATTGTTGAGCATCCATAGGGCCATATTTTGCTCACTTCTGTCCTCCAAGTTGGGAAACCACATCCCTTGGATAAAATCTCTTTCTCTTCTAAAACTCACAATAATAATAAATTAATAATAATAATAATAATAATAATAATAATAATATGCTCTCATCTCTGAGATATCAGAGAATAGGCCTGCTCCATATGACCTTTGCAATATAATAATTTTAATAATAATAATAATAATAATAATAATAATAATAATAATAATAATAAAGTCTCTGGAGTATCAGAGAATGAGCCTGCTGCATGTGACCTTCTTTCCATATAATAAAAAGATTAATATTAATATTAATAACAACAACAACAATTGAGTTTAGTCTCTAGAGGATCAGGAAAAAAGCTTGCCCCATACAGCCTCCTTTCCAATATTATAATAATAAATAATTGACTCTAGTCTCCAGAGCAGCACAGAACAAGTCTGCCCCATACAACCTTATTTGCAATATAATAATGATGATGATGATGATGATGATGATGATGATGATGATGATGATAATAATAATAATAATTTATTTCATTTCCTACCCGTCTCTCCTCATAGCTCATCAAAACCTACAAAACAGGGCCAACGCTAAGCTAAAATATCCAATTGTCTTCTCCTGACAGTTTCAATGGCAGGGAATTTGGGGGAATCCTTGAGGAAACCCATGATTCACAGCCCTCTCCATCCAAGCAGCAGCAAATAATTGCTGTTGTTATTATTTGTTTGTTGGTTACCTACCTCTCCTCAAGAATCAAGTTGGGGTACAACACAAGTTAAATTACTTATATAAAATATAAGGTGGTTAAGATACATATATGAAAATACTGTTTCCAAGAAAACTCTCAGCTCTGGCTTCTTCCCTCTCCTCTCCTACCCTGCGCCATTCCTTCTGACCAATCCCACCCCGCTTTGCAGGTCAGCCAGTGCCCCAAATCCGAGCCCTCCCTTGGGATGAGAAGAGCATCCAGGTTTCCTGGGATCCTCCAGGAACATCATCACCTGTGGCTTACATCCTGGAGTGGCACAGGGTAACCTCCATGGATTTGCCAGAGAATGAGGTGCAATGGATGAGGCTGGGAAATGGGAGAATCAGTCAAGGCTTGATCCAAGGTGAGTGGCAGGGAAGAGGGGTTGGTGCCTTTTGGGAAGGGAAAACAACACGGATCTAAGAGAAGAAGTTCTTTAGGGTGTCTTTCTGCAGGAGAATTTCGAATGTTGCTTTATATTGAATAGGCCTGTGCGATCAATGAAAAAAATGTTTCAATACTCATTCCTAAATTGGGGGAAGGAGCAATTAGGTAGGCTGTTAGGGATTGTGATAGTTGAAGTTCAAAACACCTGGAGCGGCAAAGTTTGCCCATACCTGATCTACACTGCAGAATGGAAGCAATTTAACACCACTTTGACTGTCATGGATCCTCAGATTTGTAATTTGATGTGTTCAACTTTAGCCTTCTCTGCCAAAGAGCACAAATTAGAAATCCCTGGATTCCATGACACTGAGCAACAGAAGTTCAATCAGGTCCGAATGACATTCTGCAATTTAGACGCACCCAATGTTGTCTTCTGAAATTCCCACTTGAAGTAGGGCAATGATATGATATGCTGCCAGTTCCAACTTCAGTACTTCTCTACATCCTCCTGCAACTTCCCCCTTCTCTCCTTCAGAAGATATCCAGCCGTTCCAGCGCTACAACATCTCAGTCTACCCGCTCTACAAGGACGGAAGGGGGGTTTGCAAATACGTGGAAGCTTACACCATGCAGAAAGGTATTTCCCTTCTTCCATATTGTTTACTTTTCCTTGGGTTTGGCTGGTCATTCAAGATTATTTTTTTTGTCGTGTCAGGAGCAAGTTGCTTCTGGTGTGAGAGAATTGGCCGTCTGCAAGGACGTTGCCCAGGGGACGCCTGGATGATTTGATGTTTTTTTATCATCCTTGTGGGAGGCTTCTCTCATGTCCCCGCATGAGGAGCTGGAGCTGATAGAGGGAGCTCATCCGCCTCTCCACGGATTCGAACCTGCGACCTGTTGGTCTTCAGTCCTGCCGGCACAGGGATTTTACCCACTGTGCCACCAGGATGCCTTGAAGTGATTGAAGATGCCTTGAAGTGATTGTAAAGGGGCATCTTTCCAGGAAAAGCAAAGCTATTTATTGCTGGTTTGGAGCCTTGCTTGCACCAGAAGTTGTGTGGTCCTCAAGCCCATTTAGAGGGAAAATCCAGAGACCTACTTGAATTAAACCTTTCCCTTACGCTCCTTATATCCAACATGGCTTGTGTTCCCAAAATTAAAAGGTGTGGGACTTAGCATTATAGTGAACCTTAGCGAGAACCTTTCATGCAGGACATTGTCTTGCTTTCTGATGACACCTATGGCTGCATCGACATGGCAACAGTAATGCAGTTTCAGTGCTATGGAATTTTGAGATTTCTAGTATGATCAGGCACCAGAATTATTTGGAAGAGAATTCAAAAGGCTTTGTAAACCTACGATTCCATAGCATTAAGCAAGGGTAGTTAAAGGGTTGTCAAAATGCTTTAATTCTACAGTGCAGATGTACTTAAGGAAAGGGTGTAGGATCTCATCTTTAAAGCAGTGGTTCTCAAGCTTTGCTGCTCTTGGGCTTCGCTTCCCAGAAGCTCCTGTTATCAGCTCAATGGTCCAGGATCCTGGAAAATTATGTAATATAATGTAAGCCACTTTGAATCACCTTGTGGAGAGAAAAAGCAGGGTGTAAATAAGGATGCTGCTGCTGCTGCTGATGATGATGATGATGATGATGATGGTGATGGTGATGATGATGATGATGATTATTATTATTATGTTTATTATTATTATTATTATTATTATTATTATTATTATTATTATTATATACAGGAGCAATTGGGAAAAAGACTTCCTTAGCATTGCACCTAATTTCCTGGGCTCTCTAGAAATTGCACTTGCCTCGGCCCGGCCTTTTTAAATTGCCTGAACAGGCAGGATTATTTTAAATATATATGTGCTATTGTGATTTTTTTGTGCTTATATTGCTTTGTTAATTTTATGTTTATGTTTTTTACTCTGTATGTATTGATGATGTTACTTGGAAACTGCCCTGTGTCCTCTCGGGGAGCTAAAGCGGTATAGAAATAAAGTTTTTGTTGTTGTTGTTGTTGTTGTTGCCTTAAAGGAGCCATAAGATCTTCAAGGGAGGACTTCTCTTCTGCCCCATCCCTTATTGGATATCTATGGGATGCATCCTCACTGTAAAATTAATCAAAAACTGCATTCATTCTACAGTGTAAATGAACTCCATTTATATCCAGTGGTTCCATAAAGATTCTCTGCTTATGCTCAGAAACCCACCTTCCTTTCCTTCCCTTCTTCTGGCAGCTCCATCCGAAGGACCCAGACTCCATACTGGGAACATCACCAAGTCGACAGCCAGTCTTTACTGGGAGCCCATCCTGATTGGAAAGCGGAATGGCTTCATCACCAATTACACCATATTTTGGAACAGCACCAACGAAGACACGAGCAGTGAGTGTCCCACTGGCCATGCAGTTTGCACTGTTGTCCAATTGCCTTTCAAACATTGTCATCATTTCCAGTGAGTTCTGGCAATTCCTGAGGATGGAATAATTTTTAAAATAATATTTGTTCCTGGGTTATAAATGTCATTTCTTAATTGGTTCTATCATTTAAAAAACATGGAAAACGTGGAATGTTCTCAAAGGGTTTGTTCTTGTTACTTGGTTTCTGTTGAAACACTTCATCATTCTTTGTTTGTTTGCCCCAAATATGATAAGATATGGATTACATACAGCAATTCAATTTTTTCAGTGTCCTCAGTGACAAGAGTGTTATAAAATTCTATACCTTCTGAACAACTCGAATGCATTCTTTTGTGAGACTGCATTCCTTTTTATCTGTGAGTTCTTGTTGTATATGACTGTGTTGTCATTTTGTTGGGATTGGCCAACAAAGGCTGTGTTATGTATCACATGGAGGATCCTGACTTGGATACTGAACTATGTGTCCGTCTCTGCTGCTTCTGTCCATTTCGGTCCAGACTGGACGTTATCCTTTCTTGGAATCTTTTAGTGGCCATCCTTTTACAAACCCTCCATTTCCCTTGAGATGCCGCTCTCTTGTCTTGCTGTCCTTCCATTCCTTCTGTCTTTGATGGGCCCATATTGTGGTGACTAATGGGCCGGCTTCATTCTGCAGGTGCTGTTGTGAATGCCTCGGTGGACTCCTTCACCCTTCGGGGCCTCTGGCCTTCCAAGATGTACCAGGTACACATCATGGCCTCCAATGCAGCCGGCAGCACCAATGGGACGACTCTCACCCTCCACACCAAGGCGATGGGTGAGGAAACCTTCAAGGGGGCTTTCAAGCAAAGGCTGGGTGGACATCTGTCGAGAAGTCTTGGGAGGTCTCTTCCTTCTTTTCTGCAACCAACCAAGCAATGGCAACCCCACCTACTGAGTTCAGATACTCTAGGCTTCCCAGTTCAAGCATGGATCCCAGCCTACGGACCCATAGACACAAATAGGGCACCTCACATGACTTTTATTTACTGGTAAATGTATGAAATGGCTCCATCGTGGCATGTGGCACAATGCAAGTCACCATTGGGTGGTGCAGCCATTGAATGCCAAGCAGACTTGAGCCGGGTTAGGCAAACCCTACACTATCCCTCCGCCTTTCTTTCTCATTTTACTCTCAGATGCAGAAGGTTCCGTCCCCCAATTTACTTTGGTACTCATAAACTCTTTTGCCTCTTCTTCCAGATGACATGGACATCTCAGTTGTATATTTGGTGGTAGGCCTGCTCTTGGCCATGATTATTGTCCTCATCTTCTGCTTCCAGAAAAGCAAACGGTGAGTGTAAGAAAGAGCTGGGCAATGGGTTGGGAGATACAAGGGACAGCAGCCATAGCCCTTTATCAGCTGATAGTGGCTTACGGCTGTTATTTGATGTGGGGCAAGGGCTCTCCAGGTTTTACGGGGACTCTTCAAGGTGCTGAACACCTGTCTTTGAGGGGAGCTCTCCAATGTGCTGAATCTGTTTCAGCTGGAGATCAGCACCTTGGAGAGTTCCCTTAAAGCTGGAATTGATTTTTATATATATATATATAAATTTTTAATTCTCAAAAAATTCTCATCCCCTCCACCCATCACCCAAACTACATACTTCTTCTATATCTGTATCCATGATCACAATTTTCTTAATTTCTGTACAATATTCAAATTGGCTTTGCCATTTTTTATCCATTCCATATAAACTATACATTTATCTTTGATGTCTCTTGTTTTACACTCACACATAGCATCCTGAGTTAGACATGCTATAATATCAGATTGTAAAAGGTAAAAATAAAGGTTTCCCTTTGACATTAATTCTAGTCGTGTCTGACTCTGGGGAGAGATGCTCATTTCCATTTCTAAGCAGAAGAGTCGGCATTGTCCATAGATGCCTCCAAGGTCATGTGGCCAGCATGATTGCATGGAGCGCTGTTACCTTCCCGCCAAAGTGGTACCTATTGATCTATTTACATTTGCATGTTTTTGAACTGCTAAGTTGGCAGAAGCTGGGACTAACAGCAGGAGCTCACCCCGCTCTCCAAACCATCAACCTTTCCATCAGCAAGTTCAGCAGCTCAGCAGTTTAACCCACTGCACCACCAGGGGCTCCATCACATTGTACTTGAGAGTATAGATAGTTATTCCAGCTTTCCATAGTCTATTATTTTTCATTTTTCCAACCCCATGCAATCACTGCCTGTTCTGCTAAAATCATAGCTTTAAATAATTATTGATCTTTCACTTAAATCTAAAACTCCAGTTAGCATCAAATCCATTTTCACTTGAATTGGTATTTTAAATATTTTTTCCATTTTCTTCAACATTTTTCCACAAAAGGATGTTACCTTTGGGCATTCCCACTACACATGTGCAGACCATCCTTTCTATAAAAACCACAATGCCAGCACATTGGATTCATTGGCCTCCCACCATATATGAAAAATGAACTGGGGTCCTATACCATTTCAATATGAATTTCCTTTCCAGTTCTTTGTATTTATCCATTTTTATTTTCTTGATCCCCTTCATTAATCTCTCTATTATGATTTGACTAGCAAGCTGGCCTTCTTTCTGCCATTTAGTTCGTATCATTCTTATCACATATTCTTCATCCTTAATAAACAATTTATATGTTGACCCTGCAAGGTCAATACCTGGAATGGATTCATATAGCAGCTGCAAATAGCCAGTGCTGTACCCACTGCTGGACCATCCATCCATATATGCAGCTAGATGAGGGATAAGGCAAAAAGCTCACCCATCTCTTCTCCCATTGGCACCTTCACTCACCTGCTTCCTCTCTCTTGAGTCCCACAGGATGAAGACACAGTTCTGGCCCAGCGTTCCTGACCCGGCCAACAGCAGCCTGGGCAAGTGGGCCCCTTCCATCCTGCAAGAGGTAAACATGGGCGCTCTTGACCAGGCATGGGAAAACTTTGAGCCTCCCACCAGGTGTTTTGGACTTCGACTCCCTACTGGCTGTGAGGAATTGTGGGAGTTGAAATCCAAAACACCTAGATCAGTGATTCTCAACCTTCCTAATGCTGCAACCCCTTACTATAGTTCCTCATGCTGTGGTGACCCCCAACCATAACATTATTTTTGTTCCTACTTGACAACTGTAATGTAAATATCCGATATGCAGGATGTATTTTCATTCACTTGACCAAATTTGGCACAAATACCTGATGTGCCCAAATCTGAGTACTGGTGGGGTTGGGGCGAGGGACTGATATTATCATTTAGGAGTTGTAGTTGCTGGGATTTATAGTTCATCTACAATCAAAGAGCATTCTGAATTCCACCAAAGATGGAATTAAACCAAACATGGCACACAGAACTCCCATGACCAATAGAAAATACTGGAAGGGTTGGTGGGCATTGACCTTGAGTTTGGGAGTTGTAGTTCACCTACATCCAGAGAGCACTGTGGACTCAAACAATGACGGATCTGGACCAAACTTGGCAAAAATACTCAATATGCCCAAATGTGAACACTGGCGGAGTTTGGGGGAAATAGACCTTGACATTTGGGAGTTGTAGTTGCTGGGATTTATAGCTCACCTACAATCAAAGAGCATTCTGAATTCCACCAATGATGGAATTAAACCAAACATGGCACACAGAACTCCCATGACCAATACAAAATACTGGAAGGGTTTGGTGGGCATTGACCTTGAGTTTGTGAGTTGTAGTTCACCTACATCCAGAGAGCACTGTGGACACAAACAATGACGGATCTGGACCAAACTTGGCAAAAATACTCAATATGCCCAAATGTGAACACTGGCGGTGTTTGGGGGAAATAGACCTTGACATTTGGGAGTTGTAGTTGTTGGGATTTATAGTTTGCCTACAATCAAAGAGCATTCTGAACTCCACCCACGACAGAATTGGGCCAAACTTCCCACACAGAACCCCCACAATCAACTGAAAATACTGTGTTTTCTGATGGTCTTTGGTGACCCTCCCCTCAGGGGTCCTGACCTCCAGGTTGAGAAACACTGACCTAGAGGGAGGCCCAAAATTTGCCCATGCCTGCTCTTGAACCAGGCTGGTCATTGTGTCATCTTCTCCTTTGCCTTGCTTTCAATGGTAGCTACACCTCTCTATAGTGGGCTGAAGCATCCAAAAAGGGCAATGTGTAACATACAAGCACACACACAAGCATCAGCAAACTGGGATGTCATGCACACAGCCCTGCCCTGGGGCACAGTAGAAGAAGTTACTTTTGGAAAGAAAGTCACTCGCATTAAACTAAGAATCTTGAAAGAGCAACCCACTGTTGTTACGTCCTACATTATACTATTTGTTTATTGCTTCCCCGTTACTTCTTTGGGTGGGAATCTTGTATTTGAATTGAGAATGACATAAAAAATAAAAAATAAAACCTCCCTCAACGTGCCCTTTTGAGATTTTTTAAAAACAACTTATTGTAAAAGCATCATGGAGCTCCTTTCCCAATTCTAGTGTCACTTTTGAAATTATTAGGCCATTATGGAGCCCATGGTGGCGCAATGGGTTAAACTAGTGTTTCTCAACTCTCCTAATGCCGCGACTCCTTCATACAGTTCCTCATGTTGTGGTGACTCCCAACCATAAAATTATTTTCATTGCTACTTCATAACTGTAATTTTGCTGTTATGAATCGTAATGTAAATATCTGATATGCAGGATGTATTTTCCCATGACCAACAGAAAATACTGGAAGGGTTTGGTAGGCATTGACCTTGAGTTTTAGAGTTGTAGTTCACCTACATCCAGAGAGCACTGTAGACTCGAACAATGGTGGCTCTGGACCAAACTTGGCATAAATACTTAATATGCCCAAATGTGAACACTGGTGGAGTTTGGGGGAAATAGTCTTTGAAATTTGGGAGTTATAGTTGCTGGGATTTATGGTTCACCTACAATCAAAGAACATTCTGTGTCCCACCAACGATAGAATTGGGCCAAACTTCCTACACAGAACCCCCATGACTAACAGACAATACTGGGTTTTCTGATGGTCTTTGGCGACCCCTCTGACACCCCCTTGCAACCTCTCCAGGGGTCCTGACCCCTGGGTTGAGAAACACTGGGTTAAACCCTTGTGCTGGCAGGACTGAAGACTGATAGGTCACAGGTTCGAATCCGGATGAGCGCGGATGAGCTCCCTCTGTCAGCTCCGGCTCCCCGTGTGGGGACATGAGAGAAGCCTCCCACAAGGCTGGTAAAATATCAAAACATCTGGGCATCCCCTGAGCAACGTCTTTGCAGATGGCCGATTCTCTCACACCAGAAGCAACTTGCAGTTGCTCCTGACACACACAAAAAATTAGGCCATTACTAATACTTATTCCTCCTATCAAAGAAAAGGTTATACCTGCCTATGCTTAGGCTGGACAGTGGCAGTTGGAAGGCAGTGACAGTTGGCCAATTACACTATATAATACAATTTGAAAAATAATTATATGCTTGGTTTGAAAGTGTTACTTCTTGTTTAATTGTGTGGTACTTACCTTTAAAATGGTTGTTATATTCCAGAAACTTACTTTTTCTGGCTGAGGGTATTACTATTATTTCCTTCAGTCTTCAGTTAACTCTGATTGAGCCCCCTTTTACACTACCATATAATCCAGATTATCAAAGCAAATCATCCACAGTGTCTGCTGTGAACTGGATTATATGCACTGCGGGAGGGACATCCTGCAGCACATTTTGCTCTAGTTTTTCAATGAATATCTGATGGAGTCTCAACCAATTCAACATACTGTACTTTATGGCACCACAAAAACGAAGTTTCTGGAGTTTACTTCCAATTAAGAACCACACAATTAAACAGAAAATAACACTTTCAAACCAGGAATAGAAATGTTTTCTATGTTTGTTACATAGCTTTGTTATTGTTGTTGTTATTGTTACTATTTATACCCCGCTTTTTCTCTCCACAAAGGAGACTCAAATGCCAAGGCATAAGGGACCCCATTCTTCAATCCAGCAGTGGCCAGAGGTAACTCAGATTTGGTCCTATTTTAGAGAGAAAAAGTGGGAGAGAAGTAATAATAAATAATAATAACAATAACACAGAGGACTTTAACCTTACAGGCCCCATTGTCTCCCCTGTCTTCCTAGGAGACCCCTCTGGCACCCAAATCTTGTGAACTGAGCCCAGTCATAATCTCGGCCATCTTTGTGATCGACACAGAGGAGAAAAAGTGTCTCTCCTGTGGGAAGAGTGACTCCGTGAAGGCCCTGGATGACAGCCTCCCCATTGATGGCCAGGGTCCGTTGGCTCACAAGGCACCAGATGCGACGCTGATGTCCGGCCTGGTACTGCCCGCCTCCTACGTCAACAGTCCAGAGTCGGTCCAATATGCCAAAGTGGTAGGGGAGGCCTACCGCACGCAGGACCAGACACCAACGCCTGCTTTCTACATCCGTTCCAACTCCACGCAGCCTTTACTCGGTGACCTGACCCCCAGCCCAAAGCCCTACGAGAATCTCTGGTTCCACGGAGGCTGCAGTGGCCGAGACAGCGGCACCAGTAGCTGTGGCTTCCAGGAAGAGGCCCTGCTGGACTTCCCGCTCCTGCAAGGCCTCCGGGTCGAGGGAGACGAGGAACTTAGCAACTTCCGGAGGGTCTACTAGTTGCCCCTGGAGTTGTGATTGTGGCTCTCCTGCCTTGGAAGACATGTGTCCCACTCAGCTCCATACCATCCCTCTCTCTTTTGAGTGTCCAAGGAAATTGAATTCACAGCCTTGATGTTTGAGTGAAGCCTCTTGCTCCCATTCCAGATGAGTTATGATTTCATGGAATCATCAAAGTTTGGGGAAGGATGAAGGAGCTATACCTTGTGATTGTGTCTCTCTAGCCTCGAAGGAGGACATATCCATCAAAACATCCAGTGAAATGCCACACCAGCCATAGTCTTTATCTGTGTGTCTCTCTCTCCCTTCCTTCCTTCCTTCCTTCCTTCCTTCCTTCCTTCCTCTCTTTTGAGCATCCAAGGAAGTTGAACTCACTCCCTAGATGGTGGAGTAGTGCCTCTTGCTCCCATTCCAGATGAGTTATGATTGTATTGAATCAGAAATTTCAGGAAATGTGAAGCAGCTGCCTCATCCTCCTATGCCATGTGGTTGTGGCTCTCATGCCTTGAAGGATGTTTTCATCTATGTGTTCCACTAAACACCACACCAGTCATAGCTTTTCTTCCTCTCTCTCTCTCTCTCACCCCCTTGATGAAGCAGCTATGACTTGTGATTGTGCCTCTCCTGCCTCAGTGGAGGACATATCCAACTATACATCCAGCCAAATTGTTCATCAGCCAGCCATATCCACCCCCCACCCCATCTCTCTCTCTCAGGAGGCCAAGAAAGTTGGAGCATCTTCAAACTCGCCTCCTTGTTGTTGTTCCAGATCAGCCAGGATTTCATTGAATCATGAACTTTGCGAAGGGATGAAGCAGCTTGTGGATATGATGCCTCAGAGGAGGAGATGTCCAGCTAAAAATCCGGCCAAATGCCACACCAGCCATAGTCTCTCTTTCTTTCTTTTTCTATGGAGGTCAAGGAGGACATTCGAACTCACTTCCCTGATGGGAACAGAATGATGCCTCCTCCTCCTATTCCAGACAAGCCAGGATTTGCAAAGCCCTTGATATTGTCTCACCTTGAGCCATGACTTCTGCTGAACGTGATGTGAGCCATTTGCTGCTCCTCTGGGCCTAAACCACTCCTGGTTCAAAGGCTGCTTCTAGATGTGCACAGACGCATGCATCTTCCCTTACTCTTTCCTTTGCATCTCCTTTTCTCTCAAATCTGAATCATTTCTGCTGCTTACAATGGCCAGAAAATGGGTGCATCCACATTGTAGGATGAATGCCGTTTGACCCATTTGCACTGCCATGGCTCAATGCATTTGAATCCTGGGAGATGTCGTTTGGTGAGGCACCAGAGCTCTTGGCCAGATAAGATCTTTCAAAACTATAACTCCCAGGATTCTATTGAAGAGAGTGAAATTTTATAAGTGAATTTTATAAGATTTTATAAGAATGAAATTTTAGAAAAGTTCAAAAAGAAAGATTGAGACGGAAGGGAATTCGAGTTGAAAAGAAAGCTGAATTTCTTTGCTAGTCAAAATAGCAGCACAACAGGGTTTTAGATACACAATTGAGAAGAGATCAAAGTGGGGAAAAGGATCAAGAGGAGGAGGGCTTGATGATCTGCAAGGATCACTGAACTTTGTGCATGTTCAAAAAGTTCTGACTATAAAAGGGCCAAGCTGCATCTCAACTTTGTGGAACTTCTTTGCTGGTCACTCTCAGTTTGGCTCTGATCAGAAATAAAGCAGTAGTCTAGATATTAATTTGGGGGGGGGGGGGGGATTAGGAACTCACCAAGCTCCAACACTATAGAATTGAGACATGGCAGTTAAATGGAAGTTAAAGGGGCCTCCAGTGGCAAAATGGGTTAAACCTTTGTGCTGGCAGGACTTCTGACTAAAAGGTTGGTGGTTCGAATCCGGTGAGCAGGGTGAGCTCCCATCTGTCAGCTCCAGCTTCTCGTCTGGGGACATGAGAAAAGTCTCCCACAGGGTGGTAAAACATCCGGCTGTTCCCTGGGCAATGTCCTTGAAGATGGCCAATTTTCTCACACCAGCAGCAACTTGCAGGTTCTCAAGTCGCTCCTGACACGAGAAAAAAAAAGTTAAAGTGGGGCCAAACTGCATTCTTTCTACAGTGCAGATGCAGCCCTGGTGGTATGTGATACCAGAGCAGGAACCCATAATGAATAGGGTTTCATGTGATGGAATCCTAGGAGTTGTGCTTTCTCAAGGTCTTTCATCTTCCCTACTCAAGAGCACTGGTGCCTTACCAAACTACAACTCCTAGGATGCCAAAGCATTGAGTCATGGCAATTAAAGTGTCAAAGTGTATTAATGCATTTGTGTCAACTTGCCCTTCCCAGTTGGCTCCAGCAAAAGCAAACTGCTACAGCTTGTTCAGGTTTTTGGGGTGTTTTGTGCGCTAAGATCTGCCGGGGAGGCCCTGCTCTTGGTCCCATTGCCTTCGCAGGCACAACTGGTGGGCACAAGAGACAGGGCCTTCTCAATGGTGGCCCCTCAGCTGTGGAACTCCCTCCCTAACGATGTTAGTTCAGCCCCCTCCCTCCTGGTGTTCAGGAAAAAAGTTAAGACCTGGCTTTAGAACCAGGCATTTGGCGAATTGCATAAATCACAGTGCAATATAGAACCGACATAAATGAAAACAGCATGAACGCCAAGTACCAGTCTAGGTGCTATGTTTTAATAGTTTTTAATTGCATTCATATTTTTTATTTTAATGTTTAATGTAGTTTTATATTTTGTGTTGCAATGCTGCATTGTCAAAACAGTATGGCACTCTTGAGTCCCCTTTGGGGTGAGATAGAGCGGAGTACAAATATCTTAAATAAATAATTTTCCACCCTCATTAATAGCTTTTGCCATCCTAGCCATTCAGATCCCAGTGTTTAGCTTTGAAATGTCGGAGAGGATGGCGATGATGAGAAAATTGTAAATTGTCTTTATATTCCTATGGGAGGGGGAGTTTGATGTTCCATTGGACAAAGGGCAGCAAACACGTACAAAGAAAAATTGAGAACCGAGAAAAAGAAAATGAGTTTCCCTTCCTTTTCATTATTACTGGAACCAAGGAAGAAGAGTTTAGAGTGAAAACCAAGTTTTTCCCAAAGTATTTTATCTTCACTATTGCTGCTATTTATCTGTAAATAGTGTTGCAAATTAAAGGTGCTTTGTAATGTTTCTTGTCTTGTCGTTCTTCTTTGTGACTCTAAAGGAAACGGTCTGAATGTTCTTATGTTGAGGCCATGAATGAGTTGGTGAATCCTATTTGTTCCTCTTTTAAGAGCAAAAGTGACATATACAAATTATTAAAGATTCTTCTATATATATATATAAATGCTCTGTGCATAATAAGTACCTTAAAAACAAAAGAACCAGTGAACGAAATCACACCAAATTTGGCAACAAAATGTCTCACAACACAAGGAGTGACCATCACTCAAAAAATTATGATTTTGTCATTTGGGAGTTGTAGTTGTTGGGATTTATAGTTCACCTACAATCAAAGAGCATTCTGAACTCCATCAGTGATGGAATTGAACCAAACTTGGCACACAGAACTCCCATGACCAACAGAAAATACTGGAAGGGTTTGGTGGGCATTGACCTTGAGTTTGGGAGTTGTAGTTCACCTACATCCAGAGAGCACTATGGACTCAAAAAATGATGGATCTGGACCAAACTTGGCACAAGCACTCAATACGCCCAAATATGAACACAGGTGGACTTTGGGGAAAATAGACCTTGACATTTGGGAGTTGTAGACACTGAAATTCACAGTTCACCTACAATCAAAGAGCATTCTGAATCCCATAAATGACAGAATTGGGGCAGACTTCCCGCACAGAATCCCCATGATCAAAAAAAAATACTTAAGGCCATCCAGTCCAACTCCCTTCATCAGGGCAAGAAAACATAATCAAAGGCCTCCTGAAAAAGAGCCATCCAGCCATAGATATAGATAGATATGATTCACACACACACAAATATAGTATCATAGATTTGAAAGGGACCCCTAAAGAAGTACAATTATATGTCGCATGTTCCAGAGTAGGCAAACCAGACACTCTCCACATCAACACTGACAAATAAACGGTAAGAAATACTGTTTACCCACAAGCATAAAGAAATTACATATATTAGAAACCAACACTTTCTCATTACTTTATTTTCCAGATCAACAGAATGGGCCACAGCAACGCGTGGCAGGGGACAGCTAGTATTATATAAAATATAACATAACATAATATTCCTTTATCCGATTTGTTGTTGATCCACAATTTGTCATAGTATGCTATGATCCTGTGTTATTATTTTCCATTTCTGGCCAAAAAGTTTAAATTTGGACAATATTTTGACTTTGCTTAAACAATTTAAATTTTGTGACAGTGTTCGGGTTGCTAGCCCTTGTGACCCTATAGCCGCTTGTCCTTCCGTCAGTTCCGGGGCTCAATCCCAATTACTGGTGGACAAGTGTCATGATCATTCATGTCATGCAACTATCAGCTCCCCAATACTAACATAGAGCACATGGCCAATGGCCTAAAGAGAAGACAGGATGTTGCTAGGACACATGAACTAGCCATAAAAGTCAATAGCCTTGAGGTGTGGGAAGGTGGGCTCTGTATGTGGGAAAGGGCAAGCACCAGGCACTAGAGATTTTGCATGATTAATAACATTATAGTTAAGGCCCGATACAGACGGGCAGTAGCACTAGACTCTTGTATTCCGAACAATAAAGATGTATAGTATCTTCAGCCCCTGTGGATCTTGGCATATTCTTTCAAGAGAAGACTAAACCCATAGCAACACAGTTGGAGCAGGCCCAAGGTCTTTAGGCACTGCACCCAGTGTGCCGATCACCACTGGGACCACCTTTACTGGTTTGTGCCAGAGTTTTTGCAGTTCAATCTTTAAATCCTCATATTGTGTCAGCTTTTCCAGTTCTTTCTCTTCAATCTTGCTGTCACCTGGGATTGCAACATCAACGATCCATACTTTGTTTTTTTAACAGGAGTATTGTGCTCCAAAACTCTGTCTTTCTGAATTCAGAAGTCCCAGAGTAGCTTGACACGTTCATTCTCTGTAACTTTTTCTGGCTTGTGATCCCACCAGTTCTTTGTTGCGGGTAGATGGTGTCAGAGTGAGACCCCCCTGGGTTCTTTGCACAGCGGACTTGAGGTTACCAGATCACACAGACGCAAATTATAACAAACTGCATTTTCCAGTTTCAGAATAACAAAGTCTTTACTGAGCACATCTCTACACGTCCATTTTCCAAGCAGGCTACATCTTGAAGACAAAACTACAAAGCACAGAGCACACAAACAGTTTCAATTATATCTCCTTATCAGTCTTGGCTGAATCCTCCCTTTTCTTTCCCAAGCAAAGGAAAATGTCTTATCTAACTTTTGCCAAGGTCTTTCCTCTCTCTGCCTCTAGTGACTACAATTCTAGCACACAGTTGAACATGACTGAACCCATTTTGAATACATATGAAAGACATGATTATACATATTGAAACACATTGAAAAACAAACATACATACTTTCCATAATCCTGACAGATGGTATTTGCGGCACAAGTTCCAATGAATCATCTGAGCAATGGTGTTATGCCTCTGCTTGTAGTCTGTCTGCACGATCTTCTTGAGTAGCTGAGGATGTGATCTATTGTTTCATCTGCTTCCTTGCAGAATCTACATTTGGGATCTGTCGTCGACTTTTCAATTCTGGGTTTAATGGCATTGGTCTGAATGGCTTGTTGTTGGGCTGCCAGAATCAGGACCTCCTATGTCTCCTTTTTCCAAGTTCCATTTGTGAGCCACAGCCATGTTTTTTCTTTGTCAATTTGGCTCTCAATTTTTCCCAGGAACTGTCCACAGAGGGCATTCTTTCGCCAGTTTTCTCTTCTGCTCTGGATTGTGTTTTTACAGTATTCATTGTCTTTTGCACTTTGAGCAGTTTACTACTATTGACTTCCATCAATGTTGGTTCTTGACTGCTTTTCACATAATCTGCCAGTGCATGTTTCTCTTTTTCTACTGTTTGTTTCACTTGCAGAAGTCTCTGCCTCCTGATTTTCTGGGCAGGTAAAGTCTGTCGACATCACTACGCGGGTGTAACATGTAGTGGATTGTCATCAGTTTTCTTGTTTTTCTGTCCAGATCATCCAGCTCTGCTTGTGTCCAGTTCACAATTCCAGCAGTGTATCGAATGATGGGGATGGTGTCAGGTGTTGATAGCTTTGGTTGCATTTCTGCCATTTAGTTTGCTCTTCAAAACCTTTCTGACTCTTTGGGTATATTCTTTGCTCACCACATTTTTCACATGCCCATGCTTGATATTGTCTAGGCTTTATAGGCTTCAGGCTGATTGCATTTTATGGTTATTTTATGCATATGGTTATTATGCATTTTTTTATTATTATTTGAAACACAACAAGATGAGTCCTCAGCAGACACTCTGTTGGCTGTTGAACTGGATCACACGTTGGACAATTCCCAAGTGTCTAGGACTGTGTGATGTATCGGCGAATAATGCATGCAGATCCCAGTAAGGTGGCCTTCTGCAACTGGCAGATGGTGATCTTGCCAGCACCGATTGTGTTTAAGTGCAGGCCAAGGTCTTTAGGCACTGCACCGAGTGTGCCGATCACCACTGGGACCACCTTGACTGTTTGTGCCAGAGTCTTTGCAGTTCGATTTTAAAATCCTCATATCGTTTCAGCTTTTCCAGTTGTTTCTCTGCAATCCTGCTGCCACCTGGGATTGCAACATCGATGATCCATATTATTATTATTATTATTTACATTGTAGAACAAATGAAAAACAAGTGTGATTGAGTTCAGTGTCCATTTCCTAGGATTTCAAGGTAAGATCAATTCAGAAACGTTCAAAAAAATAATATAGCACACACAAAAATTAAAAACACATGCCTAAAAATAAACAGAGTGGTGGCATATTAAGTAAGTTCAGTGTCTATTTCCTAGGACTTCAAAGTAAGATCAATTCAGAAACGGTGAAAAATATTAAAATATAACACACACACAAATTAAAAATAAACAGAGTGATGGCATATTAAATAGTATTTAATTTAGTATTTAATAGCTTTACAAACGCATGTGCATCAGGATAACAAAGCTGGGTAGATGCGGGGAATGCTGTGGATGTAGCGTACCTGGATTTCAGTAAGGCCTTCGACAAGGTCCCCCATGGCCTTCTGGCAAGGAAACTAGTCCAATGTGGGCTAGGCAAAACTACGGTGAGGTGGATCTGTAATTGGTTAAATGGACGAACACAGAGGGTGCTCACCAATGCTTCCTCTTCATCCTGGAAAGAAGTGACGAGCGGAGTGCCGCAGGGTTCCGTCCTGGGCCCGGTCCTGTTCAACATCTTTATTAATGACTTAGATGAAGGGCTAGAAGGCATGATCATCAAGTTTGCAGACGACACCAAATTGGGAGGGATAGCCAATACTCCAGAGGACAGGAGCAGGATTCAAAACGATCTTGACAGATTAGAGAGATGGGCCAAAACTAACAAAATGAAGTTCAACAGGGACAAATGCAAGATACTCCACTTTGGCAGGAAGAACGAAATGCAAAGATACAAAATGGGGAACGATGCCTGGCTTGAGAGCAGTAAGTGTGAAAAAGATCTTGGAGTCCTCATGGACAACAAGTTAAACATGAGCCAACAATGTGATGTGGCGGCAAAAAAAGCCAATGGGATTTTGGCCTGCATCAATAGGAGCATAGTGTCTAGATCTAGGGAAGTCATGCTACCCCTCTATTCTGCTTTGGTTAGACCACACCCGGAATATTGTGTCCAATTCTGGGCACCACAATTCAAGAGAGATATTGACAAGCTGGAATGTGTCCAGAGGAGGGCGACTAAAATGATCAAGGGTCTGGAGAACAAGCCCTATGAGGAGCGGCTTAAGGAGCTGGGCATGTTTAGCCTGAAGAAGAGAAGGCTGAGAGGAGATATGATAGCCATGTATAAATATGTGAGAGGAAGCCACAGGAGGAGGGAGCAAGCTTGTTTTCTGCTTCCTTGGAGACTAGGACGCAATGGAACAATGGCTTCAAACTACAAGAGAGGAGATTCCATCTGAACATGAGGAAGAACTTCCTGACTGTGAGAGCCGTTCAGCAGTGGAACTCTCTGCCCCGGAGTGTGGTGGAGGCTCCTTCTTTGGAAGTTTTTAAACAGAGGCTGGATGGCCATCTGTCAGGGGTGATTTGAATGCAATATTCCTGCTTCTTGGCAGGGGTTGGACTGGATGGCCCATGAGGTCTCTTCCAACTCTTTGATTCTAGAATTCTATGATTCTATGAAAGTTTATGGGGAAAATTCTGCTTCCTGGAGGATTCTGAGAGTTTTGATTCCCTCCCCGAGACCACGCCCCCAGAGGTGCGCAAGCCAATCAGTGGCTTCCCGAGGAGCGTGCGCATCCCCCGACGCGCACACCCAAAGGAAAGGCAAACTAGAGGCCGCGCGCGCTGTCAATCATTCCAAGAAGGGCGGAGCCATGCCTCCTTTTGGCCGCTGCTACTGCTTACGGCATGACGTTGTCCTTTTGACGTTCCAATATGGCGGCTCCCGGGTTCTGAAGAGGAAAGCAGAGAAGCCGGAACCGAGATGTGGCTGCGAGGCGCCCGGGCCTTGATGGGGGCCGCTCTGAGAGGCCCCTGCGCCCCAAATGGGACACTTTCTCAGAGTAAGGAAGGGGGAATGCGGTAGGAGACTGGGATTTGTAGTTTAACAAGGTCTTTAACCTTCTTGGCTAAAGGGGATTGGGCCTTGGAAGAAACTACAACTGTTAGGATCCCACAGCAGTTCAAATGGGGCAGGCTGCATCCCTTCTACCCAAAGGCTGTGTCCACACTGCATTTATTTTTATTTTATTTCTCGTGTCAGGGCAGCCACTGCGGTGGCGCAGTGGGTTAAAGCCCTGTGTCGGCAGGACTGAAGACCGACAGGTCGCAGGTTCAAATCTGGGGAGAGGCGGATGAGCTCCCTCTATCAGCTCCAGCTCCTCATGCGGGGACGTGAGAGAAGCCTCCCACAAGGATGATAAAACATCAAAAAATCATCCGGGCATCCCCTGGGCAACGTCCTTGCAGACGACCAATTCTCTCACAACAGAACACTCCTGACACGACAAAAAAAAAAGCCAGTCAATTATATTACATTTCTAACAGAAACAAAGCAAACAAACAGAGAAAATACAAAATGTGTGAGTTTGGTAGTTGATTAAATGTCCTTTGATCGGTATCTGGCCACTTGGAGTGCTTCTGGTGTTGCTGCAAGAAGGTCCTCCATTGTGCATGTGGCAGGGCTCAGGTTGCATTGCAGCAGGTGGTCAGTGGTTTGCTCCTCTCCACACTCGCATGTCGTGGATTCCACTTTGCAGCCCCATTTCTGAAGGTTGGCTCTGCATCTCGTGGTGCCAGAGCGCAGTCTGTTCAGCGCCTTCCAAGTCGCCCAGTCTTCTGTGTGCCCAGAGTCTCATTTGGTATCAGCCATTGGTTGGTGTTCTGGGTTTGAGCCTGCCACTTTTGGTCTCTCGCTTGCTGAGGCGTTCCAGCGAGTGTCTCTGTAGATCTTAGAAAACTATGTCTGGATTTAAGTCATTGACGTGCTGGCTGATACCCATGCAACCAGCATGTCCACACTGCAGAAGTAATACTACTACTACTAATAATAATAATAATACATTTTATTTATACCCCGCCACCATCTGGGAAATGCGAAAGACTGCTCAAACTTCCGTACAGTGGCCCTTATTTCTCATGCCAGTAAGGTAATGCTCAAGATCCTGCAAAGAAGACTCCAGCAATACATGGAGCGAGAGTTGCCAGATGTTCAAGCTGGGTTTAGAAAAGGTAGAGGAACGAGAGACCAAATTGCCAATATCCGCTGGATAATGGAGAAAGGCAGGGAGTTTCAGAAAAACATCTACTTCTGCTTCATTGACTATTCCAAAGCCTTTGACTGTGTGGATCATAATAAATTGTGGCAAGTTCTTAGTGGGATGGGCATCCCAAGCCCCTTGTCTCTCTCCTGAGGAATCTGTACAAGGACCAAGTAGCAACAGTCAGAACTGACCATGGAACAACAGACTGGTTCAAGATTGGGAAAGGCGTACGGCAAGGCTGCATCCTCTCACCCAACCTTTTTAACTTGTATGCAGAACACATCATGCGATGTGCGGGGCTGGACGAATGCAAAGCTGGGGTGAAAATTGCTGGAAGAAACATTAACAACCTCAGATATGCAGATGACACCACTCTGATGGCCGAAAGCGAGGAGGAGCTGAGGAGCCTTCTAATCAAGGTGAAAGAAGAAAGCGCAAAAGCTGGGTTGCAGCTAAACGTCAAAAAACCAAGATTATGGCAACAAGAATGATTGACAACTGGAAAATAGAGGGAGAAACCGTGGCGGCCGTGACAGACTTTGTATTTCTAGGTGCAAAGATTACTGCAGATGCAGACTGTGGCCAGGAAATCAGAAGACGCTTACTTCTTGGGAGGAGAGCAATGTCCAATCTCGATAAAATAGTAAAGAGTAGAGACATCAGACTGGCAACAAAGATCCGCCTAGTCAAAGCCATGGTATTCCCTGTAGTAACCTACGGATGTGAGAGCTGGACCTTAGGGAAGGCTGAGCGAAGGAGGATCGATGCTTTTGAGCTGTGGTGTTGGAGGAAAGTTCTGAGAGTGCCTTGGACTGCGAGAAGATCCAACCAGTCCATCCTCCAGGAAATAAAGCCCGACTGCTCACTGGAGGGAAAGATACTAGAGACAAAGTTGAAGTACTTTGGGCACATCATGGCAAAACGGAAAGCCTAGAGAAGACAATTATGCTGGGGAAAGTGGAAGGTAAAAGGAAGAGGGGCCGACCAAGGGCAAGATGGATGGATGGCATCCTTGAAGTGACTGGACTGACCTGAAGGAGCTGGGGGTGGTGACGGCCGACAGGGAGCTCTGGCGTGGGCTGGTCCATGAGGTCACGAAGAGTCGGAGACGACTGAACGAATGAACAACAACAAACCATCTCCCCAGAGGGGACTCAGGGTGGCTTACATGAGGCCAAGCCCGGTAATACAATTACAGCATAATAAGTACAGAACAGCAAAAATAACATCACAATAAAATAAATAAAACATAAGAATACAATAAGCAGTGCTATCCCAACAGGTGTCGTTTTCATTAAATCCTACTTTTGAGTCTTCATTAAAGTGTTCTTTAGCCTGAATGTAGTGGAACCAGCCTATTTCCTCATCTATTTTCTTTAATTCTTCCATGCATCTTAGACGCCATTTATTATTATATTTTATTAAGATTTGTTTATAGGAAAGCCATCTCTCCCTGGGAATTTCCCTCTTGTGGAATGCCTCCGTCGGAGAGATCCACATGGGTGTTCTATTGTAGATATAATTCTTAAATTTGTTCCATACTTTTAGTAGTGTCTCGTAACGGTAGAGGGGACTCGGGGTGGCTTACATGAGGCCAAGCCCGGTAATACAATTACAGTATAATAAATACAGAACAGCAAAAATCACAATAAAATAAATAAAACATAAGAATACAATAAGCAGTGCAAAATACAAAGTGAAAAATCAAACACAGTGGGCGGGACAAATGTACAACATAAAATGATAAAACTCTGGAAGAGATGACAATGAAAAAGATGTATATGTAAGGGAGGAGCTCATAGGGGACGGAACAGTGGAGTCAGGCCTTAAGAAAGGTGAGGGAGGAGGGGAAATGCAATATAAGGACAACATTGTGAGAGAAACAACAGGAAAGAAATATATGGTAGATCTCCAAAGGCACATAGGAAAAGCCATGTTTTTAGGTCCTTCTTGAAGGCTGCCAGGGCAGGGGCTTGCCTAATCTCACCAGGTAATGAGTTCCACAGCTGGGTGACCACAGCAGAGAAGGCTCTCTCCCTCGTTCCCACAAGTCGAGTCTGTGATGGAGGAAGAGGCGAAAGGAGGGCCTCCCCCGAGGATCGAAGAGATTGTGTGGGTTTATGGAAGGAGATGTGGTCACTACGGTAGGCACACCCCAAACCATTTAGGGCTTTATAGGTTAAAACTTGCATCTTGAATTGGGACCAGAAAATGAACGGCAGCCAATGGACCTCCTTAAACAGGAGGGTTGACCGCTCCCTGTAATTCCCTGTAATTCTAAAAAGTAGACCAGTTTGATCCCACTTTAAACAGCCTTTCAGTGGAATCCTGGAGTTTGTTGTTTCATGAGATATTTACACTTCTGTCAGAAAGCTATGGAGCCACAGTGAACTACAAATCCCAGAATTCCATCAGGAGTTGTGGCTGAGGAGAGATCAGAAAGACCCATGAACGCATGGTTATTTACTTCATTTTTTACCCCACCTTTCTCACCCCAGGCAGTTTACAGCTCCAGCAAGAATTCAATGCCAGTAGAAATCAACAATAAACAATAAAAACATATCCCACAATTAAAGCACATTGTTAGTATTACATGCATTTATTATATCTGGCTATTATCTGAATTGAGATACAAACCGTGAACTTCCAAACTTAGCCGTGTCAAGTCTCTTTGAAGAGAGAAAAAGTCAGGCTATAAATGACAACAACAGCAACATACACTTCATGGTTTCAAAAATGTTTGTCCCAGAATTTCCAAAACAAGGGGAAGGTGCCTTTTTTTGGACTGCCTCTCCCAGAATCCCCTTCCCTTCAGGTATTTTGCACCTGAAACCCTGAAGCTCTCTTAAAACACACTGAAAGTATCAAAGCAGACATTGGGCTGAAAACATCCCAGTGTTTCTCTGCACATTTTAAATGTCAGGTTTTTTTTTCCAGGCAAGACTCCTCTCCTCCAAGTGGCCAGGGCTTATCCTCGTCCCGTCCGGAGGAAGAAGCCAGGTGAGTGGGTCGAGCCATTCTCTCCTAGCCTTTACTGTGTCTCTCAGTTTGTCAGGTGAAAAAGGCCATCAGAAATGCAGAGTGTTTTCTTGAGGAATCTCTTACAATTGCTCTCCAACTTTGATATGGGAGAATAATTGAAGAGTAGAATATCTAGTCATCTACCCAAAAGATAGCATCACAGATTCACCAAGTTCGATTTAAATGTTTCTATATTCTAGGTTTTACATTGTGTTGTATTGGTTTTATTGTCAGCTGCTTTGAGTCTCTTTTTAAAGAGAGATTGTGGGATGCAAATAAATAATAATACTATGTACCGTGATTTCTGTTTCTGGGTTTATAAATTTCATTTCCTAATTGGTTCTATCATAAAAATATGGAAAATGTTTATTAAACTACAAACTTTGTTTTTGCGGGACATCCTGCTATAGCACATTGTGCTATATTTTTTCAGTGAATCTTTCATAGAGTCTCAAACTATCCAACAGAATTTGTGGCAGCCTTAAAAACAAAGTTTCTGGAGTAGAATAGACTTTTCCATAGAATAGTAGAGTTGGAAGAGACCCCATGGACCATCTAGTCCAGGGGTCCTCAAACTAAGGCCCAGGGGCCGAATGCGGCCCTCCAAAGTCACTTACCCGGCCCTCGCTCAGGGTCACCTTAAGTCTGGAATGACTTGAAAGCACACAACAACAACAACAATCCTATCTCATCAGCCAAAAACAGACCCACACTTCCCATTGAAATACTAATAAATTTATTTTTGTGAAAATTGTTCTTCATTTTATTGTATTGTTTTTAAGTGGTTTTTATGCTACAAATAAGATATGTGCAGTGTGCATAGAAATTCATTCATATTTTTTTTCAAATTATAATCCAGCCCTCCACCAGTTTGAGGGACTGTGACCTGGCCCTCTGTTTAAAAAGTTTGAGGACCCCTGATCTAGTCCAACCCCCTGCTATGCAGGAAAAACACAAAGTCTCCCTGACAGATGGCCACCCAGCCTCTGTTTAAAAGTTTCCAAGGAAGGAGCTTCCACCAAGGCAGAGAGTTCCAAATTGAACAGCTTGTATGGTCAGGAAGTTCTTCCTAATGTTCAGGTGGAATCTCCTTTCCTGTAATTTGAACCCATTTTTCCGAGTCCTGGTTTCAAGAACAGCAGAAAACAAACCTGTTCCCTCTTCCTTATGACACCCTTTCATATTTTTATACATGGCTATTATGTCTCCTCTCAACTTACTCTTCTGCAGGCTAAACATACCCAACTCTTTAAGAAGCTTCTCATAGGGCATTGTCTCCAGACCTTTGATCATTTTAGTTGCCCTCCTCTGGACACCTTCCAGCTTGTCAATATGTATTTTGAACTGTGGAGCCCAGAATTGGATACAGTATTTCATGTGAAGAGGCCTGATCAAAGCAGAATAGAGAGGCACCATGACTTCCCTCGATCTAGACACTATACTCCTTTTGATACAGCTTTTTTAGTTGCTGAATCACACTGTTGACTCATGTTCAACCTGTTGTCCACAAAGACTCCAAGATTACTTTCACATGGACTGTTGCTGAGCCGTTATGTATCTTTGCATGTAATTATTCTGCAAATAATGACATGTAGTATCTTACATTTGTCCTTGTTGAAATTCATGTTGTTAGTTTAGACCCAGCTCTCTAATTTGAAAGTAGAACAACTACACAATCAAACAGAAATAACATTTTCAAACTAGGAACAAAACTACTAAGATCCCACAGCAGTGGGGCCAAGCCGCATCCTTTCCACCCAAAGGCTATGTCCACACTGCAGAAGCTGAACAGTTTGATCCCACTTTAAATAGCCATTGGATCCTTTCAGTTATATCCTGGGGTTTCTCATGTTGTGAGATATTTACACTTCTCTGTCAGAAAGCTAAGGACAGAGCTTAGTCACTTTGAGGTTTTAAGAGAGGAAAACAGGATTTAAATAAACATAATCATCATAGTAATAATAGCCACTGATCCCAAGTCCGGATCTAACTGAGATGTGAAAATAAAGGCGGTTTCTAAGGCAATGCATGTTCTTTTCGCCAGGGAAATAACTTAAATTTCTCATGTCATTAAATCTTTCTTATCTGGAATCTTTTACTGTCTCCTTGCAATATAATTCCTTATACTCAGAGACAGGCTGCGAATTATGTTTTGCAATGACTCCAGCACCAGTTTGTGGCTTTCCAGAAATAACTAGCTGGCCACCGCTGGAACCAGCGTATCAGAAGATTTGGCACAACTGTCCTTTCAACAATCTCATTGATTTTTATTTTTATTTTTTGCAGAAATCACCAGCCATTTGAATGACTTGCCTCCTACAATGTTGCAGTGGAAATACGCTAACGTCCCAGTTGTGAACCAGTAAGGTTTTCCAGCAAAGGGGGTCGGGCTGTGCATTTTGAGAGCAAAGCTGGTCATGGCCTGTATACCACTTTGCCAGATTCTGAAATAGGAAGGAAAGAAGCCATCCTCCTGTCCCACAAGATAGAGTTAAAGTTTTATTGCCTGGCATCTTCAAACTGCAGTGAACCCATTTTAAAAAATCCATGTTTTCTATCTTTAATATAAATATGGGAGCAAATCATATTCTCAGGACTAAATTTAATTCCTTTAATTGTAACTTCTCTCAAGATTGTTCTTTAAAACCTAAGCTCGTCAAGAGATAAATGAGCAATTCAAGGATCTGTTCTATGCTTTTTTTTTCAGGGTTGATGACGTTGTGAGAAGGCTCCTGTCTTTGGAAATGGCAAGCCAGGTCAGTTCTTTCTTAGCCTAGAAACTGGTCTTCATACAGGATAATTCCTTTTCCTGTCCTTTTGTGCTTCATTTCTTAGGCCTTGCCTTAAAAAGCCATAAAGAATACAATTTCTGCCTTTGCTGTAGGCAGGCAGAAAAGTTGTCAACTCATGGTTTTGTTCAAGAAGGGGCCCATACAACCAACAAGCACTTGGCAGCCTTTTGTGGCTCTTTTATGGCCTGTGGCCAGGCTTTTCCCAAGCTCTGCAAAAGGGCCTAGAGCAGTGGTTCCCAACCTTTGGTCCTCCAGTTGTTGTGTACTTTACCTCCCAGGAACCTCAGCCAGCTTACCATCTGATAGGTATTGTAGGAGCTGAAGTCCAAAACACCTGGAAGACCAAAGATTGGGAACCACTGCCCTAGAGCAATCATGCTATTTCTTTTTTAAGAGGACTAAAAGTGGCTTCAAGTTATATTTTCTGGCCACCCTTGCAGGTGAAAACGGTATGTTATGTGGCAAGAAACAAACCTTGCATCCCTAATTCACTTTACTCCTAACTGCCACCTCCACCTCTCTTTTTCATCCTCTTGCCACCTCCAGTGACAACCCTTGTAGTATGACACATTTGCACCCCCATTTGTATCCACTCTAGAAATTGCAGGTGTCACATAATGTAGCACCCCAGATAACTGTTGATATCACAAAGCCATAAGTTATAACAAACCATTTTTAAAGGATTTAAATCGGTGTTTCTCAACCTGTGGGTTCCCAGTTGTTTTGGCCTCCAATTCCCAGAAATCCCATCCAGTTTATCAGCTGTTAGGATTTCTAGGGGTTGAAGGCCAAAACATCTGGGGACCCAGAGGTTGAGAACCACTGGTTTAAATTAAATACGTAAATTACAGAAGTATACTTGCATTAATTCTGCCTTTTCCTTGGGCACACAGAAAGAAAAAGTGAAAATAAAGAAAGAGCAGCTGGCAGACAAAGTCCGGAAAGCTCCAAATGACAATGGCTCTTTCGAGGTTCAAAGTAAGTGTTTTTTGGAGGTCAAGGGAAACCTGAAAGGTTATGAAATGGAAGATTTAAACTTTTAGCTGGTTTTAAAACTGTCTTGTCAAAGAGTTCTTTTACTGCATTTCAAATATTTTCATGCTTGAAATTATTTTGTTGTTGTTGTTGGGTTTTTTTGTGTCATTAAAGTTGTATAAATGCACTAAATGCATTAAAAAGAGGCATTTCTGCATTAAAATGCACAGAGAACGCCGTGAGGTTAGACCACACCTGGAATATTGTGTCCAATTCTGGGCACCACAATTCAAGAGAGATATTGACAAGCTGGAATGTGTCCAGAGGAGGGCGACTAAAATTATCAAGGGTCTGGAGAACAAGCCCTATGAGGAGTGGCTTAAGGAGCTGGGCATGTTTAGCCTGAAGAAGAGAAGGCTGAGAGGAGATATAGCCATGTATAAATATGTGAGAGGAAGCCACAGGGAGGAGGGAGCAAGCTTGTTTTCTGCTTCCTTGGAGACTAGGATGTGGAACAATGGCTTCAAACTACAAGAGAGGAGACTACATCTGAACATGAGGAAGAACTTCCTGACTGTGAGAGCCGTTCAGCAGTGGAACTCACTGCCCCGGAGTGTGGTGGAGGCTCCTTCTTTAGAAGTTTTTAAACAGAGGCTAGATGGCCATCTGTCAGGGGTGATTTGAATGCAATATTCCTGCTTCTTGGCAGGGGGTTGGACTGGATGGCCCATGAAGTCTCTTCCAACTCTTTGATTCTATGATTCTATGAGATCATTCAAACACATATATTAAAAGGTGTGGGTGCATATTCTACACTGCAGGATTCCATAGCACCTTTTTCGTGTCAGGAGCAACTTGAGAAACTGCAAGTCACTTCTGGTGTGAGAGAATTGGCTATCTTCAAGGATGTTGCCCAGAGGACGCCCGGATGTTTTGATGTTTTACCATTCCTGTGGGAGACTTCTCTCATGTCCCCGCATGGGGAGAGGGAGCTCATCCGCGCTCTCCCAAGATTCGAACCTCTGGCCTGTTGGTCTTCAGTCCTGCCGGCACAAGGGTTTATCCCAGTGCACCATTGGGATCTCTGTTTGTTGTTAAGTCAACCACTGACTTGTGGTGACCCTCTGAGTGTGAGACCTCCGTTGTGGCTTCTTGATTGAGTGAGGTTAAATTGCCTTTTTTTTTAATAGATAGAATCTTGAGATCCCATAATGCAGAATAGGATATGTTCTATTAATTAAATACAAATTATTGAAACTGGGATGGGAAAATATCCAAGTTTCATCTTCTGGAAATAGCCTTCTCATAGTGGTTTTCTTTTGTTTCAGTTGCATATTTGACAGCCAAGATCCGCACACAACAAGAACATCTGCATATGCATCCAAAGGTAACTTTCTCTGGAACAGGTTACATGTCTCGCATCCTATTGCAGGAAGCACTATAAAACCGATTCCAAAATCAGCAAAATCTTGTGAGAAGATGCAAAGAAGCACATGGATGAGCAGATTGCTAGTATTTCATGCTGAACTGGCTGGGGAGTAAGGTTCAAGACAGAAATGGCACTTTGCACAATATTGGTTGGTATGGAAGTTGCTTCATTTTTGAAATCACTTTGGGTCTTGTGATTTGCTGCAACAGGGTATGTTTCACATCCTCACATAAAATGATGAAAGCATTTCCTTCCCACCTTTGTTTTTATTAACTTAGACTTTGTAAGGAACTTTATGGATGAAAATACAGAGTTGATTGCACTGTAATTTTGTAATAAGTGAATCCAATTAATTTTAGTCATTAGATCAGGGCTCCCCAAACTTAGGCCCGTGGGCCAGATGCGGCCCTCCAAGGTCATTTATCTGGCCCCGCCCTTAACTTTAGACTTAGGTTTGCCCTAAGTCTGAAATTACTTGAAGGCACACAACAACAATCCTAATTAACTTGACTATTTCATCATCCAAAAGTAGGCCCACACTTCACATTGGAAGATGGGTAAGTTTATGTTGGTGAAAATTGTTCTTCATTTTAAATATTGTTTTATCTTTCATTGATTTTTTTGCATTATAGATAAGATATGTGCAGTGTCTATAGGAATTTTTAACGTTAATTTTTAACTAAAAAATTTTAGTTATTTTTTTCCAAACTATAGTTCAGCTCCCCAACAGTCTGAGGAACCGTGAACTGGCCCCTCACTTTAAAAGTTTGAAAACTCCTTCATTAGATTTATAACCAGACAATGGAATCAGTGAAGGGCCTTTAAAAGTGGGTCGCAATGCAGGGGGAAAGTGAACCAAATGAAGGCGCGAATCCCTTCAAGACCCTCAGGACCAAAGACCAAACTAAGAAATGAATATGACATAAGTGTAATTGACAATGGGAATGGCTTCCGATTATGATTCTGGATTTTGCAATTTGAATGCTGTATTAAGATGTTTTAATTCTATATTTTAATTATAAATGTCTGTTTATGTTCTATGTTTATTATGATTTTAAGGTTTAATTTATAGTTTTATAGTTGTATTAGTTATTACGATTTGGTTTCGTATATATGTTGGCATTGAATCTTGCCATTTCTTGTCATACACTGCTTTGAGTCACCTCGGGATAAGAAAAGCAGTATATACATGCAGTAAATAAATAAATAAAAAGTTTCCTCAAATTTCACATTTCTCAAATATACCCAAAGTGGACAAAGTAAAAAATCAAAACCATGAATATGGTAGTGCGGCCTGTATGGAAGAGGGAAGCCAAAAGAGGAAAACTGTGCATGCTTACACCTCATGTAGTTTCCCACCTCTCGCACTGCATTTTTGTACAATCGGTAGAGCTACGCCTTTCCTTCCAGGACAAGTTCAACCGCCGTCACATGCTGATGGCCATCGACCGGCGGAGGAAGCTTCTGAAGTACCTGCGCCGCAGCCGCTACGACGCCTTTGAGAAGACCTGCCAGCAGCTGGGCATCGAGTACGTGGCCCCTCCGCCTTTCTGCCGCCGGGTCACAAGGCGCTGGCTGGCCAAAAAGGCCCTGTGCCTCAAGGTGAGATGGTTGAGGCTCAGTATTCCCAAAACCTCTAGTATCTCTATTCCAATCAGACACTAAAGATGAGGAGGTTTAAATCAATAGCTTTAATTTGCAGAACAAAGCCACTGGGTGACAGGAAAGAGAAATGTGCCACACAGCTGAAATGTGTAGTGTTCCTTTATAGCCAGAACTTTCTGAGCTTACTTTTTAGGTGATCCCTCGTTGTCCGAATAGGATAGTCTTCGATGATCAGTGTACTGGTGGGTCTGTAGGTGGCTTTATGTTCAGAACTTTCTGAGCTTACTTTTTAGGTGATCCCTCGTTGTCCGAATAGGATAGTCTTCGAAGATCAGTGTACTGGTGGGTCTTTAGGTGGCTGTGGAGCCCTATTCTTGATCTCCATCTTCTCCTGCATGAGGGCATTGGTTTCCAGGTGGAAGGCGGTCTCGGATGGGGTTGGCTTGATGCGCCTTCCTCTTGGCATGTTTCTCTCTTACGCCCTCCATTTGTGCCTCTTCAAATTTTACAGCACTGCTGGTCACAGCTGACCTCCAGCTGGAGCGCTCAAGGGCCAGGGCTTCCCAGTTCTCAGTGTCTATGCCAAAGTTTTTAAGGTTGGCTTTGAGCCCATCGTTAAATCTCTTTTCCTGTCCTCCAACATTCCGTTTTCCGTTCTTGAGTTCGGAGTAGAGCAACTGCTTTGGGAGATGGTGGTCGGACAGTGCTGGTGGTGCTGGTGGTCTTTGCTTCTTCCAGCACACTGACATTTGCTCACTTGTCTTCCCAAGAGATTTGCAGGATTTTCCGGAGGCAACACTAATGGAATCATTCCAGGAGGTGCATGTGACATGTGTAGACTGTCCACGTCTCACAGGCGTATGTATAGCAGGGTTGGGAGGACAATAGCTTTATGAACAAGCACCTTGGTCTCCCTACGGATGTCTCGGTCCTCAAACCTCTGCTTTGTTCGGAAAAAAGCTGCACTCGCAGAGCTCAGGCGGTGTTGTATTTCGGTGTCAATGTTGACTTTTGTGGAGAGGGGGCTGCCAAAGTAGCGGAAATTATCAACTTTCTAATGTTACACCATTAAGCTGTATTTCTGAGCATGCGCAAAGCTCAGTTGTTTTGTTCTCTCTTACCAGCTCTTGTGCCTGCTTGCATTCCTTCTCAGTAGCTTACATCCTCCTCCTTTCTCTCCCCTACCTGCTGAGCTCTCTGTTTTCCCTTCAAGGCCCTGTCTTTTTCTTTTCAGGTCATAAAGTCCTCTTGAAACCTTTCATCTACTTTTATATAACTCTCCTCTTTTATATAAACAACCCCTGAGAATGCCTGCCATAGATGTGGGTGAAACATCAGGAGAGAGGGAGTCTAGAACAGGGCCATTCGGCCCAGAAAATTCACGGCAACCCAACTCTTCTCTTGTTGTTTTGACTAGCAGACTGGCAGAGTGAACTTTCTTTTTCAAGTCCTCCAATTCCTCCTCCCTCCTGTCTCAGCTTTCCTTTTCCAACTTTCTTAAAACCTCATTCTTATATAATCTAGACAGGTGATGCTTAAGATGCAGTTCAGATAGAAGGGAGAACCTTGGTTAGGACAGGAAATGTTTATGCTGGAGACTACCAAGTGAATCTCAGAATATATTGGGGTCACATTCCTGGACTTATAAACCGATGCAAATGAAGGGAACCAGCTCCATAGGGAATCATTGGAGACCAGGCGAATAGTCTTGCTTAAATGTTGATGGATCCTTAATTGTCTTCTCTATTTTTCCTCTCGATCTTTTAGGTCTTCCAAGAGACACAGAAGCTAAAAGCTGAGGGGAAGCTGAAACCGAGAATCCCATGGAGACCCAGGTCAAGGAAAAAGAAGAAGAAGCAGAACAAAGGAACCCTAGTATAAGATGAAAGCATTCCTGTATCAGAGGGGCTCATATTGAGCAACCTGGAAGGGAACATGCCAATAAATTGTTTAATATACATGCCATCACTTTGCCATTTCTGTACGTGTGTTGTCTTCCTGCCTTAGATACTTTTCACAAACCATTTCACGAGCCCCCCATGGTGCAGTGGGTTAAACTCTTGTGCCGGCAGGACTGAAGACCAACAGGTTGGAGGTTTGAACCCAGGGAGAGTGTGGATGAGCTCCCTCTGTCAGCTCCAGCTCTCGAGGGGACACGAGAGAAGTCTCCCACAAGGATGGTAAAATATCAAAACATCCAGGTGTCCCCTGGGCAACGTCTGTGCAGACAGCCAATTCTCTCACACAGAAGTGTCTTGCAGTTTCTCAAGTCACTCCTCACACACACACACACACAAACAAGCAAATACAGGGGGACATAACGGGAGCCATGATCAGTGGAACTAGGGTTCAGCTCTTGTAATGTCTTCCAAACAGAGAGCTTGGAAGTGAGGAAGTGTCTCTCATTCCATGTTTGAATTGTTTTGTTGTTCATTCGTTCAGTCATTTCTAATGTTCGTGACTTCATGGAACTGTCCACGCCAGAGCTCCCTGTTGATCATCACCACCCCCAGCTCTTTCAAGGTCAATCCAGTCACTTCACTTGCATTGTTAGTTAGCTCAAATATCATGTATACCTGTATTATCCAAGACTACCTGGGGTTGGTGGGAAAGTGGCCTCGCAACCAGCTTTCCCAAAAAAAGGAAGGTAGGATATTGGTCCATAGTTGTTTACGTCCGGAGAGGGTTTTAAAAAAATAAATAAAAAGGCACTCCCATCACTTAATGAACACTGAAAACTTCCCTCCCTCAGTGATAGACTAATAATAGCTACAGTTAACATTGTAGTTAATACTGTAACTTCTTGCAAAACATCAGTTGGTTGATCCTGCAACACTTGACGTCACTAAGGCCAAGCTCATGTCACATGAGTGCTTCCTGTTTTAAGTAGGGCAAGGATGGCAGACTTTGGGCAGGAGAGGATAATGTTTGGACCACTTCCCATGGTATCATCCATTCCCTAGTTGACTCACTAGGTAGAGTTATCTCAACTGCTCCTTGGTCTTCCCTGGTAAGAAATGGGGAGCCTGGGGTGTCCATCAGGTGCCCCAGTTAAGGTGTTCTTCCTCCCCCTTGGAGAGAATGTAAAGCAAGATGGTCATTTCGTAAGTGACTTGCTTTCCCAGATGGAGGGAAGGTAGTGAGCAAAAGAGAACCCTCACTTGTTATCCCCAGTCACTGATCAATGATGACAGGAAGGCTTCCTTTACCTCCAAGCCTCTGAGGCAAGGAGTTTGACCAGGAGCATCCCTGGCCTAGTGACCTACAGTATAGTTTCCCCAGCTCTGTGCTTTGAAGACCTGGAGAAGCTCAGGCTCCATTTTCTGGTCTGGGAGAGAAAAGAGCCGGATGAGGCAGACTCATCCGATCCCAAATAGAGTGCGGAAAAACCCTGGCTTCAGTACAATTATAAAACTAGGATTCTGCTTTAATTGCTATAGGAAACAATTTAATATGTCTCTGTTTGGGATTCAGCTTGAGATCCCATAGCTTTCATTTTGATGATGATGAAGATGATGATGATACAATTTATTTGTACCCGCCTCTACTAACAACAAACCCAGAAACATATCAACATAAAATACATACAATAAAATGCATATATCAAATACTTACTTCCTTACTTATTTAGGCGATCCCTCATTGTCTGAGTAGGATTGTCTTCCAAGATCGGTGTACTGACGGTAGGTGACTGTGGAGCCATATTCTTGATCTGCATCTTCTCCGACAGTGAGGGCATTGGTTTCCAGGTGGAAGGTGGTCTCAGACGGGGTTGGCTTGACGCGCCTTCCTCTTGGCACGTTTCTCTTTTTTGCCCTCCATTCGTGCCTCTTCAAATTCTACAGCACTGCTGGTCACAGCTGACCTCCAGCTGGAGCACTCAAGGGCCAGGGCTTCCCAGTTCTCAGTGTCTATGCCAGAGATTTTAAGGTTGTCTTTGAGCCCATCTTTATATCAAATAACGGCATTATAAAATACATACACTAAAAGGTATCAGAGCTCTGGGGAAGAAAATTCCCAGCATCCCCAATCTCCAAATACTGGGATTCCACAGACTGTTGCCATGGCATTTAAACTTGAATCATAGCACTATAACTGTGGTTCAAAAGTGCCCCAGCACCCGCTCCAATGCCCACTTCCCGCATTGCTCAAACCCTGTGGCGTCATCCATCGGATACCACAAAGAACTGAAGCGTCAAGTTCACAGAGCCTCCAGAGTCCTCTTTGCAAAGGCATTGCAACTGCTGCTCAGGCCTGCCTTCCCTGAGACCATGTCGAAACCTGTGGTCTGCCAGCCGCTGAGCACCATCTCCCCTGTGACCCAGTCCTCTGAAGGCAGCTGGACCTCCGGAAGATATGACTGCTGTTCAGACTGCCCCTTGTGTAGGTAGACTTACCCCATGGGGAGCAAATGTACAAGTGGAAGACTAGCACCATTAAAAGCCTATTGTGGTTTATTGCTACTGGTCCTAATAACCTGCTATGAGCCCTATTTGAGAGAAGAACAGGCTAGAAATCAAATTGATCCTATCCAAAATGTACTGATTGTACTGATTGATGTACTGATGTATTAATGCTGATGTCTAATGATTTGTGATACTATTGCTTTTAAATGCCTAATGATTTTGTATTGTGTATACTGAAACTGTTGTAAACCGCTCTGAGTCGCCTAAGGGCTGAGAAGAGCGGTATACAAATAAAGTAAATAAATAATAAATAAATAAAAGGTGGCATTTTGTTCATTAGCGCCAACTCATTTTAAACTGCATTTTAACTCTGTATCTTTGACCATGGTATCCTTCTGGGTCATCTTGCTGGGATAGGGTTGGGAGGCATTATCTTACAGTGACTCTGATCCTTCCTGGACGGCTGTACCCAGAAGGTGGTGCTGGGGGACTCCTATTTGAACCCCTGGCCATTGACCTGTGGCATTCCTTAGGGTTCCATTTTATCCCCCATGCTGTTTAACATATACATAAAACCGCTAGGATAGGTCATCAAGAGTTTTGGAGTACGGTGCCACCTGTATGTGGATGAAAACCAGCTCTACTATTCCTTTCCACCTAATGCCAAGGAAGCTGTCCTGGCCCTAAACCAGTGCCTGTCATCAGTAATGGACTAGAGAGCAAACAAGTTGAAACTTAATCCAGACAAGACAGATGTACTCCTGGTCATTTGGAAGGCAGACCAGGGAACACAGGGATCCAGCCTGTGCTGGATGGGGTCACACTCCCCCTGAAGACACAGGTCCACAGTTTGGGGGTTCTCCTGGACTTGGCATTGAACCTGGAGGCCCTTGTATCGGTGGTGGCCAGGAAGACCTTTGCACAATTAAAATTTGTGCACCAACTGTACCCATTCCCTGAGAGGCCAAATCTGGCCATGGGGATACATGCCTTAGTTACATCCTGTCTGGATTACTGTAACATGCTGTACATGGGGCTGCCTCTGAAATGGGAAGAGCAGGCCTTCCTTCTCAGTGGCTGCCCCTCGATTGGAACTCTTTGCCCAGGGAAGCCAGAATGACTCCCTCTCTGCTGTCCTTCAGGCGGCAGTTAAAACCTTTTTATTCAGGTAGGTTTTTAAGATAGTCAGGGGCTACAGTGATTTTATATGCTTTTAATAATAATTAATATTGTTTTAATATTTGTATATTGTAAGTTATATTAACAATGCTTTTATTTGTGAGCCGCTTTGTAGCTCTGTATGGAGAGAAAAAGTAGGATGTAAATAAACATAATAATAATAATAATAATAATAATAATAATAATATCTTGTATTTTAATAGTGTTTTATTTCTGTTTTAATGATGTTGTACCCCATCTCGAGCCACAAGGAGAGGTATAATCCTAGAGTTGGAAGAGACCCCATGGGCCATCTAGTCCAATCCCCTGCCATGCAGGAAAAGCACAAAGTACCCCTGACAGATGGCCATCCAGCCTCCCTTTGAAAGCCTTCAAGAAGCTTCCACCACACGCTAAGGCAGAGAGTTCCACTGCCGAACAGCTCTTACAGTCAGGAAGTTCTTCTTAAAGTTCAGGTGGAATTTCTTTTCCTGTCATTTGAACCAATTGCTCAATTGAATCCTAGTCTCCAGAGCAGCAGAAAACAAGCCTCCTCCTTCTTCCTTATGACACCCTTTCACATATTTAAACATGGTATCATCAGAAGGTGGTTAATACATTATTATTATTATTATTATTATTATTATTATTATTATTATTAGTCTACATACCTGCTCTCATCAGGACTAAAAGAGAATCTGACCTAACATCCATGTATGGCTCTGTGTATACGTTTCCCCCTTGCAGGCTGTGTGGGGTGCTGCTGCCCATTCATCCTGAGCTGTTACGTGTCACACAAATATGGAGAGCACTTGTGCCTTGGGCTGGTGCCCGGGGGCATGACGGCGCTGAGGACCCAAATGCGGCACTCCTACGGCATTCCGGTAAGAAGATCCTGCTTCATTGGTTTCAGTGGGGTGGGGAGGTATCTAACCTTTTCGCTCATCTATGGGATCGCAACTTTGAGCAGCTAGGATTGGGATGGAAAGAAACATTGCCAGGATGTGAACCGATTTCTAATAACCTCATTAAACTTCCATGGGGGGGGGGGGGGGCTTTAATAACTTATTGCACATAAAATAATACATAATCGCATAAAATCATGATGCTGCTGCTGCTGATGATGATGATGATGATTTTGTTTGATAGATATGAACATGGTTTGGACTTTTAGGTGGACATAGTGATGATGATGATGATGATGATGATGATGATGATGATGATGATGATGATGATCGGCACACTGGGTGCAGTGCCTAAAGACCTTGGCCTGCACTTAAACACAATCGGCGCTGACAAAATTACCTTTTGTCAGCTGCAAAAGGCCACCTTACTGGGATCTGCACACATTATTCGCCAATACATCACATAGTCCTAAACACTTGGGAAGTGTCTGACCAAACACAGGACTAAATCCAGTTTACTGCCCTTTATCATATTTCTAAATAGGACATTCTTATAAAGTTTTATGGGACTTGATATGTCTGCCAATGCCACATGGATTCAGCTGAAAGGTCTCATTCCTTTCTGGTCTGCTTTGGCCCTTTAGGGCACGGTTTGCCGGGATGCCCTCTCCATGTGTCTCTGTGGATGGTGTGAGTTGTGCCGCATGGCAAGGGAAGTGCACACTCGTTCCCGGTCTTAGGAAAGCTGATCAACAAGTTACAGAGGTGAGTCTTGAATGAAACTGTTCAGACTGCATTTCTTGCAAAATGCCCTTTTGAGAATGCAAGGGTCTCAGTGAGCATAACATTCAACCAGATACTATAAACATGTTATGTAATTTTCATGTTTGCAATTGTCCATTATAGACCGTCTTAATTCTCAGAGGAGGCTGAAGGAAGCATTTTGGGACTGGAACTAAAGGGACAATGACAGAATTTATGTACACTCTGTGACAAAATGAAAACCATGTGTAGTTCACGTTTGACCAGTCCACGCACTGTCTTGCCAGAGAAAAGAAATGCCATGCAGATGATCAATCTGAGGATGCTTGCCATAGATGCAGGCAAAACGGCAGGAGAGAATGCCTCTAAAACATGGCCATATAGCCCGAAAAAACCTACAGCAACCCAAGAAGTGTACTCTTTAAAACGCAGAGCAACATATATGCAATTATGTGAACAATTGCATTGACTCACATAATGTCCTTTTTGTAGAAATTCAAAATGGTCCTTTCTGTGTCCATGAGAGACCTTCTTTCAGCAGTGAAGAAGCAAATCAATCTCTCTCTCTGCAATCTCCTGCAGGCTTCTGCACAGCTAGCTAGTTTACCTATCTGAATGTATTCTCCCCTATGAACCATCAAGGCTGTTAAGATCTTCTGAAGGGGCCCTGCTCTCAGTCCCACCACATCGCAATTGCATCTGGTGGGGATGAGAGACAGGGTCTTTTCTGTGGTGGCCCCCCGGCTATGGAACTCTCTCCTGATTGAGATCAGATCTGCCCCCTCCCTCCTGACCTTCAGGAAGCTAGTGAAATCCTGGCTATGGAACGAGGCATTCCCACAAAGATGGCAGAGACTGGCAATTGACTAAAGTTATCGACCACATATGCGGACTGAGTGGGACATGATTTTATCTTGACGAACTGGCTTTCATGTATTTTAGTCTATATGTATTTTAATTTATTGTTGATGTACGATGTTTTAGATTGTATTGTTAGCACTGAATCCCACTCATCTGTGAACTACCAGATTGTCAGCCTGAGGGCAGAACAACATTTTGTAAGTCGCCCTCAGTACCTTTGCGGCTGAAGAGCAGAGTAAAAAAAAACTAAACTAAATAATAATAAATAAGGAAGTGGAGAAGGGAGTAGTACCAAAGGTTTCATGTTTGTTGTATCTAAATCCTCCTTATTCTCATGAGTTCGAGGATGGCTTTTGTGGTTTTCCTTCGACTTACATTATCCTCACAACAACCTATAGAGGGGGCCAGGCTGTGAGGATTTGTAAAAAGGCACCATGATGTAATGGATTGACTGGAAAGACATGTGGTGGCAGCTGATTGGCTGAGCATACCAGGAGCCAGAATTCTGATTGGCTACTGTCTCTAGCTTGCTGCTGGGAGGAACCGTTTTAACTGCTATTTTCATCTGCGAGAGTGAAGAGAGTGCTGACTGGAAATAGCCAGGAAGGAAATGGCTGCCAACTCTCTGAAGCCTGATCATTTCTAAGGCATGAAGCATATTTTTAAAGACTGTTTAAAAGGACTGTTTATTCCCTCTGTTCTCTGTAAGAAATCAGAGATACTGCTGTGTATATTGTTGCTCTGTTTGTCCTTTTGAACTGAAGTAATGTTACTGTTACTCATTACACAAATCTGAGTGACACATTATTAGTATATTTTGGTTCAGAAACCATGGTAAAGCTTCTGTTTATTTACATTTACAACCTCCAACAAGGCAGACCAGTGTAAAAGGTATGAAATTAACAGATGTAATTCTATGTTTCCTGCAGGTGCCTTGGGACTTTGGAGCCGATTGCGGACCAAGAGAGCGATGCACACAGAAAGAAAAGAAGGGCGCAAGGCACTATGTAACAATTTTTTTTAAAAAAAAAACCTGTTTGAAAGTGTTATTTCCTGTTTCATTTTGTGGCACTTACTTTGGAAGAATTTGTTGTGACTGCCACAAACTAGATTGAATTAGTTGAAACTCGGGTATGCCTGCCCCATCTGGCATAAATCTGCCCACGTGAAGCAGGTTAATGTAGCACTAAATGAGACATGTAGAATAATCACAGGATGTCTTAAACCTACATCTGTTGATAGAGTCTATAAGCTAGCTGCCACTGCCCCTCCTGATGTGCGACGGGAAGTTGCTGCCAACTATGAGAGAAATAAGGTTGAACACTGTGAAAGCCACCCACTGTATGGCTATCAGCCTCCTTCCAGTAGACTCAAATCAAGGAAAAGTTTCACGAGAACCAACACTCCTCTTAATATTCCCCCAGCAACAGCAAGAATATCCCTTTGGGCAGCAAAATCAGGAAATCCGACTAAATGCTCCCCCCCCCCCCCAGGGTCTCCCTCCAGGGGGAAACCAAGAATGGGCAACTTGGAAGTCCCTGAACAGACTCAGAAGTGGAGTTGGCAGATCAAAAGACAACCTGGCAAAATGGCACTACCAGATTCTCCACCTTGTGTGACTGCAGAGCAGAACAAACAATTCAGCAACTGTATGCTTGTCCACTATGCCCTGCCTCATGCACAGAGGAAGAATTTCTTTAAGCTACAGATAATGCAGTTGCTGTTGCCTGTTTTTTGACTAAAACTATCACCTTGTGATCCCTTTATTTTATCCGTTTTAGATAAACTATTTTATGCAATGCTTTTGATATGAAATAAATAAGTTTAGCATAATGCCAAGTTTTTGACTTACTTTGTGAGCTTTTATACATTATAACCGTATTCTCAATTTGCTTCTGACACAATAAATAAATAAATACCCAGGACTGTGATTTTACAAAAACTTTCCCAGACCCTCCTAGAAAACTATTCGACTTTATGCGGCATTTTCCTATGTTGGACCATGCCATAGACTGTTGCATTATTATTACTACTACTACTACTAGCTTGGGTAGCCAGCGGTGCCCAGGTTATATGAAAAAGGCATTGTTTGTTTTGGGGTGTAGGTAACATCATTTAGTTAATTAGTAACACTATTCCTTAGGAAAAAGCCAGAATGTGATTTCATTTTTTTATGAATGCTCTCATTAGAAAATACATAACTACGTGGGTGAACTACAATTCCCTGAATCATGGGCCAGTCCTCCCCAAACCAGGCCTGTATGCACAGTTGGCCATGTTGGGTCTGTGTGCCAAGTTTGGCCCAGATCTGTCGTCAACTGGACTCACTGCTCTCTGGATAAGGGTGAACTACAACTCCCAGATTGCCAGGGCAATCAACCCCAAACCCAGCTATTATTTACATTTGGCCATGTTGGGTCTGTGTGCCAATTGTAGTCCAGATCCGTTGTCAGCTGGGTTGAATGCTCTCGGAGTGCAGGTAAGCTACACCTCCCAAAATCAAGGTCATTTTCCCCAAACCCTGCAGTATGTTCATTTGGTCATGGGGCTTTTCTGTGCCAAGTCCGGGTCTATTGTTAGACCCCTCCAGTATGTTCAGTTGCTGATCAATTCCTCTGTGTTTGCTATGTGCCATTGGAAATGGTAGGAAAGGGTTAAGGGAGAGGCAGTGGGTGGGGTCATGCAAATTCCACAAAAGGAACCCTGGGATGCCTGCCTATGATGGAAGGGAACACATCAAATCTAGAATGAAAATGTCCCCGAATGAAAGCATTCCAGAGATATACACATGTTTCACTTTTATTATGTGTATAGAAGATCATGTGTATAGATTATTACTACTACTACTACTACTACTACTACTACTACTACTACTATTTTACTGACACAAAAGCACAGTATGTCACAGCAAACGAGATCTATATGCTGGATTTCGTATCACAAAATCACAAGTCGAACACTTCCCAAGCATCTAGGACTGTGTGATGTATTATTATTATTATTATTATTATTATTATTATTATTATTATTATTATTTGAAACACAACAAGATGAGTCCACAGCAAACAAGATCACTCGGCTGGCTGTTGTATTGGATCACATGTCAGACACTTCCTAAGTGTCTAGGACTGTATGATGCATCGGCGAATAATGCGTGCAGATCCCAGTAAGGTGGCCTTCTGCAGCTGGCAGATGGTAATTTTGACAGCGCCAATTGTGTTTAAGTGCAGGCCAAGGTTTTTAGGCACTGCACCCAGTGTACCGATCACCACTGGGACCAAATTTACTTGTGCCAGAGTCTTTGCAGTTCAATCTTTAAATCCTCATATTGTGTCAGCTATTGTTGTTGTTGTTGTTGTTGTTGTTGTTGTTGTTGTTGTTGTTGTTGTTATTATTATTATTATTATTATTATTATTATTATTATTATTAGAAACACAACAAGATTTGTACTCAGCAAGGTCACTGGAAAATAGAGGGAGAAAATGTGGAGGCCGTGACAGACTTTGTATTTCTAGGTGCAAAGATTACTGCAGACATAGACTGCAGCCAGGAAATCAGAAGACATTCACTTCTTGGGAAGAGAGCAATGACCAATCTCAATAAAATAGTGAAGAGGAGAGACATCACACTGGCAATGAAGATCCGCATAGTTAAAAGCAATGGTATTCCCCATAGTCACCTACGGATGTGAGAGCTGGACCATAGGGAAGGCTGAGAGAAGGAAGATAGATACTTTTGAACTGTGGAGTTGGAGGAAAGTTCTGAGAGTGCCTTGGACAACGAGAAGATCCAACCACTCCATACTTCAGGAAATAAAGCCCAACTGCTCGTTGGAGAGAAGGATAGTAGAGGCAAAGATGAAGTATTTTGGCCACATAATGAGAAGACAGGAAAGCTTAGAGAAGACAATGATGTTGGGGAAAATGGAAGGAAAAAGGAAGAGGGGCCGACCAAGGGCAAGATGGATGGATGGTACTCTTGAAGTGACTAGCTTGACCTTGAAGGAGCTGGGGGTCATGACGGCTGACAGGGAGCTCTGGCATCGGATGGTCCATGAGGTCATGAAGAGTTGGAAGCGACCGAAGAAAGGAACAACAACAAGGTCACTCTGCTGGCTGTTGTATTGGATCACATGTCGGACACTTCCAAAGTATCTAGGACTGTGTGATGTATCAACGAATAATGCGTGCAGATCCCAGTAAGGTGGCCTTTTGCAGCTGGCAGATGGTAATCTTGTCAGCGCCAATTGTATTTAAGTGCAGGCCAAGGTCTTTAGGCACTGCACCCAGTGTGCCGATTACCACTGGGACCATCTTTACTGACTTGTTCCACAGTCTTTGCAGTTCGATCTTTAAATCCTCATATCATGTCAGTTTTTCCAGTTGTTTCTCTTCAATCCTGCTGTCGCCTGGGATTGCAGCATCGACAATCCACACTCCATTTTTTAACACAATCGTGAGGTCAGGAGTATTGTGCTCCAAAACTCTGTCTGTCTGAATTCGGAAGTCCAGAGTAGCTTGACGTGTTCATTCTCTGTAACTTTTTCCGGCTTATGATCCCACCAGTTCTTTGTTGCAGGCAGATGGTATTTGTGGCACAATTTCCAATGAATCATCTGAGCAATGGTGTTGTGCCTCTGCTTGTAGTCTGTCTGCACAATCTTCTTGTTGTACAGAGAGGAGGAAACCATGAAGATGAACAAAATCTGGCTACCAGTATTAAAAAACTCAAAAATTACAACAGCAAAACAACAGAGAGTAAACAATCAGGCACATCAATTCACTTTCAACAAGAGATTCCCCCCAGGTGCTTCCAGGCCATTGAATGCAAATCAAGGTGATCAGCTGAAACATTACCCTGGTCATTCCACAGATATATAAACCCATTTTTCCTACTTCCAACAGACCTCACTACCTCTGACGATGCTTGCCATAGATGCAGGCGAAACGTCAGGAGAAAAATTGCCTCCAGAACATGGCCATATAGCCCGGAAAAACCTACAACAACCCAGAACATTACATTTTTTATATAGATTTATTTCCTATATTTATACCCTGCCCTTCTCCCCCCCACAAGGGGACTCATGCTTACATATTCCAAAAACCACTTTCAAAACGGCAGAAAATAGAATGTTTTCCTCATTTTAATTGGAACTATTTTATCTTTAGAAATGCTAAAACCATGCTTTATGTTCAGATTGTAACAATAAAAAATACATGATGCATATCAGATATTTACATTACGATTCATAACAGTAGCAAAATAGGACATGTGCAGTGTGCATAGGAATTTGGTCATCGTTTTTTAAAAAAACTATAGTCTGGCCCTCCAACGGTCTGGGGGACAGTAATCTCTCCCCCCCCCCCCCCCCCCCCCCCCCCCGTTTAAAAAGTTTGAGGACCCCTGACCTAGAGCTTTGGAGAGCTTCTGTTCAACCATCTCAAAGCTCCCTGCTTGAGCAGTACTGGCACGATCATCAGCATAGATGAAACTCTCTGTCCCTTCTGGCAGTGGCTGGTCATTTGTTTTGTAGCAGGTTTCCTATGAGGCGGGTGAGGTGGTAGTCCTTTGTGATATTATACATTTTTCTCCAGCAATACATGGAGCGAGAGTTGCCAGATGTTCAAGTTGTGTTTAGAAAAGGCAGAGGAATGAGAGACCAGATTGCCAATATCCGCTGGATAATGGAGAAAGGCAGGGAGTTTCAGAAAAACATCTACTTCTGTTTTATTGACTATTCTAAAGCCTTTGACTGTGTGGATCATAATAAATTGTGGCAAGTTCTTGGCGGGATGGGCATACCAAGCCACCTTGTCTCTCTCCTGAGGAATCTGTACAAGGACCAAGTAGCAACAGTCAGAACTGACCACGGAACAACAGACTGGTTCAAGATTGGGAAAGGCGTACGGCAAGGCTGCATCCTCTCACCCAACCTTTTTAACTTGTATGCAGAACACATCATGCGAGGATGTGCGGGGCTTGATGAATGCAAAGCTGGGGTGAAAATTGCTGGAAGAAACATTAACAACCTCAGATATGCAGATGACACCACTCTGATGGCCGAAAGCGAGGAGGAGCTGAGGAGCCTTCTAATCATGGTGAAAGAAGAAAGCACAAAAGCCGGGTTGCAGCTAAACATCAAAAAAAAACCAAGATCATGGCAACAAGAATGATTGACAACTGGGAAATAGAGGGAGAAAACGTGGAGGCCGTGACAGACTTTGTATTTCTAGGTGCAAAGATTACTGCAGATGCAGACTGTGGCCAGGAAATCAGAAGACGCTTACTTCTTGGGAGGAGAGCAATGTCCAGTCTCGATAAAATAGTAAAGAGTAGAGACATAACACTGGCAACAAAGATCCGCCTAGTCAAAGCCATAGTCAAACACCGCATCTCTGCCTATGAACCCACCAGGACTTTGAGATCTTCCGGGGAGACCCTGCTCTCGATCCCGCCTGCTTCTCAAGCTCGGCTGGCGGGGACGAGAGATAGGGCCTTCTCGGTGGTGGCTCCTCGGCTGTGGAACGCCCTTCCTACGGACATTAGACTAGCACCATCTCTAATGGTATTCCGCAAAAAGGTGAAGACCTGGCTGTTTGAGCAGGCGTTTGAATAATTAGTGCAATGATTGGTTAATGAACACTGGAATGGAACAATGGATGACGAATCTGGAACATGTTTTTGATGACGAGACGACAGTGAATGGGTATTGTAGTAACTGTTTATTAATTGTGTAATGTGTTAGGTTGTTAACTGTTTCTATACTGTAGCACTGAATTTTTGCTGTTCGTATTTGTTGTGAACCGCTGTGAGTCGCCTTCGGGCTGAGAACAGTGGTATATAAGGAAGGTAAATAAATAAATAAATAAATAAATAAATAAATAAATAAATAAATGGTATTCCCTGTAGTCACCTACGGATGTGAGAGCTGGACCTTAGGGAAGGCTGAGCGAAGGAAGATCGATGCTTTTGAGCTGTGGTGCTGGAGGAAAATTCTGAGAGTGCCTTGGACTGCGAGAAGATCCAACCAGTCCATCCTCCAGGAAATAAAGCCCGACTGCTCATTGGAGGGAAGGATATTAGAGGCAAAGCTGAAGTACTTTGGCCACATCATGAGAAGAAAGGAAAGCTTAGAGAAGACAATGATGCTGGGGAAAGTGGAAGGCAAAAGGAAGAGGGGCCGACCAAGGGCAAGATGGATGGATGGCATCCTTGAAGTGACTGGACTGACCTTGAAGGAGCTGGGGGTGGTGACGGCGCTCTGGCGTGGACTGGTCCATGAGGTCACGAAGAGTCGGAGACGAATGAACGAATGAACAGCAACAACAACATTTTTCTCAGGAGGAGGCGGTGGTTCACAGTATCATAGGCTGTGATATGCCTATAAGCCTATAAGCAACTATAAGCCCCGCCCTAGACGTTGACGACACCGGGCTTGAAACAGGCAACAAGCTTCTTCCCCGTTGGCGCCTCCGTTGCCGTGGCAACGGGGCCTGCGCGTCCAGGCGTTGCCGCCTCCCTTCGCAGCAAGAGGCACCTTAGCGGCGGCGGCGGCCGGGCTCTGCTCTCCTTCCACCGGAGCTGAAGCCGGCGCCATGTCTCTGCGGACGCTGCCGCTGTTGGTGCTCAACCTGGGCGGGGAGATGCTTTACATCGTGGACCAGCGGCTCCGGGCCCAGAGCATCCCAGGAGACAAGGCCCGCCAAGGTCAGCCGAAGAAGGTCTCACCCCCCCCCCCCACCCCCTCAATCTCGACTTAGACATGGAGATGAGCACCAACCCCCAGAGTAGGACACAATTAGACTCAGTGTCAGGGGAATTTACCTTTACTTATTTCAATATAACCAATTGGTTTCTTCTCCCGAAACCAAGCTCATTCATGCACTTATTATTATTATTTCTTTTATTACTTAAAAGTAACAATTTGCTCTCTTCTCCTCAAATCAAGCTAACTCATGCATTCCTTATTATTATTATTATATAAATATAACGATTTGTTCTCTTCTCCCAAAACCAAGCTCAGTCACTTATTATTATTATTATTTCTTTTATTACTTAAAAGTAACAATTTGCTCTCTTCTCCTCAAATCAAGATAATTGATGCATTCCTTATTATTATTATTATTATTATTTAAATATAACTATTTGTTCTCTTCTCCCAAAACCAAGCTCAGTCACCACTTCTTCTTCTTCTTCTTCTTCTTCTTCTTATTATTATTATTATTATTATTATTATTATTTCCTTTTATTACTTAAAAGTAACAATTTGCTCTCTTCTCCTCAAATCAAGCTAACCCATGCATTCATTATTATTATTATTATTATTATTATTATTATTATTATTTAAATATAACTATTTGTTCTCTTCTCCCAAAACCAAGCTCAGTCACTTATTATTATTATTATTATTATTATTATTTCTTTTATTACTTAAAAATAGGCATTTGCTCTCTTCTCCCCAAATCAAGCTCATTCACGCATTCCTAATTATTATTTAAATACAACCATTTGCTCTCTTTTCCCAAAATCAAGCTCAGTCACTCACTGTTATTACTTAAATAAAAGAAATAATAACAATTTGCTCTTTTCTCACCAAATCAAGTGCATTCACGCACTTCTTCTTCTTATTATTATCATTATTATTTCATACATAATAAGATTAGTGTGCAGCAAACAAGGTCATTATGCTGGCTGTTGTATTGGATCACACATCGGTCACTTCCCAAGTGTCTAGGGCTGTGTGATGTATCAGCAAATAAACCGACTAGGGTGGCCTTTTGCAGCTGACAGGTGGTTATTATTATTATTATTTAAATATAACCATTTGCTTCTCCCAAAACCAAGCTCAGTCACTTATTATTATTATTATTATTATTATTATTATTATTATTATATTTCTTTTATTACTTAAAAATAACCATTTGCTCTCTTCTCCCAAAATCAAGCTCATTCACACACTTCTATTATTTATTTACTTACTTACTTAAAATAATCATTTGCTCTCTTCTCCCCAAATCAAGCTCATACACACACTTATTATTATTATTATTACTATTATTATTGCTATTACTATTGCTATTACTTTTTCTTATTTAAAAATAAGGCAACCTGGCAAAATGGAACTACCTAAAATAATCCTCCACCTTGTGCGACTGTGGAGCAGAAAAAACAATTCCACACCTGTATGCTTGTGCACAATGTCCTGCCTCTTGTGCAAGGAAGAATTGTTTAAAGCTACAGACAATGCTATTGCTGTTGCCTAGTTTTGGTCAAAAATGATTTAGCCACTTGCGCTCATTCTATTTTTACCAGTTTTATACTTCTGTATGCAAAGCTTTTGACATGAAATAAATATAAATTACTTTAACATAACCATATGCTCTCTTCTCCCCAAAATGAAGCTCATCCACATCCTTGTGACTTTCGTTTTGATTAATACTTGTATTACTTCATGATAATGATTTGCCCTCTTTGCAATACACTGAGATAGTGTTGGGGGTGGGGGGGAGTGGATTCTTTCCTTCAGGTGCATCCATACTATGGTATTAATGAACTTTAACTTGGATGACGTAATTCTATGGGAGCCTGTGAGTTGGGACACCAGTAGTCTTTGGCAGGTAAGGCATTATGAAACTGCATCTCCCAGGATTCTGTAGCATTGAGTCAAGGAGAGTCAAACTGCATTTATTCTCCAGTGTAGATGCACTCTTAGTAAAACTCGCCAGGATTCCATAGCAGTGAAAGTTTTGCCAAACTGCATTCATACCACAGTGTAGATGTGCCACCTATTTCCCTTTCTTCACCCTGGTTCACAGCGTGTTGTTCGTAGCCCTTGACCCGTCGCTCTTTTCTATTTTATGCTTCGTGTAGATGAATGGACTGATGGGGACAGGAGACGAGGTACTGTCATTTATTTAGCCCCCTCCTCACCTTTCATAAAGGCACCCCTTTTTATTGCACTTTTTATAAACCCCATCCTTTGCATACACAGAGAGATACCATTGGAAGATCCCTTACACATTTGCATTTTCATGTGTATGAAGTACAGGCCTAAAATGTACTGGTACAATGTTTCTCTTAAAACCATAATTTGATGCTTTGGACAATGCTAGCAGTTCTATTAAAGTGTTCTAACTTGAGTTTGGGAGGTTAATCAACGCACAGCTCAGCTACTGTTGACAGGTGATGACTATCATATTATATTAAATGCGCAAACTACCAAATTGCACCTGTTAGTACATTGAAATGCAGGAGCTATTCTTTGTGATGCACCTGCTAGTTCATTGAAATGCAGGAGCTGTTCTGTGTGAGTCAATCCTGAACTGTCAGACATTATTCTGAACTGCGTGCAGGACCTCTTTCTGTGTCCTTGCACAAAAAGACACAAAGCATCCCCTGTTGCTTCACTGCTGTCTCACTGGCAACTGATGCGCTGCATGCAAAAGCAAACAGAAATGACACTTGCAGAAGTGCCATCGAAAGAGGCACTTTGAGAATTCAGTGCACCGAATTCTCTGTTGGCTCATTTGTCGTCTCCCTTCTATCTATGGGAGAAGCATTCATCTGCATGAGTCTCCTACCTGAGCATCGTTCATGGGCAAAACACAGTGAGGGGATGCGCATGCTGTTGCCATGCCAGGCTCTTCCCAGCTCTCATCATCTTCCTATAATGCTACTAAAGTAATCACTGGTCTCTCAGTTATTGCAGCCGGCTGCCATGAGTTATCTTCTCCTAATGCTTATTTTTCTTTTCTGGATTAAATCCCAAACTTTTGTCATTGTGTCTTCTGGCATTCTAGTATATGTTTGGATGGCAATCCTTAATAAAAATCTTTCTTGCTTCACTTTTAGTAGACATGGAGTGAGTGCTTATCACCCTAGAGCTGAAAGAGTTGGCATCTTATCTGAAATCCTGTGGCTGCGCTCTGCAGAATTCTGGGACTTGTAGTTTAGTGAGCTGAGCAATTCAAAGGCCCTTCCTTTCCCTAAACTACAAGCTCCAAGATTCTGCAGGAGGCAGCCACAAGTTTCAGATGGAAAGCATGCGTTTTGCCTACTCTTTAAACCAGGGGTCCTCAAACTAAGGCCTGGGGGCCGGATACGGCCCTCCAAGGTCATTTACCCAGCCCTCGCTCAGGGTCAATCTAAGTCTGAAACGACTTGAAAGCACACAACAACAACAACAACAATCCTATCTAATCAGCTAAAAGCAGGCCCACCCTTCCCATTGAAATACTAATAAGTTTATATTTGTTAAAATTGTTCATTTTAATTATTGTATTGTTTTTAAGTGTTTTTTGCACTACAAATAAGGTATGTGCAGTGTGCATAGGAATTTGTTCTTTTTTTTCTTCAAATTATAATCCAGCCCTCCAACCGTTTGAGGGACTGTGACCTGGCCCTCTGTTTACAAAGTTTGAGGACCCCTGCTTTAAACTCTAGGGTGATACCATGGACAATTTAACAGGGAGAAGCCGGAAGAGTTTCTGAAGTCAACCCCACAAGTTTGGGCCAACCCATGCCTCCTTTTCTTTTTTTTTCTTCATGTTGTACATTCTCTTGCAAATAAATAAGGATAGGGGAAAAGAGTATCTGCAGTTTTTCAAACCAAGCATTTGGTCTACCTGAGAATTCAGTTTGTGTGTCATAGGGAAGTTTGAACAGTAGGTTCTTAACTGTCTGTGGGAAATGGCTACCTGCAAAGCTATGATCTGTGGCTGTAATTTGTAACTTTCACTGGTGGCTGCAGGACAGCTGTTTTGGGGGAGCCGATGGTAGGAACAAGGATCAGTTCTGGAGAATGGAACAATTCAGGATGTGCCCCCTTCTGTGTGGGGAATACTTTGAGACTTTTCACTGTCACTGGGAAACAGCCAGTGCAACTTCAGATCTTAGGGGTCTGCAGAAAGGCTTTTGGGTTCCACACTCAGCCGTGGAGTAGCCTTTGCCAAGCTCCTTGCCTTTGAAGTCTCAAAGAAAGCTGCTTCTCTTGTAAGCTGTTGAGGTTTGTCTCTGAATCTGCATACCTGTCCCCAAGGGGTCTGCACTTCACAACTTGTTCTGAAAACTTTGCTGAAATAACTGCTATAGCCTGACAGAATGGTTTGGGAGGCCAGTGTTTACATCATTTCAGCCATGGAAATCCACAAGGTCATGCCACATTCAAGGGAAGGCAATAGCAATAAATCCACCCAAAAAGAAGGCCACCAGGGATTGGAGTCGGCTTGAAGGTCCATCCCAGCAGCAACCCATAGCAAGAGATGGTTCAAGTAGTAGAAGCTTCGTAATTGAAACAGTGATGCCAACAATGTGGTGGGAGTGTGATTTTAGCTTGGTCCACTTCCCACGGAAGAGGGAAGAGGAGGGGGGATGAGTGAGAAATAAAATTCGTAGTCATTATGATCAGCACTGACACTTTTTTAATTTGGTGACTCATCCTGAGTCTCCTCCAGAGTTCAGTCTCTGGGACCACCAACTCTCACAGCTGCATTGAACATCTGCTTTTCCAATGGAGGGTCTGTTAGCGGTAAAGGATATCTAATGCACTTCTTGATAGTGTCCCTTGTTAGCATTGATCTCAGCTAAAGTGCTGAGATCAGTGGCTTTTTATCCTGGTTGCGGGAAGGAAAGTTCCTATCATTTACAAATCCAGAAGAAGACTCAGAATCAGCTCCCTGCCCTTTGACTTTTGGGGCTGTAACACAGTCTGCTTGGAGTGCGGAAGCATTTCCCCTCTTTCAGTCATGGCTTCTGGCTGGAGGAGCTGCTGAAGCCCCAGAGCCTTGGGGGAAATGGAGGGCAGTCTCAAGGAAAACCTCTCTGAGATTCTTTGACACCAACAGCAGTGTCAAAAGTGCCAGCACCACAAGGCAAGTAAGACTTCCATGTAGATCTTTTCGAGAGAGATTCAGAAGGGAATGCACATCCTTTCAGGGGAACATCTATGGGGCATGGTGTGTTCCATTTTCAGTTACTTTGCCCAATCATCTTCCCCATGGGCTGGTAGTCTGGGTCTGCAACCAAACTGGAGCCCACCAGTTCCTGATGGGGTTTGTTCTTTTTTGTCTTTTCAGTCATGAACGACATCATTGGGGGCATATTCAACAAAAAGTTTATGGACGAGCTGTTTAAGCCACAGGAGCTCTATTCCCGGAAGGCCCTGAGGACCGTCTTTGAGCGCCTGGTCCATGCCTCTATCATGAGACTGAACGCTCCCAGCATGGACAAGGTGAGAGGTCAGACTCTTCCGCTTCTCCAGGTAAACCAAGGGGAAACGCTCCCTCTGTCAGCAAACACTCTCAATCCAGTGATACCAAGAGACTCATGGGCTGAATTTGAACACACTGCTCAGTGGTGAAGCAGTTGAACCCCTATCTTGTGCCCAGCATATGTGTCTCATTGCATCAGCCTCACAGTCCAGAGCTTTTGCAATAACGTCATTAACCCTAAGCTGCTACAGTAAAGTGTCAAGACTTGCACATAGGAGGAAGGCATTGCACAAGTGACCAATCACACCCAGTTTTTTCTTTCTCACACAGACCTAATACACCAAATCATAACAATCCTCCCACACACCAATCCGAGTCATACACATCACTCATCTGCCCTTAATTCACTCACAGATGACTAAAACACAACATTCTCTCTCTGTTCTGGGGAAAAACAGCTACAAGCATTAAGCATAGATACGTGGATCACATGTAATTGTCTGCTTCCCATTTTGTTTCATTTTATCAGATGCCAAGAGAGCCTTTGATATTCCAAATCAATCTCCAAAAATGGTCAAATGGGCTAACGAGTTAATACTTAATCTATAAGCCAAAGGAATTCCTGATCAATTGAAGCAGCAGTCTTCCATGAAAAGGAACTTAGCCTATCCTGGACAGCATCTCCATCATGAGACCAGATTTTATCATTTGAGACCACATTTTGGCTTCTGTGTGGCCAAAGAGAACTTGTGGCAGCCAGGAGTACTTTCATGTTTTCATTCAGAAAGTCAGGCCCTCCATCTACCTACTTCTTGGCTCAAATTATTGCAAGGGACTCTTCACGGAGAGGCCTTTGCGGAGTGGGGACCTTCTGGAAACTGGGGAAATTTCAAGGGCTGCATTGTCACACAGTTCATTTCCAGGCCCAATTCAGAGTGCTGGTAATTCCCTTTGGAGTTCTAAATGGATTGAGCTGAGGGGCTTTCAAGAGCCACTTCCTCCCTGAACAGACAGACAGCTCCTTCAAAGTTGCCCAGGAGAGAACTTGGTGGTAACACCTGAATTTTAAAGAAAAAGTCCCTGCCACTGAAATACATTTGTTATTCTCTCAGTCATTTCTCCTGCCAGATTCAAGCTTTGGGTAATTTGATCCCTTCCTTTCAGGCTCTTTTGCTCCTCTCTCTTAAAGAAAACTTGCTAATTTTTAAAATTTATTTTGCAACATTTTGTAAGCTGCCTTGAGTGGGATTGAAGTAAAGGTTTTCCCTGGACATTAAGTCTAGTCATGTTCGACTCTGCGGGGTGGTGCTTATCTCCTTTTCTAAGCCAAAGAGCTGGCATTGTCCGTAGACACCTCCAAGGTCATTGGCCAGCATGACCACGTGGAGCACCATTACCTTCCCGCCGAAGTGGTACCTATTTATCTACTCTTATTTGCATGTTTTAGAATTGCTAGGTTGGCAGAAGCTGGGGCTAACAGTGGGAGCTCACCCCACTCCCTGGATTCAAACCACCAAAGTCATCAGCACAGCAGTTTAACCCGCTGCACCATCAGGGGTTCCCTGGAATTAAAATACAGTCAAATAAATATGCTGCTGGGAACTCCTTGAGTGTGAATTGCCATATGTACTGCCTGCTTTCTGTCAGGCATTTAATGATGTATTGGAAAGTAGCAAAGGTCAGAGGGAAGTCCCTTTAGCCAGATGGGAAGTGTCTGCCAGCATGAGGAGTACCTGACAAGGCTGCAGCCTGGAAGGTTGTGGTGTAATTGGATTCCACTTGCCTTCCTTTTCAGCTCTACGACCTCATGACCATGGCGTTCAAGTACCAGGTCCTGCTCAGCCCTCGCCCCAAGGACCTTCTCCTCATCACCTTCAACCATCTGGACACCATCAAGGAGTTCATCTACGAGTCGCCCAAGACCCTCACCCAGGTGGACATCACCTTCCGAAGGCTCATCGATGTAAGGGCACTTCATATGGCTTGGCTGCTCCGTTCACACTTAGAGTCTGACTGCCCAGGATTTGAGTGCAATGGCAGAAAAAGTACTCAAGGGTGAAGCAAATTGGTACCCAGCTCTGGGGTTACTTTTTCTGCTTCTTGACTGCCCCACTGGTCACAGTGGGATTTGCATCTTGTTCAACAAGATAATGTGTGCCATTTTCTAAGATGAGGAAGAGAAAGGATGTGGGAAAAGACAGGTTGTAATGACCGCAACTCCCATGATCCCTTATTGGAAGAGGCTCGTAGGAGATGTAAGTAGAGGATCAGAGGTTCGTTGTACATATTCAGCTGGTACTTAGTGATGTTGGATGAAGCATTTGCCTAACATCCATGTGAATGTCAGTGGCTGTGGTCTAGAGGCAAAAACATCTGTTCTGAATCTGTTTTTCAGACGTATGGCTCTCTCTCTGCTGGGGAATTTCAGCTAATCCGGCAAACGTTGCTCATCTTCTTCCAGGACATACACATCCGGGTGAGCATGTTCTGTTGTCCTCCTCCCAGAGCATATGGCAGCAGAACAATAAAGCACGGTGAAGTGGCAGCATATGATAGGCTTGTTCAGAGGTGGCAGTGGTTACTGAGAATCTCTGCTTTACTGATGAGGGCTTTCTTGGCTGCCCCCGCTCCCCAGGTTTCCATCCTCTTGAAAGATAAAGTGCAGAACTCCAATGGACATTTTGTGCTGCCAACCTCAGGCCCCGTCCCTTGGGGAACAGATGTCCCAGGAGTCATCAGGTGAGGATTCAATCCCTGCTTTTTTGGTATCCCCACCAGGTAGAGTTAGCCTTTTGTCCCAAACTGAGAGAGAAAGTATTTTTAAAAAATCCTTTTTATTGAATATTACTTTATACATTATAGTTGAAAGAGATGGGCTAAAAGTAGGTGAGATATGAATAAGGCAGCAGTTCTCAACCTGGGGTTTGGGACCCCTGTGGGGTGTCGTGAGGGAGTGTCAGAGGGGTCTCCAAAGACCATCAGAAAACACACTATTTCTGTTGGTCATGGGGGTTCTGTGTGGGAAGTTTGGCCCAGTACTATTGTTGGTGAGCTTCAGAATTCTCTTTGATTGTAGGTGAACCATAAATCCCAGTAACTACAACTCCCAAATGTCAAGGACTATTTCCCCCAAGCTCCACCAGTCTTCACATTTGGATATATTGTGTATTCATGCTGTACCAATGGTATATAACTCCACAAAAACTAGGAAGGTTTTACAAAAATATGCAAATATGGAAACAGACGGCAAATCCTCCCACCAAAAGCCCTTCTCCGCTGCAATTGGCTGGCCTCTCAGCCAAGGGGAGGGCAGTTTCTGAGACAAGTTCTATGTGGCAGGTTTACTAGCTCCATCACCAGTTTGGTACACAGTGCCCTTGGAGTGTTGGTGAACTACAACTCCCAAAATTCAAAAAGAACTCCGCCCAACCCCAGCAGTATGCAATGTTGGCCATTGTGTGGGTGGTGTGCCAATTTTGGTGCAGATCCATTGTGGATTGAGTTAAGAATGCTCTTTGATTGTAGGTGAACTATAAATCCCAACTACAACGCCCAAATGTCAAGGTCTATTTTCTCCAAACTCCACCAAGATTCACATTTAGGCATATTGAGTATTTGTGCCAAGTTTGATCCAGATCCATCATTGTTTGAGTCTACATTGCTCTCTGGATGTAGGTGAACTACAATTCTAAAACTCAAGGTCAATGCCCACCAAACTCTTCTGGCATTTTTTGTTGGTTGTGGGAGTTCTGTGTGCTAAGATTCTTTCAGTTCCATCATTGGTGGAGTTCAGAATGCTCTTTGATTGTAGGTGAACTATAAATTCCAGCAACTACAACTCCCAAATGACAAAATCAAAAAAAATTGAGTGAAGGACATACAGTGGATGAAAATACATCCTGCATATCAGATATTAACATTATGACTTGTAACAGTAGCAAAATTACAGTTATGAAGTAGCAACAAAAATAATGTTATGATTGAGGGTCTCCACAATATGAGGAACTGTATTAAGCGGTCGCGGCATTAGGAAGGTTGAGAACCACTGGGTTAGAGGGAGGGAAGGGAAGGAGGGATATAAGGGAGGGAGTAGGGAAGGGAAAGATATAAGGAAAAATAAGAAAGGGGAAGGTTTGTAGACCTCCGATCTTCTTCATCATGGTTACATTTTTGTCCTCAGTCTCTTTCCTCTTTTTATAGTATGCTTTTCCTTTTTGTTCCTCCTACTTCTAGGATAAATACTCTTTATTCCTTTGGATTCTATATTATCAAGCTTCTTTTCTCTTGGGTCATATAGTCTTTTTAAAGGGTTGCCAATCCATTCCCTTCTTAGGTCTTCCTTGATATTTAATTATTAGCGAGCAAATTTGTCCATATTCATGATTTCCATTATTTTAATTGACCATTGGTGTATTGAGGGTATTCCTTTTAGTCTTCAACTCCTTGCATAAACTATTCTTGCTGCCGTTGTTAGGTAATTAAAAAGTATATCTTTATTCGTATCCATATTTTTATCCATTATTCCTAATAAAAAGTATTCTTGTTTCATTTGTATTTTTATATTTAGCATTTTCTGAGGTATTTCTTGAATTTCTTTCCAATAATCTATTGCTTTGGTAGAAATTGCCCTCAAAATTTTTGCTTTTCCAATATTTGCTTTGCATATTTTTGTAAAACTTTCCTAGTTTTTGTGGAGTTATATACAATTGGTATATAACTCCACAAAAACTAGGAAAGTTTTACAAAAATATGCAAAGCAAATATGTGGAGTTATATACCATTGGTGGAGCCCCTGGTGGCGCAGTGGGTTAAAGCACTGAGCTGCTGAGCTTGTTGATCGAAAGGTCGCAGGTTCGATTCCAGGGAGTGGCGTGAGCCTCCACTGTCAGCCCTAGCTTCTGCCAACCTAGCAGTTCGAAAACATGCAAATGTGAGTAGATCAATAGGTACCGCTCCGGCGGGAAGGTAATGGCGCTCCATGCAGTCATGCCGGCCACATGACCTTGGAGGTGTCTACGGACAACGCTGTCTCTTCGGCTTAGAAATGGAGATGAGCACCACACCCCAGAGTCAGACATGACTGGACTTAATGTCAGGGGACTACCTTTACCTACCTATATACCATTGGTACATCATTTTGTACCAATTTTCTTTTAAATTATACACATAAGTATATGTGTATGATTTAAAAGAAAATTGGTACAAAATCTGGAATTTGTGATTCCAAATGTATTCCCATTCTTCCAACTTTATTTGGCGACCTATATTGGTAGCCCATTTAATCATGCATTCATTTACCTGTTCCATTTCTATACTCCATTCTAACAAGTTCTTATAAATTTTCATAACTATTTTCTTATTTGAGAGAAAGTTTTTAAATGAGATCACCTTCCACAAACTCTCCATTCTCTCCTGCTAGAAAGAGTCTTTCCCTCTCTTTTTCTTAAGACCAAACTAGTGGTGCCCAGTGTCTCTGTTTTCCCATCCCACAGGCTTTTCAACAGTAAAGGAGATGAAATCCAACGGACCGAGTTTCCTCAAGGTGGAAATTATGTCCTGCCCTACCGGGAAGGCTCCTTCGACCTCCACGGAGACAGGGTCATTAAATTGGGGACAAATATGTAAGCTGTGCCACACCAACCTTAATTCTATTTGGGATCTTCTAGCTATTTTGTGGTATCTGAAACCTTTTGCCAATTTCCTCTAGATACAGCATCAGCCGCCCTGTAGAGACAGATACATCGGGGGCTGCCAAAAACTTAGTCTCCCGTGTAAAGGTCAGTATCTTTACTTGACCCTCTTTAAGTTTTGCTATGTAGCGGGTTCCTCACTTGAGCCTTCTTTTTCTCTTTAATGTATTACTTATTCATGTATTTTAGTGTATGCTTATTACCTCTCAGCCTACAAGGGAGGCCAGGGCAATGTGAAAAGAAAACAATTTTTTTTAAAACTGCTCAAAAACAGACTAAAATAAGCTTTGCATATATCTCTTTTTAAGTCAGGGAATGCTGTGGTTTTAGCTATGAATTGTTTTTAAACGGTTTTAAGGATTTTGACTGTTTGTAATACTGTTCAAATGTAATTTCCATATTAATGTTTGTATATTTTTAGGTTTTAGTTGTATTGTATTTGTTTTTATTGTGAGCTGCTTGGAGACTTTTTTAAAGAAATAAATTGGGATACATATGATGATGATAATGTTTGTGTGCGATTTACAAACTGGGTTGCTGTGAGTTTTCCGGGCTGTATGTCCATGTTCAGCAAGTGCTCTGCTGTGGCTGACTTCTTCTTCTTTCTTTTTTTAATAAATTTTTTTATTAACCACAAAAGAAATGCTATATACATAAGAAGAGGTGGAACAATATAGTGAAAGAAAAGTAGGAAATAAAGACTACTTCATTCTTTTCTTTAAGCCAGATTCTTTACAGTGATTCAACTTGTTCTCCTCTTTTTTTTCTAAACACCTAATAATTTTATTACATTTATATTCCTTTCATTACAAAAACAATCTCTATAATTCATATAATTACTTTTTTCCCTTTCCCCATTTGTGCTACTCCTTGTGCTCCCCATCTCCGTAGTTCTTCTTTTTTTTATACTCCCACCATAACCCCATTTCTTCTGGTGGGGGTTGGTTCCCATCTTCTTTCCTTAATGTTTCCTCAATAAATATTTTCCATATATTTTCAAAATCATTATCCTTCCTTAGGCCTTTTTTAACCTTTAAATTGCATTTTAATTTGTCATTTATTGCTAATTTCCAAATTTCCTTGTACCATTCTTCTATCTTAATTTCCACCTCTCCTTTCCAGTATTTTGCTATTAGTAGCCTTGCAGCCGTTAACAACATTGTTATCAGATTCTTTTCATTTTCCTTCCATTCATCTGTGTTGTAAATAGATAACAGTATAGTCGCTGGATTTCTATTAATTTTTTTCTTCATAATACTTTCTATTTCTACTATAACTTTTCCCCAGAAATTCTGTACATATTTGCATTGCCACCACCTGTGGCTGACTTCTCTTGTTGACTTAGTCTGCAGTGCCTATCATGTTCCTTGATTTGTGTTTGGGCAGTGTTGCATTTGGTGGTCCCTATGTAGAGTTGTCCACAGCTGCATGGTATACGCTAGGGACCACCAAACACATCACTGCCCAAACACGAATCAAGGAACATGAAAGGCACTGCAGACTAAGTCAACCAGAGAAGTCAGCCATAGCAGAGCACTTGATGAACCAACCTGGACACAGCATATTATTTGAGAAAACGGTAATGCTGGACCACTCTAACAACCACCATGTCAGACTACACAGAAAAGCCATTGAAATCCACAAGCATGTGGACAGTTTCAACAGAAAGGAGGAAATCATTAAAATGAACAAAATGTGGCTACCACTATTATAAAACTCTATAAAGTCAGGGCAGTAAATAAAGAAAAACACTCACAAAAACAGGGGAATTCCAGACAGGAAAAAATCAGGGCCAGCTTACAACTCCCAACAAAGGATTTTCTCAGGCAAGAATCAGCCAGGCTTTACAGCTACAAGGCCATTTGATACTAATCAAGCTGACCAAATGAAACATTCACACTTGCCTCAAACAGAGAAGAGTTCTTTCTCCCACCTGGATATTCCACAGATATATAACCCCCCCCCCTTGCCTAGCTTCCAACAGATCTCACAACCTCTATGGATGCCTGCCATTGATGTGGGCAAAACTACAGGAGAGGATGCTTCTGAAACTTGGTCGTACAGCCCAGAAAACTCACAGCAACCCAGTGATTCTGCCCATGAAAGCCTTCGATAACAATTTACAAGCTGTCAGAATTCTACCTTGGTTTTAAGGAACAAAGACTGGATAGAACAAGATAGCCATCAGGAGGGATGGAGCCTTCCTCAGGCTTTATTTGATATGGGTTTTCTGTTCCTAGCCTTCTGCTATGTTCCTAGCCTTCTGCTATGATCAATCTTGTCAACCATTACTTTGTATATGTTTTAATGTGTATTTGTTTGAATGGTATAAGCTGCCTTGAGTCCCAGTTTTGGGGGGAAGCTGGGACATGAGCAAAGAAGCGCTTTGCTCGCTGTCTTTGTAACAGGCCTGTTCTCATCCTCTTCTCTTTTTGCAGGAGAACACGGCCCCCAACCCTCTGGCGAAGGAAGAACTAAACCTCTTGGCCCGGCTGATGGGGGGCCTGGAGGTCAAGAAGCCCCCTGGCAATGAGGCTGGCTTCCGGCTGAACCTCTTCACCACAGACGAGGAGGAAGAGTATGGCTGGGGCCCTTTGGGGTTTTGACAGGGACTGGGCCTTCTTTCCACACTTAAGTCAGGCCTGGGCAGCCACTTGGGACTGGAGGAAGCCCCCTCACATGCACCTCTTGCTATAAATAATTGAGGGTTGTGGAAAACACTTTTAAGATGTAATACTACACAGAACTCGGTGGTCAGTACGTGTATATTTAACGAAGGGAGGTGATTGTGAAGCAGCCAAAGAATGACCTAACCAAAACATAGGTTATTGTAACCTAACCAAAAAAGGGCCATTTCTGTGGCCTTCCAATGAGCAACTGTGGCTCTTTCTCCTTTCCCTGCAGACATGCTGCCTTAACTCGCCCAGAGGAATTGACGTACCAAGTTATTAACATCCAAGCAGACCAGGTAGGCCCTTGCTGTTTGTGGAACCCAGTATTTTTTGTTAATTAGGCTTGCTTCCTTCACTTGTAAGTATGAGCAAGGGAGCGCTTGAGTTTCACAATACTTTTGATCATTTAAATAAATCTCAGTTTCATAAAGGATAGTATGGGGGTGTTAATGCAGAGACTGCATTATTTTGTGAATACAATTTAAAAATAATGTTGTTAAATCAGTACAAGGGCTTCTCTTCTCCAGCAGGTACAAAGGCCAAAGCCCTTTCCTTGGGTTTGTTCCTGACATCCAGAAACAGTCTGGCTGCTTTGAAAGATTGTTCAGAAACTTCAGGTTTCTTTTATTTACCAAATCCTTATTATTACTTTTGAATACAGTAGCAATCCTCCCTGATTTTTGTATACAATATTAACCCCACCCCTGAAGTGTATCCCCTGTTTAAGGAGCTCCACTGGCTGCTGTTTATAATCCGGTCCCAATTCAAGGTGCAGGTTTTGACCTACAAAGCCCTGAACGGTTTGGGACCCACCTACCAGCGCGACCCCATTTCCGTCTATGAACCCACACTATCTCTTCGATCTTCCGGAGAGGCCCTTCTCTCACTCCCGCCTCCATCGCAAGCATGACTTGTGGGGACGAGGGAAAGGGCCTTCTCCGTGGTAGCCCCCCAGCTCTGGAATTCGCTCCCCAGAGATATTAGGCAAGCCCCCACCCTGGCAATCTTCAGGAGGAGCCTGAAAACTTGGCTGTTCCAATTTGCCTTCAATGATTGAATGTATGATAATCCCTGACCAAACTCTGTATAAAATGCCCTCAGAAGCACCTTATTTTCTAGTTTTTGCAATCAAATCCTACCTCATCCCCCGGATCCCCTTCCCGATATTTTACACTGCCCTATCTCCCAGTGTTTTAAATTTTAATCCTTGAATTTGCTCTGCCCACTGTGATCATTTTTAGTGTTTAATGTTTTGATTTTTTACTGTTGTATTGCTTATTTCATTGGTTCTGTATTTTATGTTATTTTATTTCTTGATTTTTGTTGTGTTTTGTGTTATATTGTGTTTACTGTATTGATGGGCGTGGCCTCATGTAAGCCACCCTGAGTCCCCTTTGGGGAGATGGTGGCGGGGTATTAATAAAGATTATTATTGTTGTTGTTGTTGTTGTTGTTTCCCCACTATTTGCCTTATCCATGATAGAACTTCATCCCAGAATCTCTGTGTTTGGGGACATATATTAACCCCAATGGAGGGTGACCCACCCTCCTGTTTGCCACTGTTCCTTGCTTTCCATGCCACAACACAGTCAGACGTATAAAGACCTGAATCTCCCTGGATGCGGCCCCTTTTCATTTGAGACATTTCATGTGACCCTGAGTATATATACGTTTATATAATAGGCATAGAAGTCAAACATTAATTGATAACACATCCGCATTTATATGGCTTGCAAAACAGGTTGATTTCCCTTTTTATGAAGGACGTACAACTGAAGCATCTTCTGTGGAGTAGATGTGTGGCATTGTCTCAATCAGCCACTTTTACTTTGAATGTGTATTTATTGATTTTAACTGTATTTTTGAATACCAATGATATTTAATTCTCTTTTAATGTTTATATATTTGTATATTTTTAATTGTACTGAAATGTTTTTAATATAAGCCACTTTTATTCTCTTTGTTGAGAGAAAAAGCAGGGTATAAATAGATATCATAATAATAGGTGGCATTCAGAAAACTTTCCCTGGCTGCCAGTTTTTTTTTCAGGACCCCAACGTTGACCTCAGGGGACCCTGCTTGGGGTCAAGACCCACAGTTTAAGAAGCAGTGCTCTAAACCATATAAAGTCCTGGATCTCGCTGGCTGAGCCTGTCTTCAGATCCTCTGGGCTGCCCTTCTCCTTCTGTACCTTAAAAAGACCACTTTCTTACAGTGAATTGGACTCTCTTTTTTTGACAATAGGACCAGCAGCGGAACGAGGAGTTGGCGCGCATCATGGGGGAGTTTGAGGAGGAGAAAGAGGGGGAGCCCCAGCCACCTAGCAGCAAAGGGGCTGACCTGCTGGCCATGATGGATGAGCTGTGACCAACGACCAGGCTTTTCCTGCCATCTCCATGCGGACAGCAATGCTTCTCGCAGCGCTGGCCTTAGGTTGAAGAGAGTGACCCTCCAGCCCATTCATCCCTCCATCTGTGGGGGCCCATTTGAGGGGCTTAGATGTGTTTGAGTCACCCGCCTTTTCTCCGGCTGGAAGAGAGGAGGCCCAAGCGAAGGGGGGCAAGGCAATGACCGAAGCCCCAGAGGTTGCCTTAAGGGTCAAAAGAGGGAGCAGCCAAAGAAAGCAGGCGGCATTCCAGTTTTGTGTGTGTTAAACCCGTGAGCCTAAAAACACATCCCATACCTGGAGAGGCAGCCTCATTAGGAGGCAAGTGAAAAACAAAACCCCTACCGTGTTGTTAGCTAGTCTGTGCGTGTTTGCTGACTGGTGCAGAACCAACAGCCCTTCTTCACTAGGTTTGAGGATCAGGTCTGCCATCATGCCTAACTGTGGCAATAAAACCTAGAAAAGAATCTCTTTTGTCGTTTTTACTCCTCATGCCAACTACACTATGTAACAAGTTTGAAAAATGTTCTGTTCCTAGTTTGAAAGTGTTAAAAAAGGTAAAGGTTTCCCCTTGACATTAAGTCTAGTCGTGTCTGACTCTAGGGGTGGTGCTCATCTCTATTTCTAAGCTGTAGAGCCAGCGTTGTCCATATACGCATCCAAGGTCATGTGGCTGGCATGACTGCATGGAGTGTCCTTACCTTCCCACAGAAGCGGTACCTATTCATCTATTCACATTTGCATGTTTTCGAACTGCTAGGTTGGCAGATGCTGGACCTAACAGCGGGAGCTCACCCCACTCCCCAAATTCGAACTGCCAACCTTTCAGTCGGCAAGTTCAGCAGCTCAGTGGTTAAACCTTCTGTGCCACCAGGGGCTCCTTTTTGAAAGTGTTATTTCCTGTTTACTTTGAAAGTAGTTATTCTACTCCAGAAATGTCATTTTTGTGGCTGCCACAAACTATGTTGAATTGGTTGATGAGATATTCATTGAAGAACTAGAGCAGGGTGTGTTGCAGGATGTCCAGCAAAAACAAAGTTTTTTTCAGTTTAATAAACTTTCCCATGTTTTTATGATAGAACTAATTAGGAAATGACATTCTGTAACCTAGGAAAATTGTGTTATATAGTGCTATTTAAAAAGCCCTCGTGTGCCCTTAAATGAGGAGGAAGGAGAAATTTCTGATTCTGACCCAAGCAGCAGTGTCATGGGTTTTTAGTTTAGCTTTTCTATTACCATTTCTTCACTCAAAAGCAATTTGGAAAATAAGTATTCTTTATATTGAAGGTATCACACTGGCAACGAAGATCCACATAGTTAAAGCAATGGTATTCCCTGTAGCAACCTATGGATGCGAGAGCTGGACCATAAGGATGGCTGAGCAAAGGAAGACAATTTTGAACTGTGGTGCTAGAGAAAAATTCTGAGGGTGCCTTGGTCCGCAAGAAGATCCAACCAGTCCATACTCCAGGAAATAAAGCCCGACTGCTCACTGGAGGGAAGGATATTAGACGCAAAGTTGAAGTACTTTGGCTACATAATGAGAAAACAGGAAAGCTTAGAGAAGACAAAATTCTGGGGGAAATGGAAGGAAAAAGGCAGCGGGGCCAACCAAGGACAAAATGGATCGATGGTACCCTTGAAGTGACTGGCTTGACCTTGAAGGAGCTGGGAGTGGCCATGGCTTACAGGGAGCTCCAGCATGGGCTGGTTCATGAAGTCACGAAGAGTCTGAAGCGACTGAACAAATAAACAACAAAATATTGAATGTGGAAGATTTTCTCAAGTATCCCATCTGCAAAGAGCCAAAGTGGCTTTTTGCATAAGTCAATCTGAGACTGAATTACACTCCCATTACCAATACATTGGTGGCACATAAAGCATTAAACGGCGGTACAGTCCACTTGGGAGGAACATGAGCCACTTATAACACTAAGTAACATTCTTTTTGATCCTGGGTTATACATGTCATTTATTAATTGGGTGTATCAAAAACATGGAAAAATGGATTAAACTGCAAAAACTTTTTTTTTTGCCAGGCATCCTGTAGCACATGTTGCTATAGTTTTTCAATGAATATCTCATCGAGTCTCAACTAATTCAACATAGTTTGCAGCAGCCCCAAAAACAAAGCTTCTGGAGTAGAACAATGAACTTTCAAAATAAGGACTGCACAATTAAACAGAAAATAACACTTTCAGGATTTTTTTTTCCAAATTTTGTTAGTGTACTGAATTCCAATGCCTTGATGAATCTATGTGTGGTTCCAGAGATGCAAGGTGTAACAGACTGGCCTACCTTAAAGGGTTGATGTAAAAGGCAGAAATCAGGCCCGGTTTGCTAAGGCTAAGAAGAGCTGAGGGGAGGAGCAAACAGGCAACCTCGTGGCCAGGAGTGCAGTCTGGTTGATGTAGTTGGAGGGAAAAGCTCAGCAACTGGAGATGGGCGGAGCCAGAAAGGGGGCGAAGAAGCTGAGGCAGCCATTTTAGATCAGGAGTATGGTGAGGAAGAAGACAGAAGTTTTGAAAGGGAAAGGAAGGAAGAGTTTGCGAACTGTTTGTGGTTTAAATATATCTTTGAGGATAATAGTTAATAGGCCTCTATAGTGATTAGAGTGCTGGGGAGGAAGGGAGAGTCAAAAGGTTTTAAAGATCCTGTTTGGATTTCTGTGTGTGGAACTTTGTTTTAAGAAACTAAAGATAAAAGTACCATCCTCTGTAAGAAGTAAAGCCTGATAAGTTATTTGAAACCCTTATGCATATTGACTGTTCAAAATAAACAACATATTCCTGTTTCATTTTCACTGAAGTCTTCATGTGGCTTTTTGAACATTCCAGTTGAAGGAAGTGGCCTATTAAAATAATAAATTGGTGGCAGCAATAGACACCTTTAATAAATAATAGGAGGCAGCAAAGGCAAAATATAGAATACAGTGGTAGCTTCCCACTGTCTGGCCTTGTGTGTCTGTGCTCTGAGTCCCTCACGGCCTTGCCTTGGGCCAGACCTTGTTGTTTGTCCTTTGTCCTCCATCTTGTGTGTGGTCTGCCTGTTGCAAATTCTGCCTTCCGACCTTCCATCTTTGTTGCTGTTTTGTTGCACAAGGTCACAGGGGAAATGGCCACTTTTCCATGGATCAGGGACTCCTTTTCCAGATGGAAGACAGGCAATATTCTATATTTTGCATATAAAATGTTTTTGCTTCTCATCCTCAGCCATAAAGGCTCCTGTAGCCACTGGCTTACAGTCATTAAATATATAGCACCAGCTTCTTTTTTCAACCAGGGTGCAAAGTGCATGGGGACCCAATGGTGTGTTTGTGTGTATTTGTAAAAATACACCTATTATTGGCACCCAATAAAATTAGAGAAATGGGAAAAAATCTGGAACCAGAAGATTAAATACACATATGCGTACGAATTAAGAGAAAATTGGCTTAAAATTATTCATAGGTGGTACATCACCCCCCACAAAATCTCTAAATGTTACAAAAATGCCTCAGACAAATGTTGGAAACGAGAACCTTTTTCCACATCTGGTGGACTTGTTCTGAAGTAAGACAGTATTGGACTGACATCCATTTGAAAATACAAAAAATAATGGATACAAAGCTTGAAAAGAAACCAGAATATTTTTTGCTGGGAATGTTAGAAATAGCGGAAGACAAAGATAAAGCAATTTTATTCAGTTATTTAGCGAGAATAGTGTTTGTGAAGATTTGGAGGAGGAAAGAAATCCCCAAAAAAGAGGACTGGCAAAAGAAAATTGTAGAGGTAATGAACATGGACCAACTAACATATTGGATTTCTCCAAACCAAGGCCTTCCAAAGAAGCAAGCGAATTGGGACCTGGTAAAGAACTACTTTAAGCAACTGAAGATCAATTTGATTATTTGAAATATGATACTCACAAGATGTCACATGAGACATGGGGAAGTAAAAAATAATTTCCTGCCATATCAATAGCTAAACTATCAACCACCGATGAATAGAAGGAAGTCAACCTGTTTTTTGGGAGTTTTTTTCCTTTCATTTCCTACTTTCCTATCCGGATATTGTTCCTACACTTTCAATGTACCGATCTCTTTCTATAGTTAAAGATACAACAAAAAAAAACTTTAAATAGAAAGATGTTTTATCCCTTACCTTTTCTTTATTGCCTACTCCCCTCCCCTCTTTTTTTGATGTTGTTTACCTTTCTTATAATTTATTTATTTATTTATTTATCATGTCAGGAGCAACCAGACAGTTGTATTACATTTTTAACAAAACAAACAAAACAAAACACAAAATTTGCAAGCTTGGTAGCTGATTAAATGTCCTTTGACCAGTATCTGGCCACTTGGAGTGCCTCTGGTGTTGCTGCAAGAAGGTCCTCCCTTGTGCATATAGCAGGGCTCAGGCTGCATTGCAACAGATGGTCAGTGGTTTGCTCTTCTCCACACTCGCATGTCGTGGATTCCACTTTGTAGCCCCATTTCTTAAAATTGGCTTTGCATCTCGTGGTGCCAGAGTGCAGTCTGTTCAGCACCTTCCAAGTCGCCTAGTCTTCTGTGTGCCCAGGGGGGGAGTCTCTCATTTGGTATCAGCCATTGGTTGAGGTTCTGGATTTGAGCCTGCCACTTTTGGACTCTTGCTTGCTGAGGTGTTCCAGCAAGTGTCTCTGTAGATCTTCGAAAACTATTTATTGATTTAAGTCATTGGCGTGCTAGCTGATGCCCAAACGAGGGATGGGCTGGAGATGTCACGGCCTTGGTCCTTTCACTATTGGCTGCTACTTCCCAGCGGATGTCGGATGGTGCAATACCGGCTAAGCAGTGTAATTTCTCCAGTGGTGTAGGGCACAGACACCCCGTGATGATGCGGCATGTATCATTAAGAGCCACATCTACTGTTTTAGTGTAGTGATATGTGTTCCACACTGGGCATGCGTACTCAGCAGCAGAGTAGCATAGCGCAAGGGCAGATGTCTTCGCTGTGTCTGGTTGTGATCCCCAGGTTGTGTCAGTCAGCTTTCGTATGATGTTGTTTCTAGCGCCCACTTTTTGCTTGATGTTCAGGCAGTGCTTCTTGTAGGTCAGAGCATGGTCCAAAGTGACTCCCGGGTATTTGGGTGTGTTGCAATGCTCCAGTGGGATTCCTACCCAGGTAATCCTCAGAGCTCGGGATGCTTGTCTGTTGTTATGGTGAAAGGCGCATGTCTGTGTTTTAAATGGATTAGGGATCAGTTGGTTTTCCCTGTAATAGGCAGTAAGAGCACCTAGAGATTCAGAGAGCTTCTTTTCAACCATCTCAAAGCTCCCTGCTTGAGTGGTAATGGCACGATCATCAGCATAGATGAAACTCTCTGTCCCTTCTGGCAGTGGCTGGTCATTTGTGTAGATGTTGAACATGGATGGAGCGAGCACGCTCCCCTGAGGCAGGCCGTTCTTCTGTTTCCGCCATCTGCTTCTCTGGCCCTGGAACTCAACAAAAAAGCTCCTGTTTTGTAGCAGGTTTCCTATGAGGCGGGTGAGGTGGTAGTCCTTTGTGATATTATACATTGTTCTCAGGAGGAGGCGGTGGTTCACAGTATCATAGGCTGCTGACAAGCCTAAGACAACAAGTCGAAGACAACAGAAAAGTGGGGAAGGAGTTGTGGCTTCAAACATTACCTACTTCCAATCCTGGAAGCGGGGGGGGGGGGGGGAAGCAGCGAGCCAATCAAATGCCATCTTTCCGTGTCCGAGGACCGCCTTCCGGGCCAATGGAGTTGCTTCTCTGTTCCATCGGGGCGGGGGCAAGTCCAGGCGAATGGGAAAACGAGGCGCTCTGATCTAGCTCCGCCCACTTCAGAGCCTCTGAGTCGGGAATCTCCTATTACGCATGCGCTTTTTGGTGGTTTTTTTCTGCTTTGCACGAGGAAGCAGGAAATCCTGGCCAGGTAGGCGATGGATTGTATGTCCCATTATCCCTCCCAGCGGCTGTGCTTTGGGTTTCTGTTGTTAGTTTGGCAGTAGCGTAGACCCATTGAATCCCATGGATTTACACCAATGTAGAGCTATTAAGCAGTTGCATTAGGCATAATTGAGCTATGCGTTTGGGACTAATAGGTTGCAGAAAAGCTTCCTGCTCTTTTTAAGGGTGGGGCTTAATGGAACCCAATCAAAAGTTTGGAAAAGTTACTTTTGACAGGAACTACAACTCCCAGAATTGTACCAATATTTTCCATTGTGTTCAAGACCAGGGCTTTGAATCATAGAATCAAAGAGTTGGAAGAGACCTCATGGGCCATCCAGTCCAACCCCCTGCCAAGAAGCAGGAATATTGCATTCAAATCACCCCTGACAGATGGCCATCCAGCATCTGTTTAAAAGATTCCAAAGAAGGAGCCTCCACCACACTCCGGGGCAGAGAGTTCCACTGCTGAACGGCTCTCACAGTCAGGAAGTTCTTCCTCATGTTCAGATGGAATCTCCTCTCTTGTAGTTTGAAGCCATTGTTCCTTGTCCTAATCTCCATGGAAGCAGAAAACAAGCTTGCTCCCTCCTCCCTGTGGCTTCCTCTCACATATTTATACATGGCTATCATATCCCCTCTCAGCCTTCTCTTCTTCAGGCTAAACATGCCCAGCTCCTTAAGCCGCTCCTCATAGGGCTTGTTCTCCAGACCTTTTATCATTTTAGTCGCTCTCCTTTGGACACATTCCAGCTTGTCAATATCTCTCTTGAATTGTGGTGCCCAGAATTGGTAATAAGAGGATGGATTCTGGGAGTTGCAGTCCTCCCAGTTCTTCCCAGGGGGCGTCTACAAATCCTGGGAGGCTCTGTCCTCTCAGCGAAGCCTCAAGGCTTTTAAAACTACAACTCCCAGGATTCCATAACATTGAGTCAGGTAGTCATTCTACTGTTTCTCAGCTTGGGGGTTGGGACCCCAGATGGGGTCATGAGGGGGTGTCAAAGGGGTCTCAAAAGACCGCCAGAAAACACAGTATTTTCTGTTGGTCATGTGGATTCAGTGTGGGAAATTTGACCCAATTCTATTGTTGGTCGATTGTAGGTGAACTATACATCCCAGCAAATGTCAACGTCTATTTTCCCCAGACTCCACCAGTGTTCATATTTAGACATGTTGAGTAGTCGTGCCAAGTTTGGTCCAGATCTATCATTACGTGAATCCACAGTGCTCCTCTGGATATAGGTGAACTACAACTCCCAATCTCAAGGTCAGTGCCCACCAAACCCTTCCAGTGTTTTCTGTTGGTCATGGGATCTCTGTGTGCCAAGTTCGGCTCAAATCCATTGCTGGTGGAGTTCAGAATGCTCTTTGATTATAAGTGAACTATAAATCCCAGCAACTACAACTCCCAAATTACAAAATCAATTCTCCGCCAACCCCAGTAGCATTCACATTTGGTAGTGTTGGGTATTTGTGCTCAATTTGGCCCAGTAAATGAAAATACATCCTGCATATCGGATATTTACGACTTATAACAGTAGTAAAATGACAGATATCAAGTAGCAACAGAAACAATATTATGGTAGGGGGTCACCATAACATGAGGAACTGTATTAAGGGGTCACGGCATTAGGAAGGTTGAGAACCACTGTTCTACTGTATAGAGTAAAGCAAGCATGGGCAAACTTCGGCCCTCCTGGTGTTTTGGACTCCAACTCCCACAATTCCTAACAGCCGATAGGCTGTTAGGAATTGTGGGAGTTGGAATCCAAAACACCTGGAGGGTCGAAGTTTGCCCATGGCTGGACTAGAGGCACCCATAGTTCAAATACATAGATAAAACAAAAAGACCATTCAAACACATATTAGTAGGCAGAATTCCACAACACGAAGCCATGGTCATTAAAGCGGTATAAAACTGCATTCAAATGCACAAATGAGGCAGTGAGACCATTCAAACACATATATTAAAAGATGTGGGGTTGCATCTGAACTGCAGGATTCCATAACATAAAGCCATGGTCATTAAAGTGGTACAGAACTGCATTAAAATGCACAGATAAAGCCATGAGACCATCAAAACACATATTAAAAGGCTTGGGGTTGCATCTACTGTAGGATTCCATAGCACTGAGTCATGGTCATGGTAGAAATGTACAACATGCATTAAAAATTGGCATTTCTGTATTAAAATGCACAGAGAAAGCCGTGTGACTACTCAAAGATATATATTAAAAGGTGTGGGGTGCATATTCTACACTGTAGAATTCCATAGCACCTTTTTTTCATATCAGGAGCAACTTGAGAAACTGCAAGTTTCTTCTGGTGTGGTAGAATTGGCCGCCTGCAAGCAAGGACGTTGCCCAGGGGACGCCTGGATGTTTTACCATCCTGTGGGAGGCTTCTTTCATGTCCCTGCATGGGGAGCTGGAGCTGACAGATGGGAGCTCACCCCACTCACCGGATTCGAACCGCCAACCTTTCGGTCAGCAGGCCTGCCGACACAAGGGTTTAACCCATTGTGCCAACGGCGACTCCTTCCATAGCACTGGGCCATGATCATTAAAGTGGTATATAACTATATTGAAATCCATAAATAAAACCATGAGATCATTCAAACACATATATTAAAAAGTGTGGGGTGCATATTCTACACTGTAGAATTCCATAGCACCTTTTTTTCCATGTCAGGAGCGACTAGAGAAACTGCAAGTTGCTCCTGGTGTGAGAGAATTGGCCGCCTGCAAGAAAGGACGTTGCCCAGGGGTGCCCGGATGTTTTACCATCCTGTGGGAGGCTTCTTTCATGTCCCTGCATGGGGAAGTGGAGCTGACAGATGGGAGCTCACCCTGCTCACCAGATTCGAACCGCCGACCTTTCAGTCAGCAGTCCTGCTGGCACAAGGGTTTCACCCATTGTGCCACCGGCGACTCCTTCCATAGCACTGGGCCATGATCATTAAAGTGGTATAAAACTATATTGAATTCCATAAATGAAACCATGAGAGAATTCAAACACATATATTAAAAGGTGTGGGGTGCATATTCTACACTGTAGGATTCCATAGCACCTTTTTTCCATGTCAAGACCGATTTGAGAAACTGCAAGTTGCTCCTGGTGTGAGAGAATTGGCCGCCTGCAAGGAAGGACGTTGCCCGGGGGCGCCCGGATGTTTTACCATCCTGTGGGAGGCTTCTTTCATGTCCCTGCATGGGGAGCTGGAGCTGACAGATGGGAGCTCACCCTACTCACCGGATTCGAACCGCCGACCTTTCAGTCAGCAGTCCTGCTAGCACAAGGGTTTAACCCATTGCACCACCAGCGACTCCTTCCATAGCACTGGGCCATGATCATTAAAGTGGTATAAAACTATATTGAAATCCATAAATAAAACCACGAGACCATTCAAACTCATATATTAAAAGGTGTGGGTGCATATTCTACACTAAGGGTCCTTAAACTAAGGCCCAGGGTCCAGATGCGGCCCTCCAAGGTCATTTACCCGGCTCTTGCTCAGGGTCAACCTAAGTCTGAAATGGCTTGAAAGAACACAACAACAACAACAATCCTATCTCATCAGCGAAAAGCAGGCCCACACTTCCCATTGAAATACTACCAAGTTTATATTTGTTAAAATTGTTCTTCATTTTAATTATTGTACTGTTTTAAAGTGTTTATTTGCACTACAAATAAGATATGTGCACTGTGCATAGAAATTCATACATGTTTTTTTTTTCCAAATTATAATCCGGCCCTCTAACAGTTTGAGGGACTGTGACCTGGCCCTATGTTTAAAAAGTTTGAGTACCCCTGTTCTACACTGTAGGATTCCATAGCACCTTTTTTCCATGTCAGGAGCTACTTGAGAAGCTGCAAGTTGCTTCAGGTGTGAGAGAATTGGCCGCCTGCAAGCAAGGATGTTGCCCAGGGGACGGCTGGATGTTTTACCATCCTGTGGGAGGCTTCTTTCATGTCCCTGCATGGGGAGGTGGAGCTAGCAAATGGGAGCTCACCCCACTCACCAGATTCGAACCGCCAACCTTTCGGTCAGCAGTCCTGTCGGCACAAGGGTTTAACCCATTGTTCCACCAGTGACTCCTTCCATAGCGCTGGGCCATGGTCATTAAAATGGTATAAAACTACACTGAAATGTATAAATAAAACCATGAGACCAAACACATCAATTAACCGGCTTGGGGTGCAACTACACTGTAGGATTCCTTAGCCGTTAAAGTGGTGCCAAACTGCCTTCCTTCTCCAAGTGCAGATGCAGCCCCCAATGCCCCCACTCTCTTCCCTCTTGCTGTTTTCCCAGACTGGTGGCCATGGAGATTAGCCACTCGGTGAAGGAGCGCACCATTTCGGAGAACACCCTGGTGCTGCTGCTGCAGAGCCTGACGGGCCGTGTGACCCAGGTGGAACTACGGGATGAGAGCCTGGCGGTGGGGCGCGTGACCAACGTGGATGCCTTCATGAACATCCGCCTGGGCCCCACTACCTTCACCGACCGGGCCGGGCGCACCTCCCAACTAGAGGACCTCTTTGTTGCTGGGAGGAGCGTGCGCTACGTTCACATCCCGGATGATGTGGACATCCGGGCTGCCATCGAGGGCCAGCTCCAGCTCCTGCGACGTGTCCGGAGCTTCGGAGGAAGGGACAAGGGCAGGAAGGAGTTCCTTCATCAAAAGGACAAGTAAAAACAAGCCCAGGATGCGGAATCAAATCTCCCCCTTTTGAGATCAGGATACAGAATGACTTCAAAGCAAGCCTTTGGATTCTTCCACTGAGATCCACTTTTTGGACTGCTCCTTGAAAGAGAATAAAGTGGCACGGAAAGCCAAGAACAGAAAAACTGAATCATGTTTCTATTCTCTATTGCTCCTTCCCTATTTCTTTCTTTGGATCCATTTTTCTTAATGAGGCTTCCTCCAGTGCAAGAAATGAAAGGGATTGCAACCCTGGGTTACTTTTATTTAGCCAAATATTTATTTCTCTTGCAGCCGCAAGCCTCCTTTTTTGCTCAGGATTTGAAATGACCTCTTTCATATATTTTTCTCTCACTTGGATCCACTTTTCTAATTCACATGGAAAAAACCATGTGGAAAGACAGGAACAACAAACTGAATTACTTTTATATTTTCTTTCTCCTTCCTTCTGGAACAACAAACTGAATTACCTTTATCCTCCTCCTCCCCCCCCCCCCCCCCCCCCCCCCTTCCTTCTAGAACAATAAATTGAATTACTGTTTTGTTTTCTTTCCTCTTCCTTCCTTCCCTTCATTTCCTTTCTTCCTAAAAGAAAAGTTACTCTTCTTTTGCAAAACCGATTAGGGCACTTTTATATCAGCAGGTGGAAAAACAGGTTTTTTTTTTTTAAAAAAATTATGGAATTCTTCTAATTTGATAAATGTGACCTCCAAATGAATACACTTTCAATTCCCAAATAAACTTTTCCATCTTTAATACACTTCTCCCTTCTTTATGGTTGTGTGATAACCTTTTCAAAGGGTTTTCTTGGCCAGATTTGTTCAGAAAAGGTTGAGCATGAACTCCCTCTGAAGCTGAGAGCATGCAACTGGTTCAGTGAGTTTCCTTGTCTGAGAGCAGATTCACACCCTGATCTCCAGTCATCGGGTGCATCTACACTGTAGAATTAATGCAGTTTGACCCCACTTGAACTATCGCTTAATACTATGCAATCCTGGGAGTTGTAATTTTGCAGTGGCTTTCACCTCTGCTGAAAAGTGCAAACGACAGCTCCCAGGGTTCTATAGTATTGAGCCATCGCAGTTTGAATGGTGCCAAACAGCATTCATGATTTTTATAGGTGATGAGAACATAAAGGTGGGTATGGATTTGGAAGATGCAATTTAAGCATGAGCTGGAAGCCTCTTGAAGCATGAGGTGCCCCAGGTGAGTCAGGGCTGTGGCTTCCAGGTGCATTTGAGGGCCCACCCAGATGGTGTTATGGCTGACGCATGACTTCTCAACATTATTAAGCTTGACTCATGGAAGCTCTCCTCCTTTGGAGGTTTCTAAGCTGGATGGCCATTTGTCAGGTGGGCTTTGATTGTGTCTCCCTGAATGGCAAATAGAGCTGGACAGCATGGCTGTTGGAGGTCCCTTCCAACTTTCTGTCTAAATCTTTCTTTACCTTAATGACAAATAATTGTTAGCCACCTTGAATACCTATGGGGAGAATGTGGTATATACATTTAATAATAAACAATTAATTATTGTTACCCATCTTGAATTCCTATGAGGAGAAAGGTAGAATATAAATTTAATAAATAAATAACTGTTAGTGTTCTGGAACAGCTGTTCCAGGAGCTCCAGATTTATTTGCTGTGTTTAAATGTTTGTGTGCAATCCCATGCTTGGGATTTTGCAGCAGGGGGTTTCCTGTTATAATTTGCATTTATAGGGTAAGCCACCTGCCAATTATAGTTAGGATTCCTGGTCCCGCCCCTTTTTTGCTTTTTGGAGGGAAGGGAGCCTTTTCCAGTCAGTCACAGCAAGATTAACCACTGTATAGGATGTGTTTACTTCCCCTGTACAAAGGCTTCAACCTTTAAGAACTCCAGGGAAAGAACGCCAGGGAAGCATTCCCACAGCTTTAAAGGTCTCCTAAGAACTCCAGGGATTCCTTCCTACAGCCTTGGGAGTTTCCAGGAAGACAGCCAACTCTACAGAATATCCATTGCCTGTCTGATAGGTCCTCTCAGTGTTTCGAGAAGCAGTTCGGCCTGGCAGAGGAGTCCACACCAGTGAGGGTTGGATTTTTGTTAACCTTGGGAGAAGTTAAAAGGGGGGATTTTCCTTTGAAGAAAGTTATTGAAGATAGTGCCTGTTCTCTGCGGACAAGTTTGAGAGAACTGATACTTTAAAGCTTTACAATTCCTGTTTGATTCATTAATAAAAGACTTTGTTGTGCCTTTTAAGCCATTTGAAGATTCCTTTTGTAAAGGAAGCCTCTGAAAACTTTTCCTAGGGCCCCTGACTTCCCGCTGGGTAAATGTTACACATCCTATATCTAAAGTCAACTAACTATAGGCCCAGCGGCAACAGAACAGTTAGGCACCTTGAATTCCTTTAAGGAGAAAGGCAGGATATTATTATCATTATCATTATCATCATAATCTATATCAGAGGTCCTCAAACCTTTTAAACAGAAGGCCAGGCAACTGTCCCTCAAACTGCTGGAGGGCCGGATTATAATTTGAAAAAAAAAATGAATGAATTCCTATGCACACTGCACATATCTTATTTGTAATGCAAAAGGCACTTAAAAACAATACAATAATTAAAATGAAGAACAATTTTAACAAATATAAACTTAGTAGTATTTCAATGGGAAGTTTGGGCCTGCTTTTGGCTGATGAGATAGGATTGTTGTTGTTGTTGTTGTTGTTGTTGTGTGCTTTCAAGTTGTTTCCGACCCTGAGCGAGGGCCGGGTAAATTACCTTGAAGGGCCGTATTCGGCCCTCGGGCCATAGTTTGAGGACCCCTGATCTATATAAATAAAATGTAATGTTCGTTTGTGGGATTAACATAACTAAAACCAACTGGACGAATTTGAACACAATACACCAGCAGGCCAATGAGTGACCATCACTCATAAAAACAGTAAAAAAACACAGCAGTAGAGATTAAAAAAATACATTACAATGGACGTGCAAAACCACAAATATATACGCAAACATACATATATACTCACATACACAAAATATATATATACACACACACACACACAACACATATACACAGACTGGGCCACAGAAATGTGTGGCAGGGAAAGGCTAGTTAATGATAAATTGTTAGCCACCTTGAGTTCCTATGGGGAGAAAGGTGGGATATACATTTAATAATAATAATTTTAGCATTATCATTATTTATCATCATTTTCTGCCAATCTATATCATGAGAGCCCAAGGTGGCAGGCAAAGGCATGAAATCAATTTAAATAATAGAAACAGAATAACTTTATTGTCACTGTACAGTGTAAAACAAAATGTTTTCCCCAGCACACATCAACAACACTCACCCTAACCGCCCCCAATGGTACATCAATGGGAAGCCATGGAGTTCAATATAGTTACAGCTCTATGATAAAAGCTGTCTCTCAGGCTCCTTCCACAAAGCTGAATAAAATCCCACATTATCTGCTTTGAACCGGGATATATGACAGTGCAAACTCAGATATTCCAGTTCAAAGCCGATATTGTGGGTTATTCTGCCTTGATATTCTGGGTTATATGGCTGTGTGGAAGGACCCTCAGTCTGTTTGTCTTTGCATACAGGACACCCATGACAATTAGATTCATCATAGTTTGTGGCAGCCACACAAACAAAGTATCTGGAGAACAACTACATTCAAAGTAAGGGCCACACAATTAAACAGGAAATAACACTTTCAAGCCAGGAACAGATTTTTGTTCTCCAATTTGGTTTCAGAGTGTGATTCCAGGTGGGAAGCTCTGACCAAAGCAGGAGATCACAAGAGGGCATTATTATTATTATTATTATTATTATTATTATTATTATTATTATTATGTTTATTATGTTTATTATGTTTATTTATACACCACGTTTTGTCTCCACAAGGAGGCTGTGGGCCCTTCCAGACAGGCCCTATATCCCAGGATCTGATCCCAGGTTTTCTTCTTTAAACTGGATTATATAAATCTGCACTGCCAGATAATCTGGGATAAAGAGAAAACCTAGGATCAGATCCTGGGATATATGACCTGCCTTGAAGGGCCCTTCCAAACAGCCATATAACCCAGAATATCAAGGCAGATAATCCACAATATCTGCTTTGAACTGCATTATCAGAGTCCACACTGCCATATAAACCAGTTCAGTGTGGATTTTATACAGCTGTGTGGAAGGGGCCAAAGCAGRTTACATTTCAATAAAATTTCAAATCTACAAATAMATGAAACAKTACAACAGAATTAAATATCARTGGTATTTCTTAAAGCAGGCATGGGCCAACTTGGGCCCTCCTTGTGTTTTGGACTTTAATTCCCACAACTCCTAACAGCCTACCTATGGGCTGTTTTCACAGCAGGAGCCTGGATTTGCTGAAGAGAAGCAGAGGACAAAGAAGGGAAGAAAAGCTCCTTGAGCTGCGTTGAGGTAGAGGTGGAGGGAAGGAAGGAGGGCTGGATGCCGAGGGGAGGCTTCGGGGCTGCCTATTGGCAGCTGTGTCTTTTCTGGAAGAGTGGAGGCAAGGGATTCTCTTACCTCCGCTCTTCCAGACAGCAGCCGCGCGCTCCCACCGCTGCCTTCACCTCCTCCGAGAAAGAAGAAGTAAGGGAAGAAGAGGAGAAAGGGAGAGGAAAAAAAGAGGGAGAAAGAGAAGAGAGAAAGGAGGAGGGAGAAAGATAAAGATAAAGAGAGAGGAAAGGGGGAGAAACTGAAACGGGGAGAAGGAGAGAGAGCTTCAGGGGGAGACAGAAAGAACGAAAGGAGCTCTGCGTTAGCAGAGCCAAAACTGATTTCACTAAGACGCAGGCCTCCTCCTCGGCGGGCCGGATAAATGCCCTCAGGGGGCCGCATCCGGCCCCCGGGCCACAGTTTGGGGACCCCTGGTATAGAGCTATAGGATCAAAGCGTTGGAAGGGATTTGGGGCCCTTCCACATAGCCATATAACCTAGAATATCAAGGCAGAAAATCCCACAATATCTGCTTTGAACTGGAATATATGACCTTGAAGGAGCTGGGGGTGGTGACGGCCGACAGGGAGCTCTGGCGTGGGCTGGTCCATGAGGTCACGAATAGTCGGAGACAACTGAACGAATGAACAACAACAATATGGTAGTATGGACTCTGATTGCCAGATAGAAAAACACAATCAAAGCCCTCCCAACAGATGGCCATCCAGCTTCTGCTCAAAGACAGTTGGAAGAGACAGGAATCCTAGAATGAGAATTATAGAACCCTCAAGTTGGAAGAGGCCCTAAGGGGTTGCCATAAAGGAAGACACCATCTGAGCCCTCCCGACAGAAGACCACCCAAACTCTGATGATAATAATAATAGAATCTAAAAGTTGGAGGAGATCCTTCTGCCAGGAAGGAAGACACAAAGCCTTCCCGACAGATGGCCATCCAGCCTTTGCCTTTAAAAAATACCCAGAAACAGGAGGCCTCCCATGTGTAGGGTCACCATGATACAAGCTTAATGGCAGCTAGCAATAACACTGACAAGTCATGTGTCAGTAATAACCCTGCCTGGGGTACATTCACTCATGCACTTTTGACTGCCTTGGCTCCATGCTATGCCATCCCGGGATTTATAGTCTGGTGATGCCCCGGCAGTCCCCTTTTGGCAGAGAAAGCTAAAAGCTTTGTAAGACTGTTTGTTTATTTAAAACATTTCTATTCCGCCCTTCTCACCCCAAAGGGGACTCAGGGCAGAGCACAGCATATATACGGAAAACATTCAATGCCGGGACAAGAATTCATATGCGGATACATAAACATTAAAAACATTTATCTCAATATTAAAATACACCATTTAAAACCATCTTAGTCATCTCTGTTAAATCGGCCTGGTAATCTTTCCTATTGTTGCTTTATTGCCCTGTCCTGAAAGCTTGGTCCCACAGCCTAGTTTTTGCCATCCTTCTGAAGGACAGGAGGGAGGGAGCCAATCTGATCTCACCAGGAAGGGAGTTCCATAGCTGGGGGGCAATCACCAAGAAGGCCCTGTCTCTCATCCCCACCCATCGCACCTGTGACAATGGCAGGACGGAGAGCAGGGCCTCCTCGGAGAAGCTTAATCTCTGTGGTTCATAGGGAGAGATGCATTCGGACAGGTATATTGGGCCAAGTCTGTTTAGGGCTTTATAGGCCAAAGCCAGCATTTTGAATTGTGCCTGGTAGCAAACTGGCAGCCAGTGGAGCTGCCGTAACATGGGAGTTGTATGCTCCCTGTATGCCGCCCAGGGCCGTAGCCAGAAAAAAATTTCAGGGAGGGTTGACAATTTTGGGGGAGGGGTTGAAAATTTGGGGGGGGGGTTGAAAATTTCAGGGAGGGTTGAACATTTTTGGGGTGTGGGGGTAGGGTTGAAACCTGCCTCCTAGCTCACGCTGAAGCAAAGAGCAGAGCAGGGGGCAGAGCAGCCTTCCATAGCCTGCAGCTCCACCCCTGTCAACCACCTCCACCAAGTCTGGCCTCCTTAATGAGAGCATTCAACACACAAACCCCCAACTTGGTTGCTTCACTACATCGGCTATTGCTGAAAGCAATGACAGTGTGAATAAATTGTCAATATTTGCTTGAGATAGTGCTTACAGTTCTGGAGGGACTCTTAATTTTTTGCATCTCATAGACTTAGCATGGGGATTTGGTTAACCAGTTAAAATTCATGAGTAAACCAGGTTTTTTTTAAAAAAAATCTGAAACATTTCAGGGGGGGGGGTTGAACCCCTAAAACTACCCCCTCGCTACAGGCCTGATGCCGCCCGTTATTAACCTGGCTGCCTCTCGTTGGACTATTTGAAGCTTCTGAGCAGTCTTCAAAGGCAACCCCACATAGAGTGCGTTGCAGTAGTCTATCCTGGATGTAGTGAGAGCGTGGACCACCGTGGCCAAGTCTGACTTCCCAAGGTACAGGCGTAGCTTGCGCACAAGTTTTAATGGAATCATGGAAGACTATAGCTTCCATGATTCCATAGCCTTGGGCCATGGCAGTTCCAGTGGGGTCAATTCAACTGTCTAGGTGCACCCTTTCTCTTGGACCAAGCATGGGCCAACTTGGGCCTTCCTCCAGGTGTTTTGGACTTCGACTCCCACCATTCCTCACAGCCTCAGGCCCTTTCCTTTTCCCCCTCAGCCACTTAAGCCTGAGGCTGTTAGGAATGGTGGGAGCTGAAGTCCAAAACAGCTGGAGGAAGGCCCAAGTTGGCGCATACCTGGTCTAAGGCATTTCAGAGAACAAGGGATGCTCCATTGGTACCCAGTTCTATTTAGTGATGCAACCCACCTCCTGTCAATCATAGTCAGGATGGGCGGGCTCTGCCTACTCCTCTCGACCAATCGCAGACGCCCTAGAACCCCTCCTTTAGCCTTTCAGCCAATTAGAGGCAAGCCGCGCGGGCGAAGGGATCCCGGAAACAATATGGCCGCTGGTGGGAGTGAGAGGGAGGCGTGGCGGTGATGAGCGGCGGCGGCGGCGGCGCAGTGACGTCGGTGTGGCGTCACTTCCGTTGTCAGGTGGCGGAGTCGGTGCGGGACTGGCGAGACGTCGGACGGTGGCCGGCGGGGCCGGGCCCGGAGGCGGCGAAGATGGGTGAGAAGGAAAGGGAAGGCCATGGAAAAAGGCCCGTCTGGCAGGAGGGCTATCTGTCGGGAGGGCTTCCTGAAAGGGGTGGTTATTGGGTGGCCTTCGAGACCCCTTGTCATTCCAACGGAAGAATCCAATGAGTCCCCTTCCTTCTCTGGGGGATTTAAAGCAGAGGCTGGATGGCCGTCTGTCGGGATGGATTGGATTGTGCCTTCCTATTTGGCAGAAGGGGGTTGGTTTAGATGGTTCTTGGGGTCTCTTCCAGCTCTAGCATTCTATAATACCGTATATGTATTATATATCATGTATATCTATCTGTTATCTCTCTTTCCGACCGACAGGTCGCAGGTTCGAATCTGGGGAGAGGCGGATGAGCTCCCTCTATTAGCTCCAGCTCCTCATGCGGGGACATGAGAGAAGCCTCCCACAAGGATGATAAAACATCAGAAATCATCCAGGCGTCCCCTGGGCAACGTCCTTGCAGACGGCCAATTCTCTCACAACAGGAGCGGTTGCTCCTGATGCAACAAAAAAAAATCTCTTTCTCATCTATGGCTAAATGGCCATCTGTCGGGAGTGTTTTGATTGCGTCTTCCCACCTGACAGATGAGGGTTCGACAGTATAGCCTTTGGGGTCCCTTCCAACTCAAGGATTCAGTGATAACAATAATTTTTGGTGACCATGTAGTCTCCCTCTGTCTCTGGAGGTTTTAAAGCATAAGCTGGATGGAGGGATTGGATTGTGCCTTCTAATGGCACAAAGAAAGGGGTTGGACTGGATGGTCCTTGGAGTCCCTTCCAGCTCTAGGGGTTTATGTTTCTAAAGGAGAAGATGCCTCTTCGAAAGGGCCTGGCAGGTGAATGCCCTGGAGGACATAGCTGGCAGGATGGCCATCTGTGGGAAGGGCTTTGAGTGTGGAGTTGGGCTGGATGACCTTTACAGAGGGGACTGAGGTGGAGTCCTTTACAAAAGAACATGGCTGGCTAGGCGGTGGGCTGAAGTGGAGGAACAAGGTTGATTACTAGTTTAATGTTGACATGTTGCAGGTGTTTTAGATTGCAGTTTGTATTGTTTTTAGTGTTGCAAACTGCTCAAAAATAATAACACCATCTAACCCGGTGTTTGTCCCTGGGTTATAAATGGCATTTCCACATTGGTTCTATCATCAACACATGTGGAAAGTTTAATAAACTGCAAAAAAATTGTTTTTTATGGGACATTCTGCGGCACATTTTGCTATCGTTTTTCAATGAATATCTCACCGAGTCTCAACCAATTCAACCTAGTTGGGGCAGCCACAAAAACAATGTTTATGGAGTAGAACAACTGCTTTGAAAGGAAGTACCGCACAATTAAATAGGAAATAACACTTTCAAACCAAGAACTGAACATTTTTCAAATTTTGATACATAATGTGATAGCAGCAGCAGCCCAAGCTCAGTTTGAATACCAATTTTGCTGTGGTCTTAAATGAACCCAGGTGATTCTGAGTGTTCATCTGTGTGTGACCCCTTGGTTTCATTCTCCAGCACATTTGTCCTCTATATGGTCTAGGCCTAAACAAAACGCCAGTTGCCAAAATAGACACCCAGCATCACTAAAATAACCTCTAGGAAGCATGAATAGTCCTGGACTCGGGAAGATAGAAAAGGGATGAGAATATAATGGGAGGTCTTCCTACAGTGAGAGAGGGAGACCCTCCATCCGCAATAAAGCCTCCTTTGTTTATTGGATCACCTTTTTGGGGAAAGAAGCACCTTCTCATTCCTCCCTAAATTGTATGTACACTTAGATTTGTAAACAAAGAAATACTGAGGCTTTCCTCGCCCCTTATACATTTACCCCTTTTGTAATGATAACACAATGTAACAAAATTTTGGGGGGGGGGGAGTCTGTTCTTGGTTTGATGTTCTTTACAGATTAATTGTGCAGAACTTACTGGCTGCCACAAACTGTAAAAAATTCACTGAAAAACTATTTGCAGTTTAATAAATATTTTCCATGTTTTTGTGACTGAACCAGTTAGAAAATAACATTTACAACCTGGGGACATAAATCGTGTTGTAAATCTCTCCCTAAAATGTGGCTGTGTCTCCCTCCCCCCCTTTAAATCAGTCTAAATCGTTTAGACCGAACAAGGTAAACAACCGGCTTTTTCTTCTTCCTTTCTCTGCACTTTCTTCTTCCCAGCCACACCTCCCGTTCTTGTGTCTGCACTTCCTCCTCTTCCCCCACTTGCGCTTGCTTGCTTGCTTAAAGTGTAAATCCAGCCAAATATATATATAGCCCTCCCTACGCTATGCCATCCAGAGATCATAGATAGATAGATAGATAGATAGATAGATAGATAGATAGATAGATAGATAGATAGATAGATAGATAGATATCCGATCTCTGGAAGGCATAGGGAAGGGCTAACACTCCTGTGGAGTTTCCTTTGCTATCTGTGTCCTTGTTCAGAAGGTTTTACCTCGCTTTCTGGTCCTATAACAATTGGATTTTGAAAAATGTCGCTTGTTCTGGGAACAAGGTTTGGTAAGAAAACTTCAGTGGAGACCCCTTTCCCCCATGATAATAACTCTTCCAAGAGTGGATTTGCCTTCCTTCCAAGGGCTAGATTCCTCTCACTTCCTGTTGTCTCAGGCCTGTTCTTATCTAGGAGTTGTTTGTAAGTCAAATGTTTGTAACTCGGGGACTGCTTTTATATAGGTGCTTACAAACGGGATCAAGGAAATCCCAGGCTAAGAGACAATACATTGAAGTATAGTTTAACCATGTTATGTATTATTTTAATTCAATTTATTTAAAATTTCCATTGTATGTTTTTAAGTCACTATGGAGTGCTGTATGTAAGCTGCCTTGAGTCCCCACTAGGGTAGAGAAATGCGAGATATAAATAAGGTAAATAAATAAATAAGGATTTTTCAGGTCTTACGCCAATGTTGGTGCATAGAAACTTCAGGTGCTGCCATTTCCCTTCAGATAAGACATTTAGGAACTGGCTGCAAGTGTGCTGATAATGTTGACTCATCTTTCAGTCATTGTTTTAAATGCTTTTGCTTCTATGCATAGTTTAATTGCAGCATATGGTTATCTTCCTGTCTTTGTATGTGCTTTTATACACATCGGGTTTCATTTTTGTGAACCTGCTGCCCAAGAGTCTGATGGAGATTGGATGGCCATTTGTAGGGAAAGCTTGGATAGTGCATTGCATTCCTATGTGACAGAATGGGATGGGACTAGATCAGGTCTCTCCCAACTCTAGGTTTCCCTTGTATTTACAGTGGCTGCTCCTCAGTGATGCCACGTGATGCTGATAGGAAGGTGTGTGTGTGGGAGAGCATCTGATTTATGGGCATTATGAATATATTTGGCAAGTATATTTTCTGCTTGAGGTCTTTAATTATGGAGGAGTCAGTCAAGTTGTGAGCTAGCGATGATGGCGAAATCAGGGTGCTAAAACTCTGATTCTCATAGCCAATGGATGTGGCTTCTGATATCTCCCTGCAGTGCATGATAGGGGAGAGCATGGACAGGACAATGGGACATTGGTGCATTGGTTTGCAGGGTGATGTACCAGCAAACCCTACTGAATTATGTGACACACCCATGCCATCAGGAATATTGGCTGGGAGTTTGCATTTCATTTTTCAATTATTCCCATCCTGACCTTGGAGGTGTGCACCTGGAGAAGGGAAGGTACAGAGGAGCACAGTTTATATGCAAAAGTACATATAAAATTATATGTGCCATGTATATGAGCAGAAACAAGCAGCAGCCCTCACTGGAGATTCTGAGCAACCTTAACCTCTCATGCCATGAGAAGTCACAGTATGATGCTAATTTTTTTTTTTACTTTGTTGAAATAATTACACTATGTAGCACAATTTTTGTTCCTGAGTTATAAATGTCATTTCCTAATTGGAAAAGGTGTATTAAACTCCAACATCATTTTTTTTTTGGGAAGGACATCCTGCAGCACATTTTAGGATAGTTTTTAAAAAATAAATATCTCATTGAGTCCTAACCAATTCCAACCTAGTTTTATAGCAGTCACAAAAATCAAGCTTCTGGAGTAGTATAACAGCTACTTTCAAAATAGGTGCCGCACAATTAAACAGAAAATAACATTTTCAAACCAAGAACAGATTCATAGAATAATAGAGTTGGAAGAGACCACATGGGCCATCTAGTGCAACCCCCTGCCATGCCATAGTATCCCTGACAGATGGCCATCCAGCTTCTGTTTAAGAGTTTCTAAGGAAGGAACTTCCACCACACTCCGATGCAGAGAGTTCCACTGCTGAACAGTTCTTACAGTTAAGAAGTTCTTCCTAATGTTCAGGTGAAATCTCCTGTAATTTGAACCCATTGCACCAAGTCCTAGTTTATAGGGAATTTATTTATTTATTTATTTGGGGTTTTTTTATACCGATCTTCTCACCTCAAGAGGGACTCAGATTCGGTTCACAACATGTGTCAAATACAATTTTACAACACACAGTGCATTATCAAAAAACATTAAAAACATATTTCAATGAACAGTATACAATATACATCATCAACATCACAGATACATATAAGCCAGGTCGTCAGAACATTAGTCGTAGTTCACAGTTAGTCGTGCTCCTTCCATATAAGCCCACATTGACTCAGTTATCAAAGGCCAGATCCCAAAGCCAGGTCTTTGTTAGTTTTCTGAATGTCAGGAGGGAGGGTGCGGTTCTAATCTCCAGAGGGAGGGCATTCCAAAGCCGAGGGGCCACCATCGAGAAGGCCCTGTCTCTCGTCCCCACCAGACGTGTTTGTGAAAGTGGTGGGACCGAGAGCAGGGCCCCTCCAGAAGATCTTAACAACCTTGATGGTTCATAGTGGAGAATCCGTTCGGACAGGTAAACTGGGCCAGAGTCGTTTAGGCATTTATAGGTCAACCCCAGCACTTTGAATTGTGCTCGGAAGCGAATAGGTAGCTAGTGGAGCTGGTGTAACAAAGGCGTTGTGTGCT